ATAAGCTTCTAAAAAAGAGAAACTTATTTACCTTCGATAGCTTTAAGATGGTATACAATCCTCTACTTATTACCATTGGGGGAGTAAGACAACTCCAACTGCAGCAAAACAAAACTGCATAAGCTGAGAGACCAAGGCTGCTGACAATATCAATCAGTCTGAATGAAACCACTACACTAGTGTAGTGATTCCTTTACGACGGTTCTTAATTTTTATCAGCCCTCAATTCTTTTTTTAAAGTCAGTTCATCATCATCACTCCTTTTTTATTTTTTCAAAAACTTAAGTTATTTGGAAACCACTCATGTTAATTAATTTCAATTCTTTTTTGTATTGCATTCATGTTACTCTTTCCCACAATTCCTTTCTTTCCTTTCTTCAGAATATGCATGTATTTGCAGTAATTATACATACACTAATGTAATTAAATTAATTTGAGTCCAAAATGAGATAGAATTTATCGTGTCATTAATTCTTGCTATCATGTCCTTAATTATAATTAAATTAATAGTCATTAATTTATTTTTTAATGAAAAACATCACCCGTCTTAACCATTGTCAGCAGCCAACTCTTACTCACTTATTCCTACTTTATCTTTGTTATTATTATCTGATGAGTTATGTATTATCACTTAGGTGATTAAGGCGTTGGAGGAGTGAAATGGCAGGGGTTTGAATCCCCTTTGCGTGGATATTATATGCTCCCAAGGATGTTAGTTTAGAGAGCTGATATACCAAATCAATATTACTCAATTACCAAATGAACTTTTAAGCGGTGACAAATAAGATGGAATTACAAGCCAAAACTTAAAACATAATATCACTCCATATAATATAATAAAGTAAATGATGCTTAGGAATCTAGCTGAAATCAAGATTCTACCTAGTGATCGATCAACATCAGTTGAAGTTAAGAGGTCAATCGACTACAGTGAAAGTTTGATACTCCTTGCCAGCGATGGTTGCTTCCACGAGATGGTGCGGACCAATTTCCCCGGCATTGTGGCAGAAGGACTTGACCAAATTGTCGGAGGAGCCCATCAACATCGTGAAGCCTGGATGTTGTGTACAAATCCAGGAATCCGACGACATCCCAAAATCCCAATCCCAATACAAAATGTGTGGCACCGCATCATTCCCGTACCCTTTGTCCTTGTACTTGCTTTGTATTGCCTCATACTCGCTCCGGAGCAACTGGTACTGTAACTCCCCTGATTCTAGTTCGGTGAACACAATCACCTTCTTGATCATCTGTCCTGCCTTCAAATTCGCATTCACACCCGCCTCCAAAATTAAATCAATCACACCCAAAACACTAGACTTATCGGATTTCCGCCACAACTCGCACTTGGACTTGAGATCATTATCACCTCGTATGAAGAATGGCTCATCTCCTCCACCAATCAACTTTCCTTTCCATGGCTCTTCGCTCAGTTCAGATACCAAAAGTCCCAAACCAATCTCTAAATGATATTTCAGTCGACACTGGGGCACCACCAACATATTTTTGAATTTGCTCAAACCCTCGCCCTGCTTTTGGTACAAGTCCACCATTGCCTTCCACTGAAGCTCAATTACTTCGCCGAAACCCTCCTTCTCCTTATTTCCTACATATCCTATGATCTGATGCGGAAGCAAAGCATCCGGCTTTATTATGCCAATGCCGCCTCCTAAATCTGTTGCTGCTTTCACCTTGTACAAATACTCCTCCTCCAGATTCTGCTTTTCAATCTCTTTGTTGTAGTAATTGGTCAAAGGCACCAAAAACTCCTCTTCTAATTGATCTGATCCTGGAAGGGAAAGCCTTCTCGCAATGCTATCACGCAGAAAAATTGTGCTCGTGCGGTGCTTGTCCCACAATAGTGCGGCAGTGCAACACGCTGCAGCATCAGTGATATAATCAGATTGCTCCATTTTGTCAATATCAGATTTCAACCGCTCCACGAAAATATGTATAACCCGATCGTGTAACAATCTATAATCGGGGTCACCGTGGTACCTCTCAGGATGAAGATGCGGATGCGCAGCAGCGTCGTGAACTTGGCCGTCTGGTTTCTGAACTAGGACGTTGTAGAGAATTTGGACAAGGTACCAACTCTCACCGCCAGGACAGTCGACAAAAGGAACGTCGGCAATAGAGTGGAGGTTGCGTAACAGAGTCTTGGGGTGGTTGTGGTGGAGCCAAAGCACGGCCGTGTCGAACTTTTTTTCAGAAAAATAGATTGAATGGAAGGTGAAGATGAGCTTGAGGGTGGTAAGGGGATCGTGGGACCAGGCCAAGGGAAGCAGTTGCTCAAGATATTTAAGGCAGGGGTTAACATCTCTATATTCTGGTCTGAGGGCGTCGAAAAAGAGATCAAGGCAGGGGTCACCGTACGAGGAGGAGGGAATACAATGCCAGATGTTGTTGTTGTTGTAAGAAGCCACTAATCTCCTTCTCCTTTGGATTGGGATTGACATTGGTTGTAGGGGCGAAGAAATGAAAATATTGCCGCCTAATTTGCCTTTGCCAACGACATTGACAAGGTTAGGGTTTCGGTTTCGGAGCCATCCTTTGTTCGGATCATTCGAAACAACCCTCGCCCTTGTCAAACGCACTTGTCCTGTCACCACTGCTTTATACATATCAGTCATCATCATCTCTCTAATATTCAAATAGAGCAGGAGCAGTGGTTCGTTGTTTGCTGCTCTCTCTCTCCCTACTTCACCCTTGAGCCTTGACTGTTTGAATTTTAGGGTTGGTTTTTTCTTTCCTTTTGTTGGAGATGATGACCCTAGGAAAGTAAGTAAGAGGGCCTCTTTCTTTTTTCTATTAAATGTAGGATTAATAAACAAGGGTTAATTAATTAAAAGAGTGAAAATAAAATAAAATAAAGAATAATACTAGTCTTACCACATTTTTATACCACATGATGTGGCAACTGATGTGTACATATTACATCATGTAAAATACTAGTTTCTGTTTTTCTAATTTTATTTATTAAAATACACGTCATTCATTTAATTGATGTGGCATATGATATGGATATGCCACATCATATGGTATAAAAATGTAGGATAAAAATATAGTAAGTGTAGCACCAAACACTAATTATACAATTAAATTATTTTTTTGGACATGATTATAGAATTAATTGTAGAATTGTTAGACCCTGTTGTCAATTCTTTTTTATTTTTAAAGGGTGCTGTTAAACAAACCCTAAAATTGAATGAGTAAACTCTACTATCAAACTATTTATTGAATTACTAATTTACCCTAATATAAAAGGAACAAAAATGATATATTAAATTGTGAAACAAATGTGAGTTTAATAAGTACACCCTACCATATTCAACCCAAATTAAACGTAAGTGAAAAATCTCACTTCCAAAAACCTTAGTATTACGGGTGACACTGACCAGGGTGAAGTCTTTATGGAGGGAAGCTAAGGTGAAAGACTGTTTTGGATTTTAGGTACGAGAATCTGGAGAAATGCTTGAAAAGGGAAATGTTAAACAAAGAAACCAAGGTTGGGACAGTCCCTGTGAGAGAGTCTTAGGTTGAAGGCAATATGCTTGCGGAGGAGCTAGGAGGTAGTAAGGGAGTTGATTTATTTATTTAAAAAGAGTTTAAAATAAAAGGGTTTGGGGCTGTCTGCAAGATGATATATCCTCTGGTTTTCCATATTCAGAAAATCAAAAGAAAGGAAGAAGTTTTCCATATGCTGGTGTTATTCATGATTTGTTTATATTAAGTATTATAGGTATTTTTGGTAGTTAAATAGAATGTACTTAGTTAATTTTACATTTTAATTTAAATATTAGGATGTAATCTCAACTAGTTTTAAGGTTCATTTAACAGCATTTTTTTTAATCTTACTTTTCTATTATTGATCCCTTTATTATTGTAATTTGTAACCAATTGGATTTTGCAGTCAGTGTTTTTAATGGGAAAAAAGGATGAATATGATTGCATTGACTCACGGATATAGACAGAAGAACTAAATTGGCTAATGACTGGCTACAATGACCGAATTGGCGAATAAGGTAAAAACACAGGGACTGTTTTGGTATTCAATTCAAAATAATAATATTACTCTCAACTTTTTTTTAATACAAACGATAGGCTAAACTACTAGAGAGGAAACGATAGTCTAAACTTCCTCTAAACGATAGGCTAAACTACTAGAGAGGAAACGATAGTCTAAACTACTATAGAGGAAGGGAGTACATTGTAAAAGGCATTAGTGACTGCTCTATAGGAGGCAAAGTGATGAGGAAGATTTTTTTTTGGGGTGTCAACGGCTCACAGTTTTCTTTTTGGGTTAAATACTCTTCTTCCCCGTCATCCATCACACATAAAATGCTTTTTTTTTATCGAATCAAACATAAATGTAATGCTTTACACAGATTACTTTACATAAAATGACACTTCTTAAGGTTAAAAGATAATTTCTTTTTTCCCCAATAGTTTAAGAGATTGATAAACTAGACCCAGCATCAAATGTATTAAACTGGAACCTTCAAAGAAAAATTCATCCCCGAAAAAAAGTACTAAAATACATCCAGAGAAAATTTTCTAGGTATTCATTTCCATCAGAACGAAGATTGCAAAAGATCACAAGAGAAGTAAATTTAAGACATCTTTTTCATCTCATGGAGATAGAGCCAGCAGAAGAATGTGGATAACTGCAATTGCCATTCATTCTTTTGCTGAAAAAAGGGAAGCAATACCTATAAGAGTCACCAAATTCTGATAAGCAAAATATTTTTCCCATAATGTATGAAGCTGTTCAGTTTGAAATAGCAACTAATCAATAATCCACCAGGTTTAGATGTGAACTACATAAAACTAGAATTTTAGACCTAGGACTGTTAGGAGGTGGCAGATCACAAGAGTTGGAAAATTCTGTATATCCCCTGTCATATGCATCTATGATCACCTTGAGATGATGAATGTACAAATAGCCGGTGGTTTTTCGTTTTGGGTTCTGTTCAGAAGCATTCCTCAACCACACTTTTTCAAACAGATGTTGCTTCACTGTGTCCTTCAGTTAGTTTCCTGCCATCTGTCATCACAAAATTGGACAGCCAATCAGCTCATCACTTATCTTCAAGCACACATGAGTTTAAATGAGGAACCAGCTCAAAATACATTAGGTTAAAATCTACAAAAAGTGGAGACACAAATTTGGGGAGGGAAAAACCTACAAAAAGCAAAGACATAAAAATTTGTTTCTGACAGTATCTGCATTTAAGTCTCCTTCATTGCTTTCAAACAATTCACTATAGTAGCATATGCATCAATGCTGATGAGCCTGTAGCAAAGCCAATTAAGTAATAGAATACTCATTACATTCCTACCTTGGTTTCGGGAAGAGCTGACAGTCGTATTTTCTGTGGCAGACAAATTTTCCTTCATAACTTCAGAGTCAAAATTTGGTGCATCAGTTGTCCTGTGACTCCTGTCTTCTCCCACAACTTCAGTGTTAAAGCTTGAAGCATCATTTGTCTGATTATCACCCAGTTTCAATGGAGTCACTGACTGATCAGGTTTTCCACTAACCTGCATAAGATTCCAGAGTTTAAATGCAAACTATATTGATATATGTATAATACAAGAGAAAGAAAGATCTGACCTTATGCAGGTGAGAAGCATCAGAATATGCTTGATCCTTAGAAACGGACACTGCAGCAGCTTCTGTCTGCTCATGTGATACAGACTCCTTGCCATGAACATTATCTGCCTGTACGTGATCTACCGTCTCTTGCCTGACGTTCCTAGAAGTTTTTGATTTGCTGTTGTAATCACCATTTGACATTAAACCACCAGCTTCGCTGGCAGCCCGCTTCCTGATTCAGGAATCACATGATCAAAGTTAAACAAAACATTCTATGAAAATGTGGTACAATGATTGATGTTCGAAAAATAGTAATATTAAGCATAAAATTGACCATATTCTTACCTGCTGGAATTAGGAGTAGTTATGTTGTGAATGTCTGGCTTGTTGGAAAACAAGATACCACGAAGAGGCTTTCCATCAATGACAGTTTCAATCGTATATCCATCAAAAAGTTTTTCAGTAACCTTTGCTTGAAATGTCTTCTTTCCCAGAAGAAGCTGGGATTGATTCAATGGGATATTCTGTCTACCTGCAGTCATAGCACTAGATCTTTTGAGGTAGTCGCCAAATTAAGTCTAGTACATATTTAACCAATAAAAGTCCACTGCACCTAGTACTTTACTCCCTAACAATGCAGCTGAATCTTACATATCAGTCCAGCACAAACAAATTTAGAAGGTGCTAACTCATGCAAGTAGGTAACCTAAAATATAAACCTCAAATGGAGGTACACAGATACTCGCAGCAATTCAACATACAGCATTACTGGTTCAACACAGCCCTTAAAAGTAGTATCTAAAAAAATCAGGATTGACAATTAGAGAATGTTAATCATATAGACACGAGTTAAAAATGAAGAAGCCAAGGGCCTACCCATCAGTAAATTTGATTTCACCAAATAGTTCTTCTGCTGCACCCATAACTAGTTTTTTGCAGAATCCAACGGCTTATTCTACCTCAGAATTTCAATGGTTCACTCAAAGGGAGATTGAATAGACAAGAGAACAAGAAATCAAATGGCAAGCTTTCCAGCTTCCATTCAAGGTAAAAAAACTTAAGCATCAAGACCACTTTGGCCATGGCTAGTAAAGCTGCAGGTAACGGTTAAACTAACACCCTTGGATTGCAATGAGTAATATATATAATACTATAATAACCTAAATCCTTATTTCCTTGTCCATTGATAAACTTTGTTCTTTTATTAGCTGAGAATCTATATTATAGAACAGTAGAGGGCATATCCTTTATTGGCCCTTTGAAGTGGTTAAAAGACTAAATGTGTAGCCAGTTCAGTGCAATAGCCCAGAATCCTATGGTAGCCGAGTAAATCCTTCACTTGTAGGATAACATTGAGACAAAGTAAATATACTTTAAACATACGTGCACACAGAAGCTAATGAAATCAAAACACATACAAATGATAGCACTCTCTGGAAATGTGTTTCCATGGAGTTAGAATACTGGATAGTGACCTTAGAATGACAACTTTCCTAGGATCAGACAATTTACCTGCTTTTAAATGACTTAGAAGTTTGCAAATTTGAATAAAATAAAAAACCATAGGGGATACTCCACCGAAAAAACACCACAGGGTGTAAGGGGGCTTGATCTCATGCAGTTCCCCTAAATAGTCATGAGAAATTTTGCAGGACAAAGAAAAACATTGAACTTCTAACGAGACTTCAAAAGAAGATAAACATGAATAGAAAATCTACAAACCAACCACCCCTTTCATTTTCTCACAACTTGGAAGAAAGAAAGGAAAGGTTCTAGATCCTGATGCACCGAAGAAAGGAAACCACTACATCAGCATGATGTATTACTGGAACAAATTCCTTTTAGACATGTGATTATGATTCTTTTTGCAATATGTACACGTTGATGCCCAGAGAAAAAAGGGGAATCTGTATCTAGATCAGTAATACTTACATGGTTGGGCATAAAATGGAACTGTCATGGGTTGCCTCATATCTGCACCAGTTCCAACGTTAACAAGAGGCTTGTCGTGAAAAGAAGTGAGATTTTGCTCTTGGCACTTTAGCTTTAATTGCTTCCTCAAAGATAATTTCTCTAGCCTCCGTTCACTCTCCCTGGTAAGTCCTAAAATTAGAAATTATATCAGGTCAGTAAGACTTTATCAGATTTCAAACACAGATAAATATTTACTGTAACAAAATAATCCAAATAATTCAGGGAAAAAAATGAAAAGATAATACTTAACCTGTGTATAAGTAATACATGTCATCCAGTGCCTCAAGACTTTTATTGCAACCACCAATAAACACAAGTACACCTCCCTTCACAGGATCCAAGCAGTCCCCAGCAACAGAAAATCTAGCAGAAGGCCCATCACCTGCAGTTATCACCTTGGTCCATACACCAGTATCTGTACCAATTGGGATAGAAGTGGGTATCATTAATGATACAATTCCACAAACATTAAGCCACTGGGAAGAAAGTAAGAAGCTATAACATAAAGTACATGTAGACCAAGGTGGATAGATAAAAAGATTGCTCAGAAGACTGAAACATTCATAAAAGCAAGTAACCCAAAGGAACCATGGCATGCATGTTGTGACTCTCACTTTAGAAATCCAATGTCAAATATCAAGCTGGTAGTTCAAATAAGAGAACTACATATAATTGTGACACAGACGGTTGACTTCAACCATCACCTAAAATGTTTCACATTCTTGTGCATGTGGAATGAATATGTTTCAAAGAAAACAGAATTCTCTCTCTCTCGTTTGTGGCGGAATGACATGAATATGTTTCAGATAAGTACTTGATACGTACCAACATCAAGCATGTGGAGGTCATTGTATAGATTTTGGGCATCTGTGAATCCCCCAAAAACAAATAAATTCTTCCCAAAAGCAACAGTTGAATGACCAGCTCGGGGTGGCAAAAGCTGGCCTGAAGTGTTCAGCTCCCTCCACATTAGAGTATCTAATGAAGTACAAAATGCCAGAAATATAGAAAGTATATTATCAACAAGTGAGGTATAACCAATGTAACAATTTTTTATTATATATAACTGTAAATGGTCATTTAAGAAAATTATGATACCTGCATCAAGGATATGGACATCGGATAAATAGTAATCATGCCCATCTTCACCACCAATCACAATTATTTTGTTCTTCCAAGATGAACAAGTATGGCTATCACGTGGAGATGGTGGGTTGCCTGATGTTGTAGCATGTTTCCATACAAACGTCTCTACAAGATAAGAGAACAAAAGAAGTAAACCACGTATTATGTGCTATCTTTATCAATCAGTGACTCCAAGCCAAAATAAAAACTGAATGTGATGTCCTACGCTCACAATACTCACTCCCTCCTTCCTCCCAGTCTAGAGTCTACAAAGACAAAATACTTATAGACTTCAATGAAGAGCACACCAACAACTTCATACCCTAGGAAGGTCCACATGCTATCCAAACAACTTATGCTAAATAAGATATCAATCCGCTCACCAAAGGGACTAAAAGCAAGGGTTGTTGAACAACTAGTTCATAAAAGCCGTAGGATTGATCCAATGGCATATATTTCTATGCACTTAAGACCTCACAGGTACCATTTTGGCTTCAATAAAACCATTCAGCAAAGCCATTTAGTTTTGACCCGCTAAGATGAATAAACGTGTTTTGCAGCTTCTCATCCAGTGATCTCTCTCCCTCATCCACTTTCTCTCTCTCTAACCTCTCCCTAGCTATCTCTTTCTCTCTCTCTCTCTCTCTCTCCTCTCTCTCTCTCTCTCTCAACTTAAAATATCTATTAAATTTTCAAATCAATTCGACCTAAGAAAGACCAAAGGACAGATTGATGTAATTTTTCTTTGGATTCACAATCCACAACCTGTAATTTACCCAATCTGAACCTTTGTCCAAACGCCAACTTTTAATTAAATAGAAATGGAAGGTAATAAGTTGAATAAATCTGCTTTAAACCAGAGAGAGAGAGAGAGCTAGAGAGAGAAAGGGGATGGCGGAGAGAGATGGCTGGATAAGGAATCAGCATAACCCGTTTATTCCTCTTTGCAGGTCAAAACTAAAATGGGTTGCAGACTGAAGACAAAATGGGTAGTTAATAAGACTACGTGTCATTGGATTAATCCCACGGCTCTTATAATCTAGTTGCTCACTGTCCCTCATTTGTAGTTCCTTAGGCAAGTGGGATCAAATAAGTAAACTCATAATATCCATGTGAGTAGTCCAGTCAATTGCATGATAATTGTTTGCACACAAAAGTGTCATAAAATTCATTCAAGCCAATCTTCACCAAAGTGATCAATAAACTAACCTTATATTGAAACTCACCTGTATTCAAAATGTAAAGATCATTGTAGTACACTTCATCGCTATTAATAGATGATTTTCCACAGCCACCAAATATAAAAAGCCGTTTCCCAACAAGGGCTGCACTATGACCCTCTCGTGCCTCCGGTCCGTCGCCTCTTAAACTTGGAGATATCCATGTATGTGAAGCTACACAAACATTAAAAACATTAGTGAGCACATTGGTGGTAATTACAGTTATAAAGAATTTGATACAGCCCTAAACGGTAATGGTGCCAGTAAATGGAAAGATTATATCTGGTTTCAAAATAAGTTAATTGTCACCCTGGACGTATAATCATCTGATTGAATTACTGGACCCATAATAATATAGCATTAGTCAACTGATACTGTGTAGATAAATCCAAGGGTGAGCACACTAGAAAAGCTAGCCAGTAAAAAAGCAAAGAGAGAAGAGAGAAATTCACTCACAGGTGTCTAATATATGCAAATCCTTGAGAGGGTTCATCCCATCTGTACCCCCAAAAACGAAGAGATTATCACCAACGGCGGTACAGCTGTGGCTGTCCCTTGGAGTTGGAGGGGTTCCTTTTATCACCGGCTGACTCCATGTATGCGTAGCTGCAGTCAGCAATTCAGAATGAGAGAATGAACGATTTCAAAACTACCTCCATATAAAATGCAATAACACACAGGCAAATGCAAAGTGCTAGTCTGTTAACATCTAGAACAGAATTTAAAATGAAAGTAAAGAGCTCACAGGAAGCACTATTCGAAATTGTATAACCAAACAAAAAACAAAAAAGAAAACAACTTTAGGAGTTAACAAATGAAACCCCTAAAATCAAAGTTCACTAGCATATTCATTAAGCGTCTACGCAAGTATTGTTGCAGAAACCCATCACAGCATTGATTCCAAACAAGAAGACCCATGAAAAATTTAACAAATTAAACCCAACAAAAACCCTAATTACAAGCCCACTACCCGCATGGGCTAATCTACAGGGTATATCAGAAAAATTCGAACTTTGTCCCAGAAAAATTTCAAGCAATAAGGCAAAACCAAGATTACAAAAACCCATAGAAAAAATGGAAATAGATAAATAACGCAAAAATCTTGGGAAATTTTTTTCGCTTTTGTGGAAGACCCACCAGTGTCGAAAACGTGAACTTGGTTGGTCTGACAGTTGTCTTTGCCATAACCCCCAAAGACATATAGCAACCTCCCTTCTTTAATGGCGTTGCAGGTGTGCCCCCACCTCTTCCCTGGCCCAGATATCTCACACAACAATTCTTGTTGCTGCTGTTGCTGGTGAGCTTGTTTGGGCTGTAGCTGAACCCTTTCCCACCTCATTTTCTGGGTAACAACCGGGGGAGAGATACCCAGTTGGTAGAAAATGCGAAAAAGTGAAAGATGTTGAATTACAAAGATGAATTTTTTTTTTAATCGGGGTTTTCTGGGTTTGAATTGATTTTATTGAGTTCATGCAAATAAGGAAATAAATCATTAAAATAATAAAAGAGAGGGTCCAAAACTAGAGAGATAAATGCTGTTCTTTGGGAAATGAGAGAAAAATGTGTTCACTAGGGAGGTGATTTGGGGATTTATTATTATTTGATAAAAATTAAATTAAAAACTAAAAGAATAAATTTATGCATATACCCATAAAAAAATGATACATGATAAACTTCAACAAAATTGCCTTTGTTAGAGAAAAAAACTAGTCAATGACACGTTATATGTCTCCGCTCCATTTGTATTTCATGCACGTACATTGAAACTTGGGTATCATCGATGGGTTTGTTATATAAGATATAAGGTCCGACGTCGTTCTTTATTAGGAAAATAAAATAATCAAAGGTAAAATTTTGCTTTTATTCCATTTACGCTTGGAACTCAAATTTGGTTTTTTTTTTTTGGGTGGACACGTTACATGTCACATTAGATTTACGATTTGATATCAACAGAAGTGACCGTTTAAGTTTTGGGATTTGAGGCCAATAGCGCATGGGCCTTGTACTATAATTCTGACAAGTTTCTTGTGTACAATTACAAAGATGGGGTTTGAGAAGGAAGCCCACAAAGAAACTTGTCAGGGCTGTACGTAGAAGATAGCATTCTCTTTTATTCCAGAGAATATTAGTGTGACCTTGCTATAGAATACAAAACAAGACCCACCAATCAACAGTCAACTGTTCACAAACATCTACAACATACCACAGAGTCACTACTACAAAGACAGCTTGTTGAGTTCTGACTCGCATACCAGAGAGTTCCCTCAACAAAAGAACGATCCTTAAATGTGTTTGATTTTGAATCATCAGAATTTCACATTACGATGGGGATTAGGACAGTTATGAAGTCTGTATCAAATCAATGGATGATAAGCTAATTTCAACCAGGAGAACAACCAACTGGAAGGCACTGACTGATAGTTAATTAGCATAGTTTCCTAATGTTGTTGGTATGAAATCTGCAGAGCTGGTGCAAAGTTCAGAAACGTCCCCTCCGAATTCGAGCCCAGGCTATGGCTGCAACTGCAGCACCCCCCAAGTGCGCAGATCCTGAGATATGTTGGTCTCCCTGCAATAACAAAATAATGTTACCACTAAATTTATTTACTAGAAAATCACAGTGACACTGGTTTGATAACCAAATAACATAAACACCAAAGAAATGTGAAAACAGGAAGAGAACCAAATAATATACCCGTATTATCCTCATAAGATCTTTCGCAATCATATAGATCCCCTAAAATGGAAAAAGGAGAGGTAAGATTTCAAGGATTTGCTTAATAATAGCCTCAACCAATCACCTGATGAAACAAACTTACCATCAGCATGGCAGGAACTGGTAGGATAAACTCCATGTAGATGGTGGATTTTGGGAAGAGGAATATATCAAGCAACATGATCGCAGTAACCGCCCCACTTGCGCCCTACATGTCACACAAACGCACGCAACAGTGAAATGAATTAGAGTTCATTTTCTAGGCTAGCTGTTGTTCAGATTTGTTGGGCAAATGAACACCAAGGAATATGTTTTCCTCTGTCCTTGTTTTGTTGAGAAAAGTAAGGACCACAACATGTAAACAGTTTCTGAAGCATACCAGTCCCGGTATCTTTGATGGGTCCTTCTTCATCGGTTGTCCGCCCTGCAAACAGCATATTACATACCATAAAATACTCAAAACTGTATATTCACAAAACCATCCAGGACTTACCATTCTCTAAATTGTACGTTCAATATAAAAGTTACTTGCATTTTCTTGTAAACAAGAACAATTGATCTTTCGATTATAATTTTGAGCATAGCATGAGCAATATATGCAAAGCAATGACCTATGCAACTTTATATCCCAACAAGGATGTATCACATAAGCTGAGTAATATCAGTTTACCTTCGATGACGCAGCCAGGTAGGCTTTGTGCACCAAGAAGAAGACCGAGCCACCAACAGCCCCAGCTAGATACAACTTTAAAAAAAACTCAGGCCCAAAAATTCTTCCAATCTGATCAGTGCACCATTTAAAAAGAGAAAGATGGTAAAACTGATTGAATATATCACTATATATAAATCATGGAAGAGACCAATTTCATGATATGTTATTATTGTCCAACTGAATGATATGCCAAAACAAAATTTAATACCTTACAGTACCGGTTTATGATATATACGTGTCCCCACCCCCTCCCTCTCCTCCAAAAAGAAAATTACTAGAAAAAAAAAAGCTTCAGAGAAAATTAGCTTACACGCATCCCAAAAACATATAGTCCAAGCATGTTCGAAGTGACATGCCCAGCATCGATATGACTGAATGCACAAGTTATCAATGTGTGCAAACGTCCACTTGTGAAATTGTCTAATGAAATCTGGTTACAGAAGAAAATCAACAAATTACGAAATTGAAGTAAATGAAATCATGTTATAGAAATAACGTCATATGACAAGTTGACAACATTATGTTATAATTTCAAACTGAGGGACTCACGGTAAAATTCTTCACCATGAAGCTATCATCTGCAATCTTCCATAACATAAACACGGCAACATTAGCTATAATCAATCCCATAACCACCTCACGCTCGGATACCCTTCGGAACCATGATCTCCTGCAAAGAGGAAAACATTACTGACAGAAAATAGCCTACATACATTGAAACAGGAACACAAATGATCTGAAGACAATTTTTCACATACAAAGGCATATTAAACTGTTCATCCTGCTCATGTTAATTATATGACAACTGATACTTTGCACAAGCAAATTTGTTCTTGAGGAGTTCCTAAATAACAGTTAACAAAAGTCACTATTTTTCAAATGTTATTATTGTAATTTGTGTGGGCAGAAGATGTTTTGCAGTTATCAACTTTTGAAATGCCAAGCAAGAGCATTTGCAGTCAAGAATGCAGGAGCTTTTGTGATGAATAAAAGCAAGCAATGGCTTGAAACACGTAAATGTAAATATTTGTACGGTCAGCCAGTCACAATTGGATACGTGTCGTCCTTCCCTGACCTGTTGCAGGCACACTTACTTTTGCTCATTGGTCAAAAACAAACCACCGTGAAAATGCAAACCAAAAGGAAATTTCAAACAAACAATTTATCACATTCTAACCAGGAATTCCACAATGTGGAAGAAGAAAAAAACAGATCAAACGTTAAGGCTGCGGAGAAGAAATCATAGGGAAAATGAGTTTACGGAAGAAAACTAGGAAATCGTCGTTGAATTTACTAGCTTTTCCTTCCTTTTCTTAATCAAACTGATAACTTCCACATGAACAGAAAACTTTTACCAGGAGGGACTCTGATTTGGGTTGAACTTAAAAATGTGTTGGCGAATTTGGGCTCTGAAAAAACCAGCAGGTTTGAACTCTGATGAAAGACTTTTGCTTGAGACTCTCACAAGGGTATTTGGGAAACCCAAAAAAAAGTGCCGTTTGAGTAATGGGTTGGAGAGAAACCCATGGATTTTTTGTGTGAGAGTGTGCTGAAACGTCCATGAATGAGGAAGATGGTGAATCGGGTGTGCAGGAAAGGAGCTAAAGAAATAGCTTTGAGTTTGGGGTGGTTTGGTGAGAGAAAGCGTTTTGTGAGGTTGGAAGTGGAAGAGTGAAGAGGTAGTGGAGGAGTTTGGGAGGTTTTTGGGGAGGTTTGAGGCTAGTATCAAAGAAAGAAGCCTCTGCATTTTTGAAGTTTTGATGAAAGCGTTATTCAGTGAGTATTATGGTTTTTTGGCCTTTGGTGGGTTTTTGGAAAAGTTCCTTTCTTTTTCTTAGATAACAAGGTAGCTTCAGTCCCTCGGCAACTGAGATCAATGGAAATGTGAAAGTATGCACACAGGTTTAAATTTGGGAAGAAGAAAAAGAAAGTAACTTGGGAGTGACTAAATTACGGTATTACCCCAATTGCTTTTAAGTCCTTCCCCATTCTGTAAAGAGCTAGCTAATCTTGGGAAACCTTGATTTGGGCAGTACAAAGATAACTTGTTGAGTTGTGATTCGCATACCATACACAAAGATATTCAATTTGTGTAACATGATACTACTTTTCCTCAACAAAGATCGTTTAACGTGTTTGAATCATCAGAATTTCTAATTGAGATGAGTTCAGAAAGGTTGTCAAGTCTGTATCAATGGATAATAAGCTAAATTTAAATCAGGAGAACAACCAGCTGAAAGGTACTGGCTAATATGGTGGACTATCTTAGTTTCCTAGTGTTGTGTAATCTGCAGAGTCGTTGCGAAATTCAAAAACGCCCCTTCCGAAGCCGTGCCCAGGCTATGGCTGCAACTGCAGCACCCCCCAAGTGTGCAGCTCCTGAGATATGACTGTCTCCCTACAATAACAAAATAATGTTACCATTAAATTGACTGGAAAATAACAATAACATTGATTTTATGGCATCAGAAAGACAATTCTGGAGTTCCAAATCATTCAGTTATATGAATGACAGTTTGCACATGGTTCCAACTTGGCTCCATTACATCACTCGAAGGATAATGCTTGCAGAAAATAAAAACAAGCACAATAAACAAGGTCGAACTGTGAAATCATCAATTGGCTGAAAACCATCGAGTGAGGATAACCATGACTCAACTCCTACTCCTGTTTCAAGCCCAATGTAAACACCAGACATGCACCATGAACAGAGACACAAAATGAAATTTGAAAACCGGAAGATAATCAACGTACCTCTATTATCCTCAAGACATCTTTCCCAATTAGAAAGATCCCCTAAAATGGAAAAAAGAAGAGGTTAGTTTTCAAGGATTTTCTTAATAGCCTCAACCAATCACCTAACATAGAATCAAACTTACCAGCAGGATGGCGGGAACTGGTATGATAAACTCCAAGTAGAGGGTAGATTTTGGGAAGAGGAATATATCAAGCAACATGATAGCATTAACAGCCCCGCTTGCGCCCTACATGTCACAAACACACACAACACTGAAACGAATTAAAGGTCAACAAATTTCATCTAGATAACAACCCTGAGTAAAATTCTCAACTCTTAGTCAAACAATCCGTAAAAGTAAGGAGCACAGCATGTAAAGAGTTTCCGAAAGCATACCAGTCCCGGTATTTTTGATGGGTCCATGTTCCATGGTTGCCAGCCCTGCAAACAGCAGATTGTGATGAAATACTCAAGACTGTATATTCACATAACCATCCAGGAGTTTCCATTCTCTGATTACTTGCATTTTCTTGTGAAAAAGTTGATCTGTCGATTATCATCTTGATAAAAGCAATGAATTATATAACTTTATCCTTGAAAATGGTTGTATCACATAAGCTGAGTATCATTTTACCTTCGATGACGCGGCCATGTAGGCTTTGTGCACCAAGAAACAGACCGAGCCACCAACAGCCCCAGCTAGATACAACTTTAGCAAAAATTCAGGCCCAAAAACTCTTCCAATCTGGTCAGTGCACCAAAAAAATAAGAAAGATTATTGAAACTCATTGAATATACCACTTCATATACATTGGACGTGATCAACGTTATGATGTATTGTTTCTAACCCCTCCCCCTGAAACAAAAGAAAATTAATAAATTTTTAAAAAAAAATCTTCTGAGGAAATCAACTTACATTCGTCCCAAAAAAATATAATCCAATCATGTTAGAAATGATATGGCCAACATCCATATGACTGAATGCAGAAGTTATCAATGTGTGCAGACGTCCACTTGTAACATTGTCTAATGAAATCTGGTTACAGAAAATCAAATTGAAGTGAAAAATGGAATGCTAACACACTAGACTAATAAGCAGCTGCAAAGAGTTACTTATAAGAAACCAATGGATTCACATTCAAATATAAAATCTTTTATTTCTCAACAAGAGAGATCCCACGAAGAGGTGTCAGGCAATAAAGTCTTATGACAAGTTGACAATATTTAGTTAATTAGGGACTCACGGTAAAATTCTTTGCCATGAAGCTAGGATCTGCAATCCTCCATAAAATAAAAACAGCAACATTAGCTATAATCAATCCCAAAACCACATCACCATCAGATACCCTTCGGAACCATGATCTCCTGTGAATAGGAGAAAATCATGTTACTGGCAGAAGATAACTTACATACATCGAGGACAGGAAACTTGGGGATGCAAAGTGGATCCTGGGTTTTCTGATTTCTTAACCAAGAGAAGGAACTAACTGAACCCTATGACATGCTAATGGAATTTTAAATAAATAAATAAAATTACGTTGAGAGAAGAAGATTAACACTACCAAAGAAACTGCACATAGGCAAAATTTGATACGAATGAGCAGAGTCTACACTCTGCAGTAGTGCTGTAGTACAGTAGTGTAGAACTCTTATGATAACTACTATGCTTTAATACGTCCAGATAATTCTCAAAAACAAAACTAGATATATCTATAACCATCAGATAAGCCATCATGAAGATTCGAAGCATACTAATACCTAATAAAAAAAAATAAATTTTTTTTTTTTTTTTTTTTTTTTTTCAAAAAATGAGATATCAAGATGGAAGTTAGCGGTGGAAAATCTAAGAACTCCTGCCTGAAGACCAGTGTTGGTTGATATTCTATCTCGTCCATATATTTCCCTTCAATACTAAGATGACATATTTTGATACTGTACTTATCTTATAGCACAATTAGAAGAAACATTGTGAATCAGAAACTGAAATTCAAATTAATACTTAATTCAGAGGGGAGAAAATGACTACCTGGCCACAAGCAAAGTAATATATTTCTTTAAACTCACAAAACAGAAACCTTTATTGTATTTTCTATAACCCAAATAATATAAAGGCAATTTTTCACATACAAAGGAATTATAGGCCCCAAACTATTCCACCTACTCATGTTGTATGACAACTAATACTTTGCACAAGCAGATTTGTTCTTGATTTCCTAAATAACAATTAACAAAAGTCATTATTCACATGTTATGTAATGGCAAACTGCATTCTTGTACTATGTGGGCAGAAGAAGTTTGCAGTTATCAGCAATCAACTTTCAAAATGTGGCAAGAGCATTTGCAAATGCAGGAGCTTTTGTGAAGAATAAAAACAAGCAATGGCTTGAAGTACGTAAATACAAATATTTGTACGGTCAACCCATCACAATTGGGTACGTGTCGTCCTTTTCTGTTCCAGCCACATTAATTTACTTTTACCTTTTTCTCATTGGTCAAATCAACCGTGAAAGTACGAAATCATAAGCCAAAAGGACACTTCAAATTAACTGAAAGAACCCTAACTAAACCAGAAAGAATTTCTCACATTCTAACCAGGAATTCCACAGTATGAAAGGAAAAAGACAACGGATTAAACATCAAGGCTGTGGAGAAATCATAGCAAAAATGAATTTACGGAAGAAAACTAGGAATTCGTTATTGAATTTACTAGCTTTCCTTCATTTCTTAATCAAACAGATAACTTCGACGATCAACAGAAAACAAAAACATTACCAGGGACTCCGAGGAGAAGTAAAATTTGGGTTGAACCGAAAACTCTGTTTGGGAAATTGGGCTCTGAGAAAGCTAAGTCTGAAATCTGAAAGACTCTTGCTTGAGACTCTCAAAAGGGTATTTGAGAAACCCATACAAAATTGCCGTTTGAGTAATGGGTTGAAGAGAAACCCATTAATTTTTTGTGTGAGAGTGTGCTGCGACCTCCATGAATGAAGATGATGGTGAAGGGGGTGTGCGGTAAAGGAGCTAAAAAAGTAGTTTTGGGTTTGGGGTGGCTTCGTGAGAGAAAGCGTTTTGTGGGGTTGAAAGTGGAAGATTGAAGAGGTAGTCGTGGTGGTGGTGGGATTTGAGAGCTTTTTGGGGAGGTTTGAAGCTAGTTTCAAACGAAGGAGCCTCTGCATTTTTTAAGTTTTGATGAGAGCACTCTTTGGTGGGTATAATAGTTTTGCCTTTTGGTGGGTTTTCGGGAAGTTCTTTTCTTTCTCTTAGAGAACAGGGTATCGACAGTCACCTCAGCACCTGAGATCAATGGAAATGAAATGTGAAAGTACGCAAATTTTTTGAGAACAGTATACAAGAAAAATTTAAATGTGGCAGGAAGGGATTAGTAAATTACGGTATTACCCCAATACAACATCACATGAACTTCTCTCTTTCTCGTTTTGTTGTCACTTCACCCCTCGTTTTTTCCCTTTTTAGGCTTTTATCTGCGTAAACGGACTTAGGTGGTGGAAAGGTTACACATGTAGTTGGCGCTCAACCCAGAATTGTCAAATGGCCATAAGGATTTCAACCAGAACCACAGTTACCCGCTTCACAGAGATATTTACCGCCAAGAGAAACCCAACTTTCTCAAACCAAAGTTCCCAATCCTTTTCAACAAACCCAATAAAACCCAGATTTTCACAGCAATCTCAATACAGGAAACAGATTTCCCTCGCCACTCTGCTCCAAAGGTATGGCTTCCCATCTTCTCTGCTTCACAATTTCCTGTCAAAGAATCACTTTTTATTGAATTCCAACATACAGGAATTAGAGAAGTCTTTGGTTATACTGTTATCCTTCAAAATACCCCAGAATTCCCTTGTTTCTTTGATATGTGACTGTCCTGGGGTTTTGGACTTTCAGTTCCTCAAGAAATGGGAAATGGGCTTCTCAAATTTTGTGCTTTTGAGTTCTTCCCCATTGATGATTAAGAGTGTTTTGGAACAATCTAAGAGATTTCAGATAGACCCAGATGGTTTTTTTAAGAGTGTGGAGGTTTTGAGGGGTTTAGGTTTTATTGATGGCACCGTTAGTAAGGTTTTAGAGGGCTTCCCAGGAGTGATTTTGATGAATGGGAAGGAGATTCAAAGGAGACTCGAATTCTTGGCCGGAATCGGAATTCCAAGGGATGGAATTGATAGGGTTCTTCGTTCTTTTCCAGGGTATATAGGATTTGGGGTTGAAGATAGGCTGAAGCCATTGCTTTATGAGTTTAAAGATTTCGGCTTTAGTGTGGATTTGATTAGCAGAGAGATTATTAAAGAGCCAAGAATCCTTAGCATGGAGTTGGGTGAATTCTCGCAGTGTTTGGAATTCTTGAGGACTTTGAAATGTAGGGTACCAATCAAGGAGAAGATTTTCAGTGAGGGAGAATTTAGAGCTGGGTTTGAAGTGAAACTGAGAGTCGACTGCTTGTGCAGATATGGGTTGATTCGTAGAGAGGCTTTTGAGGTGTTGTGGAAGGAACCAAGGTCAATTATATATAAGGTGGGGGAGATTGAGAGAAAGATAGAGTTTTTAATACATAGGATGAAATTCAATAGTCGTTGTTTGGTTGAAGTTCCAGAGTATTTGGGTGTGAATTTTGAGAAGCAAATAATTCCTCGGCACAATGTGATAGAGTATTTGAGATCAAAAGGGGGGCTTGGTTATGAGGTGGGGTTAAAGGGTCTGGTCAAGCCTAGCAGGCTTAGATTCTATAATCTGTATGTCAAGCCATATCCGGATTGTGCAAAAATGTTTGGGAGATTTTCAGGAGATGTTAAAGTTCAAAGCCGGCATCCTGTTGGACTATGGAAACTTTTCAAGCCACAAAGATATCCAGAATCCAAAGAAGATGTGAAGAACACAAAGTTATTTATGGAATCTCTGGGTTAGTATTGCACTGATTGTGAGTAATTCTTCATCGTTCAAGTTGAGGATTTCACCAGGTAGCCTGTTGCGTCTGTAATCTGAATGGATGCAATAATTGTTGGTGGCATGAAGTGTCTTCTGCTGCATGAAGGGCATACTTGTTGGTATACAGTGATTTGGCTTTGCGACTTGCCTTTTGTGATGCATGTAGAAAATTTTGGGAAAACTTAGTTTAGTGAATCGAAATCTGGATATGCATTGCTGATACATGAATCAGTTTCCTTTGTATCAATACTACTTCAAAAGAGAAGAAGCGGCAGTTTTGCATAGACGGGCAGTTGATCGAATGGCTGCCTGCCAGTATCTTTGGCAGAAAAATTATACAACATGCACATACCAAGCATCCGGTGATGTGATATGTATTTTTTTGCAAGTAACTTAGCTTTCTGATTCCTGTTGATTGCATTACATTGTCAGAATTGATCTGTGACTTGTATTAATAATCATGTGTTTCGCCACGGAAGACAAGACATAGAATGAAGAAGCTAGTAGCAGTGGGGCATACAACAATAATGTTCACTTTTACAAGCTCAATCAACATTACTGGATTTGGCTACCATGATTGGCTGTTAACGGTCCATGAATCGCGAGGGATATCAGGAAGATAAGGTATGCAACAGCTTTGATGTCGAGATACCTCTTGAAAACCTGGCTTTGCAATTGAAGGAGGAACTGGGGGTTTAGAGGAATTTAATAGATTTGCAGGGCTTTGAATGTTTTGCTTAGTCAGGGAAGTTATAGGCATAACAGCATCAAACAGATGTCCAGAACTTGCTGATGGAATGGTTGAGTGCAGCTATTATTGCCATGGATTCATTTCTTGCACAGATGGCTGCTGATCATATAATTCGACTCGATTTTCAGTTGGAGCCATGTCTAAACTATTACACATTGCATTTGCAGAATGTTGATGTAGCAAACCCACTTGTAGCTTGACAGTTTTACCAACCTTGCGACTTTTTAAAACTCAACTCCATGTATGTGATGTCTCAATAATTGATTCTTAAAGCTCGTTTTGCCAGGAAGTTACCTTTGTTATCACCGTTAACTGCGTATAAACCTGATAAAGACTCGTTATCATATTGATTGAATAACTTTGCAGCTTCCATTCGAAATTATGAGAGGACTTTGAGCATTTTCAAATGGCTTTTCCAGAATCTAAATGGGCCTTAACAGTTGCTCTATTTATACCTGAATGTTGTACAGTGAGTCTCCTGATAAACTGAAGCCCATGACAGTGACCGTCTTTATATATTGAAGCCCATACGTTTTATTGGAAAGCCTTTAACCCAAATTAACGGATAAAATAAGATAAATGGACCTTGAATACTTCAGCTTTTAATATATATAATTTTTTTAAGGGATTTTTTTTAGGACCTTCCCCATTGAGAATGACGATAACATACTAAATTGTAAATTCATACACACTACACGGATGGTAAGACTCGAACTCATGACCTTTTATAAAGAAACAATTGTTCCAAACCACTACACTTAGTGGGTCCTTTGCTTTAAGGGATCTTCTTTTAATATAGGTTGCTCAGTTCAAGGCTGCATATATATCATATGTCATGCAGAATCGCAGATACCAAAAACCCTAGGGCCTAATGTACAAATTGAGATGCATGATACCATGTGGCATCAGATTGATCAGTTATGTGTATTAATTTTGTAATTAACAACATAACAAGACTTTTTAACCTTGTTGGCAATTGACCTGGTCTATGCTTAGAAAGCAAGTAAATGTTCCCCAAGATTGTACCAAATTGAGCTGGAAAGATCCTCTTAATTATTTGACCCCAAAAGTAGTACATAAATCAACATAGCTTTTTAACGTTGTTCAACATAAGTGATCATATGTATGCAAATATTGTCTGCTTGTTGTTATGGAATCTATGCGTTTACCTAGGAAGAATATTACAGCTGCAAACGTAGCATCCAATATTTTTACACAATACTCCATTACTTTATCCAACATGGTCAAAACTTTTTTACATGTCTGAGTCTTGTCTAGCGATTAGCTTCATATATCTTATACAATAATTCATATTATTGTATTAATTATAACATTACTACGTTATTCTTGTGGTCAGCAGAGAAGAAGAAACCCAGCTTGTAGGGTTATTGTGCAGCAAACATATCTCAGTACGTCCTAAAGATGTTGAGAGTAAATTAATAAACAATTCTCATACGATTTCAAATTTGCATTTCTGCTACTCATTTGGCAAACACACCAAACATATTAGCGTCCACCAAGGAATCTGCAGAATATTATAACAGCAAATAGCTGCTTATTATAATATATGCATGCAATTTCATATATACAATAAATTAAGCATGTCCATGCAGCTATAATTGGCCGTCCAGACTTAGTTTGGCAGACACGATGAATACTTTCTGGTGCAGCTAGCATGGCTTCGGCAAAAGCTACAGTTGGGAAGAAAATTCCAGTTGGGTTTTGGTTCACTTTCGTCAAAAGCTACAGTTGGCAGCCACGCGAGTCAATATGATAAGCATGTTTTGTAAATTTTTATGTCATTTCCTAGACATCTTCCTTAAATTAATTACGGCCATTAGCTAGAGGACTTGGGGGTGGCATGGCGCCAAATGCATGCAACGCGGTTTTGTGTCGTGGAAATTGATCACTTCAATTTCGTGGTAATTTGAACTATATATAGGTCTGTTCACAGAAAGTACTGCAACTAATAAAATAACTTATGATTCGTCTACACTATTCATGAAATGTTGAATCACTGTATAATATATATAGTTATTTTCTTATACGTACGTGTTCAATTGTAAACAGAGAAGAAAACATGGATAGATAGTAAAAAATATATGACATTCACACAATAATAATGTGCGAATGTCCGCATAAGAGAAAAATACATGAGAATCAACATAAGATAATATTTATGACTTGTGAGCAGTCACAAACTAATTTAGAATAATGATGGTACTGTTGGCGAGGAAATTAGAATGAGAATTCATAGCAAATAGCACAATATACACAAATCTATATAGACAGTGCTTCACACATCCCTCTCATTTCCTTGAATTGAAACTTAACGCCCTGTTTGGTATCCTACTAAAAAAATATATATATGATTTTTGTTTTTTTTTAAAACATGAGTTTTCAATAGTGATGAGAGAGAGAGAGAGAAAGAGAGAGAGAGAGAGAGAGAGAGAGGGGAGAGAAAGCGTGGAGCGTGAAGAGAGGGAGGAGAGAGAAAGAGTGTGAAGAAAGGAAGGAGAGAGATAAAAAAATAACTATAAAACCTCTTCTCTCTTTTTTCTTTTTTTAAATAATAGAGGTGTTTTTTGAGTTTTTAAAAATGGGTCTACCAAACCTGTTTTTGTGGTTTTGGATTTGAAATATGTTTTTGAGTTTATAAAATTGGATAAGTTTCGACAAAAAAAATAGAGTTTATAAAATTAGATCCAAGTAGGATACCAAACATGCCATAAAGCCCTTTAAATTATTAAATATTGATCTTGGAATATAAAAGTAAAACAATACTAGTGCATATATATATATATATATATATATAAACAATGAGAGGAATTTGATTAAACAAGACAACTTGACAAATTGATGAATTAGTTCGAACTGGAAGAAACTTTCATGGAAATTACGTACTTATGTATATATAAATACAATAAACTTTCATGTAATTTTCAATTGCACAACGTCATCACTACACTCATTGAATGCGTTGCTCAGTCATCAGAAAGGACTAAAAAGTTTATAAATCAGCTAGATAAATCGCTAGGATACGAACAGTACAAAATAAAAAGGGAGATACCACAAATTTTTTTTAGGGAGTTTCACTAAAACACCCAAAATGGAGGTTGAAATTATAAAAAAACCCAACACCTAAAACACTTTATAAACACACCCAAAACCCATCATTACACACACTCAAAACCCATTTATAAACCCACCCAAAAAGTTGACTTTGGGGTTGATTTTGGGTGTGTTTCTATGTTTAAATAGTGCTTGGGTTTTTTTATAAATACATGTCTAGGATTGGGTTTATTTATAAATTTGTATTTTTTTTATTCAATCTCCCTAACACCATAAGCTTATAGTCAACCTAATGAATCCAATTAATAGTGGTATGATTTGAGAGTTAGTTGATCATCGAGGGGAACGAGTTTATAAGCCTAAATCTTAAAAGTCGTGATAATGGATACCCAACTTAACTTACTAGAGATCCTAACATATGGGAAAATGGCTTTAAAAGTCATTTTAAGTGAAAAGATGCACACTTGACTTTAAAAGTCACATACTTTGAGAAATGGCTCTTCGTCATCTATAAATAGGGCAAGTCTCACACATGTTATAAGTAATTGTGACACTTGCAAATTCGTATAAATAGTGCACTAATATTAGAGATCATTGTGGTCATTGTATCTTAGCAGACAAGTGACGATCAACCATAAGCATTATAATGAGGTGTAAATTGTCTTAAAGACAAAGTGGCAAGTACTTGCCCCGACCAATTTTTCAATTTTTTCTAACCCATATTCTGTTAATTTAGCATTGTATATGCTTATAAGTATGCAATAAATTTGGCATGAAATTGCATGAACTATTTCTGAATCCTTTTATACAATTAAGCCCCTTATTTGCTACAAAATTAAGTTTTAGATTATAAGAGAAGTTAGGTACAATAAAATTACAGTGATTGACATTTCACTAATTTTGCATCATCACTATTCTTGTCTAATTTTATATTACACTACTACAAAAATTGTGTAGGAAGAACAAAATTAAAGAGTATCCAAAATGCTTCAATTCTCTTCTATAACAATCAATCAATGGAAGCACAAAAATGTCACTCCAATGGATGTAAGAGGCACACAAAAATTTATTTGTTCCTTATTTTTTTCTTTGCGAACATGAATTTCCATAAACTAGAAGCCTCGTCCTTAAGAGCATAGTCCTATTTCTAACCCAAAAGTAGAGAGTGAGATACATTCGACAAAAGAGAGAGAGAGAGAGAGAGAGAGAGAGAGAGAGAGGAGAGAGAGAGAGAGAGAGAGAGAGAAACAGTTAGGTGGCGAAAAATTTGGCCGGATTTATGCGGTTTGGAAGCGTTTTCCGATTCAACCCCGCCGTCGTCTTGGTGCCATCTAGCGCAGTTCCTGTTTATATGAAATGTCCCTCTCATCTCTTGTCCTTCAACTCTAGCATCCCATCATCTTGTACAAGGCATCACAAAGTAAAATGACCATAATAATCCTATTTATTCAATCTCATAAAAACTCAAATAATTCTAACAAAACTGTCAAATAAATGACTGAACCACCAAACACCAAATAAATAAGAACACTAAAATATAATTAACTTATAGAATTAAACCCCAAACGAACAACAAAGCTATAAACACTGGAACGGCTGTTCCGACCCAAAAAATAAAATAAAATTGAACGGCTGAGATTTTCTTATTAAATTGATTTTGACATTATGGACCTCTCAGATGCCATATGGCCTCTGTCATGCCGTCAACTAACTTATCGAACGTACGCACAATTCCATTTCCATACATAAATGTGGGGCAAGGTAAAGCAAGAAACAAAATGAAAAAGCATATCAGAATCATAATATTTTCCGAAAGAGACGGCGCAAATACCAGAGTTTGATTCTTCATTTTCACCCGGGGGTAAATCCGTCCACGAAAAATTGAGCAAGGCATCATAATTTCATAATTCATTCTTCTAGGAGACCGCAGTAAAATTAATGTTTACGGCTGTTAAAATACTTGAAGAGTCACATTTCCCTCTATATAACTAATCACTCTTCTTTCTCTTCCTCACACCACAACCCCTCCTCAGCTTTAATCCCACTTGGCTTTCTTGTTTCCTAAGCTTTGCCTTTTCATATTCTCGCTCATTTTCCGACTAACCAAACACTAAGGAAAAGAGCAGGGAGTCAAAAAAATGTCCATGGAGCCCAACTCTCTCTTCATTCCACCAACTGGGTTTTCATCAGTCTTAAGCTTGGAGTTGTTTCTATGTGTCTTCCTCTTCGTCTCTGTTTTCTCCTTTTGGCTCTCACCTGGTGGCCTTGCTTGGGCTTTGTCCAAGTCCAGAGCTCAACACCCTTCAAAAACTGCCATCCCTGGTCCTTCTGGCCTTCCTGTTCTTGGGTTGGTCTTGGCCTTCACTGGCTCTCTGACTCACAGAGTTCTAGCTAAGCTTGCTGAGACCTCAAAGGCCAAACCTTTAATGGCATTCTCTGTTGGGTTTACTCGTTTTGTCATCTCCAGCCACCCTGATACAGCTAAAGAGCTCTTGAATAGCTCTGCCTTCGCTGACCGACCTATTAAAGAGTCGGCTTATGAGCTTTTGTTCCATAAAGCAATGGGCTTTGCCCCTTTTGGGGAGTATTGGAGGAACTTGAGGAGAATCTCGGCCACCCATTTGTTCAGCCCGAAAAGAATCGCTAGTTTCGGGTTGTTTCGGGAAAATATCGGGCACAAAATGGTGGAGGAGATGAAGGCCTTGATGGAGAGGGCTGGTGAGGTCGAGGTTAGGAAAGTGTTACACTTTGGGTCTTTGAACAATGTCATGATGAGTGTTTTTGGAAGGAGCTATGAGTTTGGAGAAGGGTGTGAAAATGATGGCGAGGCTCATGAGCTTGAGGAGTTGGTGAGTGAAGGGTATGAGTTGCTTGGGATTTTCAATTGGAGTGACCACTTTCCTCTTTTGGGTTTGTTGGACTTGCAAGGTGTGAGGAAGAGGTGCAAGAAATTGGTGGCAAAAGTGAATGTTTTTGTTGGGAAAATCATAGAGGAGCATAGGGTGAAGAGAGTTGTGGGTGCTGATCATGAAAGTGGTGATTTTGTTGATGTGCTTCTTGATTTGGAGGAGAACAGACTCAGCGACTCTGATATGATTGCAGTTCTGTGGGTAAGTTTGTTTTTTTCATTTTAAATGAAGTACATGTATATGAAATACTTGAAACGTTTTCTCATTAGATTGTTGTTCTGGTTAGTTTTCAGATTCTTTATGTTAAAAACCAATTTTCTTATGCAGTTCTCTATTTGCTATCAATTATTCTTTTTGCAAAGAGAATTTTATACATGTCTTGTTTTCTGAATCCATTGTTTTCTGTTTTGTTATTATCCAAACATATTTTACAAGTTTCTCTTTTGTTCATCCAATCATGAAACTGTCATGTTTTAATATTTCATTGATGACAATAATGGGATTTTATTTTCTTTCCAATTCATTTAAGAGGACAATAATCATTATAAGCTAGGATGAACGTTTTATTTCATTACTTCAGGAAATGATCTTCAGAGGGACTGATACAGTGGCAATACTCCTGGAGTGGATTCTTGCAAGAATGGTTCTACACCCAGATATCCAAGCCAAGGCCCAGTCAGAGATTGACACCGTTGTAGGCACCGGTAACCGGTCTGTATCAGATTCTGACCTCCCCAACCTTCCCTACCTCCATGCCATAGTCAAGGAAACCCTTAGAATGCATCCACCAGGACCCCTCTTGTCCTGGGCCAGGCTTGCCATCCATGACACTCACTTAGGTCATCACTTCATCCCAGCAGGCACCACTGCCATGGTCAACATGTTTGCTATTACACATGATGAGAAGATCTGGTCTGATCCCAACGAATTCAAACCAGAGAGGTTCATCGTGAATGAAGATGTTCCCATTATGGGCTCTGATTTAAGGCTGGCTCCTTTTGGCTCTGGAAGAAGAACCTGTCCTGGTAAAGCCATGGGCTTGGCCACTGTGGAGCTGTGGCTTGCTCAGTTGCTGCAGAGCTTCAAGTGGGTCCCTTGTGATGATCAGTCTGCAGGTGTGGACTTGTCTGAGACCTTGAAACTTTCTCTGGAAATGAAGCACTCTCTTGTCTGCAAGGCTGTTACTAGGGTTGTGATCTGATCAAATGCTATTTACTTGTGGTGCATGTTTGTTAATTAGGCTAGCTAGCCCTATGGTGGAGATCAAATAAGTTGATCATTTAATGTTACAAGCTTTAATTAGCTAGGCTTTTGTTAGATAGGAAGGGCGCCTCTGGTTCTTCAAAAATAAAAATAAAAATAAAAAAAGGGTAGGGCATGTGAACTTTAGGTTACTTTGATTAACAAGACTTAGCTTGGGTTTGGGTTACTTCTATCTTTGTTATATGCAGGGCTTGTGGAACTTTCTTGTAAACTTTTTTTGTCATTTATATATCAATGCAATGCCAGTTGCCTTTGTCCTTAATTTCATTGTTAATCTCTGCTTAAGTGATGAGCAAGAAATGATAATGGAGACTTCATTATTATTTAATCTAGAGGACCGAAGCATCATATAATTAATTAAATCCTAATTGCAAATTAATTAGAGATATTGGGTGCAAATTAATTGATCCTCCATACATGCATGGTGATGGTGGTCCAAATTACATTTTTTTCTTCTTTTAAATTTCAAGTATGTCTACAACAACTTCATTCGTTGGTTCGCAACATATTTGTCATTGTGTGTATGCATGAACATTGGCCTTCCCTTTTCCTCCCCCCTCTTTATTCTTGCAATGCTTTTCTTTCCATATCTTTTACGATCGATCTCGTATAGCATTTTGAATGTGAAAATTATAAAGAGGGAAAATAATTAAGGGCTAAGATTCCTTAATCTAGGGCTAGCTGTGATTATAGCTAATAAAAAAAGGGTTATTTTGATAATTAGAATTGATATTGCAGAAGATTTTAAATGATTAAGGAATAAGAACCTGAACCAAACAATGATATGGCTCACCTCTCACCTCGCTCACCTCTTTTATGAGATCCAAATCCTTCTCAAGAATATATATCTTGGTGAAGATGTGCCTGTGAAAAGCTTTGCTCCTTTTTTTCTAGCTATAAAGAAAGATGCAAACAGATTTGAATATCCAATTAACTAACCCTATTTTTGCATATTTTTTATCCCCAGACCACATCAATGCATGCAAGTTGCTTTTGGCCTTCTTCTCTTTTTAAGTGATTCTCAGTCACACCCCCATCCCTATATATTCCTTTCCTCCTCCTATCCTTGTATCAAATTCTCAAATCTCACCATCATAAAAGAAGGAAAAGAAAACATATGAAAAATAATGCAAGAACTTGTGGTGTGGCCGGATTTTACGTATAGTGAATACTATCAGCAGCAAATGACATATCATCCGTACATAAGAATCCGATGACGAAAATATCACTATCTTGCTACATATGTATAATTGGCTCTCATATAATTCAAAAAAGCCATATATTTTTCATGATTCTAGCCACATGATCATGGATGTATGGCTGCGATATCATGTCATGTTAACAAAATCTGTACTTTTTTTGGGCACAAAACTTTCCGTATCATCACGCATGGATATATGCCAGAAGATATTGGATGCAAAAAGTTTCATAAAGAATTATGAGTCACTAATTGGCATCTAGCTACTGGCTGCTGCTGGTATTTTCAAGGTTTTGCGTGTTGCAAATGTCGTGTTGTTATTATTTACAAAATATATATAAGATCATGTAACAACTCCGTTATTGTAATAACCTTTTTGTGGTTAGTTTGTATTGACTCTTGTGATCGGTGGCTTTTTTGGCTGAATTATGAATACAACTCTAGAATTTCTATTGAAAAGAGGAAAGGAATCATCCTTTAATTTGACCACCAATAATCATCAGTCTCCTCACCTTATTCTCTAAGCCTTTAAATATTACTAGCTAGGACTGAATATTACGACTGCCTTTGCTTGCATACCAATTTTAAGTAATAATTAGCCAATTTAAAATAATTCAGATGTGGCTGCAGCCAATGCAAAGGTTCTTTTTTTCTTATGACCTCTCATTGCATTTAAAGATGCCTATCTAGGTTTGCTTTGTTCCTTTCCACATGTGGAAACATCAACAAATAAGGCATATAGTTGGAACTAATTATATTGAGGCAATATCCAACACTACTGTCTAGTTGTTATGCACGGTATTATTAATTGAGTGGTCAAATTCTCAGGGTTCAAGTGATTTTTTTGTAGAAATGATATTTGAGAGAATATCTAAAAACTAAACAATTCGGATATTTGAAATATAATATGTAGTGGGATTTACAATGGTGTTCTTCAAATAAGCATATTTGAGAGATCCCTTAACTAAACCTCTCTCTATGTATACGTGCACAAGCACGGAATTGAAAATTCCTCGACAATTTAGAAAATAGAAAAAGCATTTAAAAGAATTTTAAAAGTGATCACCATTACAAGCATGCATGGCAGATGAGGCCCACACTGATCTTCATGCTTGCCATGAGGAGGTCATGATTTTGGGTAATTAAGCCAAGTTTTCAATAAAGAATATGTACTACACAAACCAGGGCTGCCTACTCTGCTAGAAAACCCTAGAGGTTCGAAAGCCCTAAAGAAGAGGCACATTCGAGCAAATCATCATCCGCCACCCTAACCACACACATAAATATTCTAAGAGCTGAATTTCTTTCTTTATTTTTTAAAATGGTTATAATATTTGTACTACGCAACGCTTTACATAATTTCAAGCGGATTAAAGTGGCTAGTCATCATCAAGTAATTTGTTTATTGTGTGTGTTCATTATATTCTCTTGTTGGATGCTTCTCCAACATCTGCTTTAACATGCTAAAGCTGAACACAATTTGAGAAAACTTCCCATATGGACCACTAATTATAGTGCTTAGCATTATAATTACTAATTAGACATGCATAAATAAGTGATGCCAACCGAAGGGATCAATCGAAACTTGTCTTCGTGATCCCAGGTAGGAAGAAAAACCAGACCCTGTTGTAGGGCACATGAATTTTTAATCAAACTAGTTGTTTTGCTGTGCCAAAGGGTTCACACTGGGATAGCTAATTATATTCCTTTGAGTACATATGCAGGTCCAAATAAGTTAGCTGTTATCTTTGTTTATGCTATCTTAGATCTTAGTGTGAAATGGGATCCACACAGACATGTACCTTCTACATGCCTAATTATGCATCCCTTCTTCGCCATCTTTATCATTAATTATATGTGATTATAATGATGACAATCACAGCAATGATGGTTACGCGGAGAGAGAGAGAGAGGAGAGAGAGAGAGAGAGAGAGAGAGAGCACTGCTATTTCTCACTTTTCTGACTCAAAAAAAGAAGAAAAAAAAGGTTGTGTCTGTGATCAGATCAGTACTAACCCTTTGGCAATCTAACACATATAATGGTGTGCAACAAAAGTTCAATATGCGCGCGCAACAAGGCCCCTTAATTTGAATATAAAATTAGTGAGATAATTAAGTTGCTAAAAGATACATTTGGGTAGTTTCTGAGATTAATTTCACTGCTCGTGTCATGTGTTAGCCGCCAAAAGATGTTTAGGTCTGCAAAGCATAGCTACTTTGAGTTAAAAAGCTTGTGATGAGTAATGAATTATAAGTCGGTGCTTGTTATCATCAGTTGGATATAGGTAGCATTTCCTAGCCTAGTCGCACACAAGAACGACTTAGAGAGTTTAATCACATCCATATCCATGTCTTTCCATTTGAATTATCAAACACATAAAGTACACTACTTTTGTGCAGAAGCATGTGCAAATTCTGGTTTGATTCTGTCTGATACAAAACAGTAACGCACAAGAATGATTTTGTTTGTTGATTTTTAAAAATTATTTTCACACAAAGGTCAAGTGCAGAGATAAATGCTTTTAACTACTTGAGCTACAAGTCCTTTATTACAAGAACGATTTTGTTCGATCCAGAAAAAAAAATGAAGAAGATTATTTGTGGGTTTAAAGCCCAACAAAATCAAATCGGATAGATAACGGACATATTATGACCCGTTGTTTGAACTGTTTTAGCTGACCCATATTGCTTTAGTAGGGTTAATGTCTTTGTTATTGGGCCTAATGTTTGCCTACCCAGCTAGGTTCTAGGAGCAGCCCAATTAATAGAAAGTCATCAAAACGCTGCGTTCTGGTAATGCACGAACGTTTAGGTTTTCATTACTTCCTCCTTCAAGAATCAAAATCTCTCCTCTCACAGTGAGCTTCTTCACCTCCGTCTGTGTCAAAATGCGGCCTTTACAGCCTCTGCAACTCCGGAGACTCTTGCTCCGCTACCTCTCTACCTCGTCTTCATCACCATCTTCTTCTCCAACTATTCAAACCCACATTCTGTTTCACTCAAGAAAACCCACCCATTTCCACTATGCCCAACCCGCCATTACCACAACAGCAAGCTCTCACTTTCTCTCTCTTCTTCATTTCTGTGTCTCTAAACCCTTTTCTTCCTCAACCTCACCAGCCCACGACTCGGATCAGTCCCAATTAGCTCAGTCTCTCTCCTCTGAACTCCTCATAGACCCTAGCTCCGATCCTCTCTCTGTCTCCCAACGCCTACAATTGAGCTTCTCCCACATCACCCCGACTCCTTCCCTGGTCCAGTCCGCGCTCAATCTGTCTCCTGATGCCGGCCGTGCAGTTATAGGGTTTAACGAGTGGCTCATCTCAAACCCTACTTTTGAGCACACCGATGAGACCCTCTCGTATTTTGTGGATTATTTTGGTAGGAGAAAGGATTTCAAGGCGACCCATGATGTGATTGTTAGTGCAGGTGGGGTTGCTGGGCCCAAAACCTTTGCTTCCTCCATTGATAGGCTGGTGAGAGCTGGGAGGCCGGCACAGGCTGTTTCTTTCTTTGAGAGGATGGAGAAGGACTATGGGCTTAAGAGGGACAAAGCTTCGCTTAGATTGGTTGTGGAGAAGCTTTGTGAAAATGGGTTTGCGAGTAATGCTGAGAAAATGGTGAAAAGTTTGGCCAATGAGTTTTTCCCTGATGAGTATATTTGTGATTTGCTTATTAAGGGTTGGTGTATTGATGGGAAGCTTGAGGAGGCTCGAAGATTGGCTGGGGAGATGTATAGAGGAGGGTTTGAGATTGGTACCACTGCTTACAATGCCATTCTTGACTGCGTTTCTAAGCTTTGTAGGAAAAAGGACCCTTTTCGCCTTCATTTGGAGGCCGAGCAAATCTTGGTGGATATGGACACTCATGGGGTTCCAAGAAATGCGGAGACTTTCAATGTGTTGATTAGTAATTTGTGTAAGCTTAGGAAGACCGAGGATGCTTTGAACTTGTTTCATACAATGGGTCAGTGGGGTTGTTATCCAAATGAAACTACGTTCCTTGTGTTGATCAGAAGCTTGTATCAGGCAGCGAGGATTGGGGAAGGGGATGAAATGATTGATAGGATGAAGTCGGCCGGGTTCAGTGGGGCTCTTGATAAGAAGGCCTATTATGGATTCATGAAGATTTTGTGTGGTATTGAGAGGATTGATCATGCTATGCGTGTTTTCAAGAAGATGAAGGAGGATGGATGTGAGCCTGGGATCAAGAGTTATGATCTGTTGATGGGAAAACTGTATGCTCACAACCGTGCTGATAGAGCCACTGCCCTGTTTAATGAGGCTCAAAAGAGAGGGGTGGCTTTGACACAGAAGGCATATCAGGCGGATCCGAGATTCTTGAAGAAGAAGCCAAAGGCTGCGAAGAAGGAGAAGAAGCGGGAAACTTTTCCTGAGAAGATGGCAAGGAAGAAGAGACGTCTTAAGCAAATTCGATTGAGTTTTGTAAAGAAGCCAAAAAAAATGATGCGTCGAGCCTACTGATGTCATTAGGAGTTGGAATTGTCAAATTATCAAAGGGGAATGACAGTTTTGATCAGAGTTTCTGTTTTTTAAAGTTCGATCATTTGTTTTCTCTTGATGTTTTATGCAGTTGAATTTGTTTTCTTGTTTTGTTCTTATAGTTAGTGAGTGACATTAGAAATAAGAAAAAGAGTTTCTATACAGACTAGTTTGATTCGACAGTCTTCATTCCATACAAGCATGCTTTACAATGACAATTCTCTTTCCAAACCTGTGTTAGACAATAATCTTTCGATACTCTTTGCTCGATATGCCTATACTTTGCATTGTGGAACCCCATAGGTGCAGATATACTTTGTCATTTGCATACGTGATGTTCTGGTTTTGCCTCCTTTTTTTGCCCCGCATAATCTGGTTTTGTCTCCCTGGCCTTAAACACTGTCGTGTCGTCGATGATTGTCTAGGAAATTTTATGGGTTGTGGGGCTTGTTGGCTAAGTAGCGCAGCACACTTTCTTTTAGCTGGTGGTGTTAAGACCTTTCTCTGGTATGGAGACTTATATATGTTCCAGATGATAGGTTACAATTAATGCAGTAATTTCTTCGAAGACGCATCAGGGAGAGGGAAGAGAGAAACCATGCTAGAAATGCAATGACAAATTACTTTCATGCTTTTTTGCCTTTTTGTTTGGGAACATTCATGATTTATGATCAATCTTTTTTAGAAATTAAAGAGGCAATGTGGATAGGGCAAGCAGCTGGTGAAAGCGTGCAAGTAATTTGAAGAGGCATTACAGTAATTGACGGTCGTGGATCTGAATCTGAATTATTATTTCTATTCAAAGAGAAGACTTTAGATTACTCTTAAAATTATTGTATCTAGTAATTGAACAGTGAAGAGTATGCAAATCGGAAAGACTTGATAACTAAAACGGAAAAGAAAACAAAATAACACTTTATCTGACCATACTGGAACCGTTTTAAGTTGGGGGTCATTTGTAGGTTACACTCTATTCATTTATCTAGTTCTACGTGACATGAGTAAATCCTAAGTCAAATGATCAATCTACATTTCTTCACATCAAGAAAGCCACCAGCCGATTTCTGCAGGCTTTACAGACTTTCCTTCCAGAACCGGATTGATCTGTCCGTCCCACAGGTAACATATGCTGCCTCTGTTGGTGAGTGCTCAAGCCAACGGAAAGCACCAATATGATTGGAAGGCCATTTTGCTACTTTCTCTGCTGTCAGAGCATCCCATATAACAATCTGCAACCATCCCATAATCATCAATTAAAACCTTTGTTCTGCTCATTTAAATACCACAATATTTCATTTAAATGCAGTAAGAGTGAACGAACCTCATTGGTTGGTTCATCGATGGAGAGTACAAATTCTTCAGTATCGTTAAAAACAGCCTGCATAGAAGTATAAAAGCACCTATAAAACCAAATTTTGATATTTTCTTTTTTGGATTCCTCACATCCTGGGAGGATAATAGTGCACAAGGATAATTAAAGTGTGGTGGAGATTGATTCAGATGGGGCTGAGGGAGAAGATTCTTTTTTAGGATTTTATGTAGTTGACAGAGGACTTTGTAGCCATTTTCTCTGGCATATGGAATTGCATACTTAAATCAGAAGGAGAGTAGAGGGGAGGAAGAGATTTATATATTTAAAAAAGTGTTTAAAACACACAGATGCTCAACCTAAAATATTTTATTTTAATTTCTTTTAAGGAAAACCTCCAAAAGGCCTTTCTGGTATACCTGACACCGCAATTGAGTATGTGTAGCTCCTAGATATTGTTTAACCAATTTTCCAGTGCCGACTTCCCAAAGCTTTACAGTAGAATCCTTTCCAGAAGAGAGAACAAACCTAGAAAGCCAGCATTTGAGTCATATCACAGAGAACAGGACGCTTGCAAAATAAAAAATTTAGAAAGAATTGAGGGGTGAACCAAATTTACAGTGATGTTCTAGCACATCTAAAGGCAGATATTCCACAAGAACATATAATCATAATATTCCTTATCCCTGTTATCCAACATTTATGAAACAACTTAAATACAGAAACATCATTTCACATAAGAAAGCCACCTCTCTATACACATGTACTTTCACAATTTTCTACTCATGGATGATTATTTCACATATATCATGTTTCAGAGCTTATATCAATTCTATGATCTATACCTTTGATCCTTAGTAAAGTTTGCACTGGTTGCCTCCGCCGTGCCATGTGCACCAGCTATTGAGCGTACGCAATTGGCAGTTACACCATCCCATAAACGAATGGTACCATCTTTAGAAGCTGTAACATACAGGCCACCTGTAGCTGAATACCTGACCTGATGCACAAAGATGTGGATTTGATTGCCCTCATTGAATTGTATTTATCTATAAACAATGGAAAATAGAACTTGAAGCATGAATAAATAGATGGGGTCAACCATGCCTGATTTATTGCTCCGTTAACATCGATTTCTGGGGCATTTGCAGACAGGTAGCACTGGAAGGTATTGATATCATACAAGTGTGGAATTGGATGATCAGTCCCTGTAATATATATTTTTTAATATAAACATTATTAGAAGCCAATTCACTGTATGAATGCATGATAATAGTTCAAGTAAAGATGAAAGAAATAGCCTTAGCAGCACTCCTCACAGATCTAGATAATTTAAGATACCTGTATTGTGAACAGTGGCCTCGATTGCACTGCTCCTTGAAATGAGCTCCGACATTTAACATGTAATGCATGGTATTTCAGTATGTGTGTGTGGATAAAAGCTCATTTATAACAAGGTTGATCTCATCAAGTTAGTTAATTCATCCTTATAGCAACTCTAGCCTCTGGTGGCCATCTATTGGCACTAAAAACAGGTCAAGCTTAATGTAAAATAATACTTCTGGAGATTACATAAGAGCATTATAAATTTCTCTATCAACTTCAGCATATATCAGCTTTACAACAATTTTTTTTATGAGAAAAACAATGCATATGATATATTACTAAAAGATTTAATGAAGCTATGAGTAAATGATAGCAAGTGTAAAGAATTTAATTCCATTTGAATAAGAACCAAGACACATGTACACATTCTTGCCATCGTATCTAGAAAACACCAATTCATAGATTGCATGGAACATCAAATTGGTTAAAGCAAGACTTCATTACACCAAGAAAATAGAAAAAGAAAAATAGAATAACATTACCAGCTAGAAGAAAATCTCCAGAAGGATGAAAAGATACTGAACGCACATTGTGTGTATCCTGTGTCATTAAAAAGAAATAATTTAATATACAAATGTCGTTCTCTACTATGCTTCAATCTATTATCAGATCACAAGTACAACCTGGATGACTCTGAATGCTCTCTTTGCAGTCATCTTGGAAAAATCAAAGAACCTGAAAGTAGTAACAAGACTTACATAAGAGTTTGAAGTGAACTCCTGTTTTGTTTTACAACTAATGCTGGTAATGTTCGAGGGTGAAAGGAGGAAAAAAAACAGCAAAGAACTAAAAAGGGCATAATAAGAGGGACATGAAGACATGTTTTGTTGCTGGCATTGCAAGAATAAAAAAAAACAACTTCTCAATAACTAAACAATGGACTTTCAAAATTATATTAGAAAGTAAAGAATCCATACTTTATGGTGTTATCTTTTGACCCCGATATAAGAACAGTGTTCTGAGGATGGAAATCCAAGTCATTTATAGGCTGCAATTGAATCCGAACAATATTAGACATAAGGAGATATCCCGCAACATTGTCCAATTGTCTTTGAATGAGAAAATAAAAACAAATGGGAATAAATTAAAAGAATCCAAGTTTCAAAGAACAAGCTTAATCCAAATGTTACACACAGACAAAATTTGACAACTCATGGGGTAAAAATGTTATATGTAATTTTGGAGCTATAGATTTCATATTATCATACTTGAAGCATTTTCTTTGTCTAACGTTCCTCGACAAAGTCATGGCAAAGTCAGCATAAGAGGCTCATATACAACGCTTTCAATTGAACAATGTTTGTGGTTGAAATAAAAATATTCCATAGGCAAAGCAATACTTAGCCTTCAAAATATTAGGAACAAAGGTTGGCTTACTTGTAAGTGGTCATAGAATGTGCGAATGACAGGTCTCACAGGACCATCTCTTGCATCTGGAAGCATCATCTGCTTAATTTTTGCAACCTGAAACAGAATATGACTGCCTGAGAATTAGATAGGGCCCACATTGAAGAAAAAACCAATTTTATAGCTAAAAGAATCAGCACCTCAAAAAGCTTTATTGATGTGTCAGAACTTCCAGTAGCAACAAACTTCCCATCAGGACTAAACCTTGCACATCTGGCAATATTCTAGAAATTTTAACCCATCATGCCAAGTAAGATGCCCAGTGGAAGGTGATCTTTATCATGCCAACTTAGTGGCTTAATAAAATAAATATAGATGTTATACAATAATTTGTTTTCCCTATTTATGCATACCTTGTGCTCTGAAAGATGGCGTGTCTCATGCTTTGGGAAGCTTTTTGATGAGCCTTTTGTTTCCTGCACTGCACTGTTTGCACAAGAGACGTACAAACGTCGGTTTATTGACAAAATTTTGCAAATATTATATGATAAAAAACAATGAAATGATCCCTCCATCTCCTTCATTTTCCTTGAAGAAAGGTAATGATGAAAGCATTCAAAACAAAGAATAGTAAATTTTAAAGGGCTTGGTCGGGCATGCGACTGCTCTATCTCCTGTTTTGTCTACAACAATAAATTATAGAAAATGCCCATATCGTTTGTGGCATACTCAAAACCATTGACATAGCCATAAGGCAAACACCAAAGGGCATTAAACAGTAATCAAATGACAGAGGTTCCAAAGACATAATTACCCAAAATCAACAGCAGCAGTGCGAGGAGCTGGGATTGAACCATATCCAGAAGGTATTGATGTACCCAAATCAAATGCAGATGACGGAACCCCTCTCAACATCTCATCTTTCTCCACTGCAAGGCCCTGTTATCACCTTAGAATCAAAACTTTCTTTTCGGGTTTAAACAATGAAAGATAACACTGAAACAGAGGGGGAAAATAAGTCTTGAAATGCAAATACAAACCTTGGCAACCAGTTCAAGGAGCTTATTAGGCGGGGCTTCATCATTCAATGATGTCATTGTTGCAGAAGCAACGACACTAGCAGCCTACAAATAAGAAAGATCACCAATCAGCTCAATCTGCTAAAATTCTTTCTTCTATTCCAACAGAAGATCAGAATACTCAAAGTCTCATTATATCATAATCTTCCTCAATTTTTTCATCAATCATAACAGGCATTTAACATTTTCTTCCACAAGATAATTCTACAAACCAAGAAAATGAGAAAGAAAAACTGAAACTTTAGCAGAGCCAAATGCTTATGAAGGCCTCAGGTGAGTCAAGTTTACAAATTCGAATTTCACAGCTACTAATTTTCTACATTTTCCGGGAACTAAGCCATCTGCGAGTTAAAAGAAGTTCACTTTCCAGATTGAGACTGTAGCATCTTCCCAATATGATCATGGAAAACGAATGAGACATACTTAAGTCAGCTTAATTACTGTCCACAAACCAAACCAAAACTGAACCATTATGTTGAAAATTCAATATCTTAAGTTTTCCTACACTCACTCAGCAACCAAAAGCACACACACGCACATATACACATATATATATATATATATACATATGTGATGAAGAAGAAGAACTTGTTTGCCTGATAGAGATTGTTGTCGCGAAGATGGGCGACGATGAGCGAATTGATTTGTCTGTGGAGCTTGGCATCTTGCAGAACCTGCTCCAAGCTGCTGTTCTCCATTTCTGGCTAAAACCCTGTCGCCCCAAACCCAAAGTTTATGCCTTTATGTTTCGTCGTTCGTAAAAAAACGACGTGTCGTGAAGCTATGAATATATGCAAACCAAATAATTGTAGGCCTATACCTAAAAAAGAATCAAACTTGTGTATAACAATATAAGACAATCTCACAAAATTGAATAAAGGAAAGGGAGATGGCCCTAACGTGGACTGTGCAAGTGTGAGACGGAAGATGATGAATAATAATTGCCAAAAAGAATAAAATACCAATTTATGTTATAATCTGGTGGTTAGAGCAAAAGATTTGGACAAATTGCAAAGACCCAAATGCACCACATCTCTTTCCCAGTGCACAAGTTGTTGAATTTGCTCTCCACCGACACTGAAGGATGCCTTATGGCCCACAGCCTTTGCTGTCTGCCTTATAAGTCCTTTTATTATATGTTTTTAAGTTGGTTTTCAGTAAATATATATGCTATGTTTTTTATCTGTTCCAAAAATGTCCCTCACTATGAAAGTTCTACACTTACCAATAAAACCTAGTCAAACCCATTCTCATATGGGAAGATTTGTACATTTCATGACAAATATCCTTCGAGTTAGCTGAATACTGTAAAGGGTACAAATGGAATTAAGGTGTGCATGCTGTGACACAAGGACAAAACTTGAGTGACATTAACTGGATCGATTTCTTCCTCAAAGCAGTGATTAGAGTGAGCTTTAAAAAGTCACTTGCCATGTGAAAAGAAAGCCAGCCACGCCCCGTTGGCCAGCTCCACATCGCTCTCTTTCTCTGTCTCTCTCTGTTTTCTGGGCAGATCTTGAGCTAAATCAATAAACATCACTGTTAAAACTAAATCTGCATCAACAAATGGAGCCTCGGTGCTTATCAGACACTGGATCCATAGTCAAGCTCAGCAGCTTTGCCATTTTGCTTGTCTTTTTGCTTTCATGCTTCAGTTTTACTTCTACAGGTCAGTGCCCATGTCTGCTTTTTGGCCCGTGGTTCCAAATTTAGTTTCTTGAAAGTGTTTTTCTTGTTTTCTATTTCTGGGTTTTAGTTATTACCTGTTACTTGTTTTGGTATTTGAAGAATTTAACTTTCAAAGATATGATTGGATGGTAGGTAATTCTTTTATGAAATTTGAGTTTTTTGCGTTTTTTTTTCTTCCTAAATTTGGAGAGGTGAAGCATTGAGTGATTGATATTTCCTTTTAAATTCGATCTCTTCTAGTCCTTTATTATTGCTTTCACCGGAGGGAATGGAGTCTAGCTGAATTTCAGATATTAGCTAGAGATAAAAGATTCTAACAATTAAGCTACAGAGTGTACTAATATCGACAAGCTGGAAATTTTTGTTGATATGTAGTGAAGCAGCAGTATAAATGCCTTGATATTTTTTTTTTCATAATTCATATCATAGAAAGAAAATTGAAAAGAACTAAAGTTTTGACAAGTAAATCGTGTACTTATAATAAAGTCAACCCTTTTGGAAATTTTGAGGATTGATGTATTGAGATGTGTTTTGCTCGATGTTTCTGCAGAAGCCTATGATGCCCTTGATCCAACCGGGAATATCACAATTAAATGGGATGTCATTAGTTGGACTCCAGATGGCTATGTTGTAAGTATTAATGAGCAGATCATTCCTTTTATGTGATAATGCTGCCTTTATTTGATGCTTTCTAAGCATGGGCTATCATTGGATTGACTCAGCTTAAAGCTTTATCTCGGTTATATATATCAATTTTAAACTAAATTTTTGTGTTTTCAAAAGATGCAAAGTTAATTTGTTCATATTCTCACTGGATTTTTAATGTTTTCTTGAAACTCAATCAAGAAAAGAGGAACCAGGTTTGGAATTAGAATTATATTCCATCTGTGTTTTGTTGTTAATGTCAATGGTGTAACTATATTAGTAGTGCTAGATATCATGGAGAACCTCATTTAGTACTCCCTGACCTGACTGATCATTTCAATCACCTTGTAGTTCTATTTCCCGAGATATAATCCTTTACTTGTGTTTTTCCTTGACTTTCTGATACAAACTGTGTTATTTGAAATGGCAGGCTGTTGTTACAATGTTTAACTTCCAGCAGTATCGACATATACAAACACCAGGCTGGACATTAGGATGGACATGGGCAAAAAAGGAAGTAATTTGGAGCATGGTGGGAGCACAAACCACCGAGCAAGGGGATTGTTCAAGATACAAAGGGAATGTCCCACATTGCTGTAAGAAGGATCCAACAGTTGTGGATTTGTTGCCAGGAACTCCTTACAACCAGCAGATTGCAAATTGCTGCAAAGGGGGAGTAATGAACTCATGGATCCAGGACCCAGCCAATGCTATAAGTTCGTTCCAGATCAGTGTGGGTGCTGCAGGAACAACGAACAAAACTGTCAGACTGCCAAAAAACTTCACCTTGAAAGCACCTGGGCCTGGATATTCTTGTGGGATAGCAAAGATTGTAAAACCAACCAGATTTCTAACAGCGGATAAAAGGAGATGGACCCAAGCAATGAGTAAGTACACAAAACTACCCTCTCCCCCTGGTACCACAAAGAAGAATAGAGAAGAAAAGAGCTTTTGACTGAGTTAATTGCTAAGGTATTTACAGTAACCCAGAGTTACTATAGTGTTACTCTGGACTGTGAACATAAGCCATTGGTTTATGACATAGATGTGGTAAAGGATGGAACTACACTATGGCTAGATTGGGCTCTAGCCTAGTGCAAAGTTTGGGAAAAAAGAAATTTAATACTAATTTTTAGGCACTACACTTCATTTTACAAAAATTAGCCCAATCCATCTAAGCAAAAATTAGCGTGTCCTATCCAAACAGATCTCCAGTTAGCTTCAAGTTTTCTCCTATGAGAAAATAAATGGAATTTTATTTAGATCCTTACCCATATAAGAAATAATAGCCCACCCCTATAAAAATATATGGTTCCGTCCTTGGATGCAGTATCTGTTAACATATCAATAGGAATAGTTTCAGCTTAGGATTAAAAAATTGTGTAGTTTCAAGCTGCTCCTCAAATGTTCCAAGTGAAAGATGCAATTGGAACGATAAGTACAGTCTTATACTTTAAAATATGGGAAAAGAAAATTTCATGCTTTATTTAACTTTGACATCCTCTTCTGGCAGTGACCTGGAACGTTACTTGCACATACTCGCAATTCCTGGCTCAAAAGACACCCACTTGTTGTGTTTCTCTCTCCTCCTTCTATAATGAGACCATAGTAAGCTGCCCCACTTGTGCCTGTGGCTGCCAGAACAACGCTACAGACCCTGGGAGCTGTGTAGAGTAAGTGTTCTAATTCATATATTTGTTGCATTTCTCGATCTTCTTTTTCTGAGGCAGAGTTTGCAGTGATACTAAATCATAAATATTTTCTCATTTGTTGATACTGCTTTGCAGGCCGAACAATCCATATTTAGCTTCAGCTGTATCAGGTCCTGGAAAATCTACTAATGCTCCTCTGGTCCAGTGTACTAGCCATATGTGTCCAGTCCGAGTCCATTGGCATGTGAAGCTCAATTACAAGGAGTACTGGAGAGTGAAAGTCACAATTACAAATTTCAATTACAGAATGAACTACACGCTGTGGAATCTTGTTGTGCAACATCCCAACTTTGATAATTTGACCAAGATTTTCAGCTTCAATTACAAATCCCTAACTCCTTATGCTGGCTTAAGTAAGTTTTTTGTTGCCCTTCATCAATTTGTGTGAAGTAGATTTTAATAATTTTCAAATCAATATATTATCAATGCAGTTCTTTGGGCTTTCATTGACATAAAGTTTGGCAATACAAATTTTGGTTGTGCAGATGACACTGCCATGTTGTGGGGAGTAAAGTTTTATAACGATTTGCTCACACAAGCTGGCCCTCTTGGAAATGTGCAGTCAGAGCTCCTATTTCGAAAGGATGCATCGACTTTCACTTTTGAAAAGGGATGGGCTTTTCCTCGAAGGATTTATTTTAATGGTGACAATTGTGTCATGCCACCTCCAGATGCCTATCCATGGTTGCCAAATTCCAGTCCCAAACAAGTCATTTCCATACTTCATCCCGCCATCGCCATCTTCGTATCTCTGCTATTCTTATTGGCTTATGCATAGTGAGTGTGCCTGGGCCAGACAACAATAGCTATCTGTTTTTTCATTACATAGTAGAATTTTCTATCAAGTTCAAGTTGCACTAAAGCATATGGAAATCCAGTTGATGGGGTCAAATGTGTTACTGTGACTTCTATCTATACAAGTGGTTCAGGTGCACTACGGCTTAACTGTCACTACAAAATTCTGTTTCAATATCTGTTACACGTATTAACACTTTATTCTTTTACTGTTGTTTTTGTTTAAATTTAGCCGTTGTACGATTATTTAGAATGATCCAGTGAATATGTTCTTAGCATTATATGATATTTCAGAAGAAATCAAAGTTGATGTATGATTTTTGTTCAAAGAGTTGTATAACAGTGTTTATATTATTTTAGATTTCCTGTTGAGTTCACAATACACATCCAGTCACATACTGCAGAAAGAAAACAATATTAAACAATTTTCATAAGTGAAATTGCAAGAGAAAACATTTAGTAAAGGAGCAAAGCAATTTCGTTTGCTATTGTGCACCATGAACTGGGCTAAAAAATCGTGGGACATTATAGCAAGGATTTCAGATACAGTTTCCCAAGCTCACTATCTATGCTGAATTATCACACACAAGACCACTTCTATTACTCCAACGTTTCAAAATTATCAGGAAAGTGAAAAACATATAGAAAACAATATCAGAAGTACAGAAGCTGCCATTTTGAAGATTGAAATAGAATTTACATGGGCAGAGTTTGGTAGAGCTGGGTATGCATCAGGTGGGGGCAGCATACATTCATCACCATTGAAATAAACTCTTCGAGGAAAGGCCCATCCTTGCTTGAATGTAAAGGTGTTCTGGTCCTTCTGCAGAAGCACCTCAGACTGAACATTTCCTGCTGGCCCAGCTTCCATTAATAAGTCATTGTAAAACTTCATGCCATAGAACATGCCAGTGTCATCTGCATATATGGTCAATCAAGCTCATCTGTTAGTAAGAAACTCAAAATTCCAAAAGAAATGTTTAATAAAAAAAAGAGAAGCTTGAGAAGCAATAGACTTACTAATGGACTCATAGGGGAGAAGGGGTTTGTAATCAAAGCTAAAGACTTGAGTGACATTGTTGAGATTAGGATGCTGTGCAACGAGTGTCCACTCCGTGTAGTTCATCCGATAATTGAAATTTGTGATGGAAATCTTGACGCGCCAATATGCCTTATAGTTAAGCTTCACATGCCAGTGAACTCGGATAGGGCACATATGATGTGTGCACTGAAGCAACGGTGTATTGTCCTTTTTTGGTGTGTTTATTCCTGTCTTGTGTGCTAACTTTGAATCACTCCTGTTTGCATTGCAAAACAATTGCATCCAGTAAGTCAAGTGTGTACGGATATGCATATGCTTATATGTGGATAGGTTATGGAGGCTTACTTGATACAGTTTTTCTTATTGTGACAACCACAAGCACAAGATGGGCAAGGAACGATGGTTTCATTGTAGAAAGATGAAAACGAAACACAACAGCTTGGATTCTTGGAGGCAAGGAACTGTGAATAGGTGCATGTCACATTCCATGTCACTGCATCAGAAGGAACATGCCATGCGACTCAGTTTCAAGAGTTTTCTTTAACATCAGATTTCAACCATCTAAAACTTTAAAAGAAAAAAAAAGATAGAAGAAGAGTAGGAAGATCTTGGAAACCCGAGAATGAAAATATCTTACTAAGGGCTTGAGTCTTTCGCCTGCGATCAGTCGTGAGGAAGACTGTGGATGGCACGACCTTTGCAGGGCCACAAGTGTACCCTGGTCCTGGACCAAGCAAGGTGAAATTTTTGGGGAGTTTCACTGTTTTATTTGAGGTACCAGCTTGCCCGACACTCACCTGGAAGGCAGAGACTGAAGCTGTAGGATCCTGTCCCCAAGATGCCAGGACACCGCCCTTGCAGCAATTGGTGAACTGTTGGTTGTAAGGAACTCCAGGAAGCAAGTCAACAACTGTTGGAGTTTTCTTACAACAATGTGGGATGGCTGCTTTGAATTTGGAACAGTCTCCTTGCTCTGTGGTTTGAGCTCCCACCATGGTCCAAATTACTTCCTTCTTTTGCCATGACCACCCTAGAGTCCAGCCGGGGTTAATGATTTGCCGGTACATTTGAAAGTTGTTCATAGTCACTGCAGCCTAGCATAATTCAATGAAGGGATTGCCTATTATGATATTTTTTTTTTAAATTTTTATAAATAAATTTGATTTGTAAGTAAATCAACATATGCAAAAAGTCATTCAAATGATATCTTACAACATAGCCATCTGGTGTCCAGGACATAACATCCCATTTGATCGTTATGTTTCCAGTTGGATCCAATGGATCATATGCAGCTAAAAGTCATAAACCATGAAGCTATTGTTAGCGGACAAGCAAATGTAACCAGAAAAAGATCAAAGACAACGTATTTTCAAGCTGGATTTGTTGTCAGAAATTTACCTGCAGGAGCTAATACCATGCAACATAGCACAGCCAAGAATGTGAACTTGAGCCAAGACCAAGAGCAACATGTTTCCACCTCAAGGTGGACTTTGTGAGTTGGGTTGGCCTGGTTTTTGAATTCCATGATTTCAGTTCACCGGATCACAAGCTCTCCGGCAGTGGCGAGGACTTAAGAGGAGACAAGATGTACTCTGGCAAACCAGGATGTTAAAAAGGAAAAGATAGAGGACACCAGAATGAAAGTGAAAGCCTCACCTACTGGTTGTTAGGCACTTCCATGTCCATGTGATATTTCATCTTATTTGATAGTTTCACACATATACCTTAATTAAATTCATTTATTTAAAGATATTGGCTGTTTGTTTGCTGTGTTTCTGCATCTTGAAGCAAGTTTTGGTGATGAATGATGTCAAAGCTGGCGGAAGAATTTTGAGAGGCTCTGAAGACTGAGACAACAACAGCCCAACGCTCAGTCCCTTCACACACTCTTCCTTTTTTGGGCATACCTTATGTCATGCCATATATTGCTTCCCAAGAAACATGTTATAATTTGTTTGCTTCAATTTCAAGTTTTCCGGTTTCTTTTGGTCCCTCATTCAATTCAATCATTACCAAAGTTATTGCTCAACTCTCAAAATTAATTTATGCAAAAGGGCCAATTCGCAATTTGCCAATAATTCCGAATAAGACCTTAAACCTTAGGGTTTCCTTAAGAAAGAAAACAACTTTACACGTGTTTGAAAACTGACAGCACAAAGCGCGCCTTTCTTCTTCTTCTTCTCCCTCGATTGTCATGAACTCTCCACCAGCAAAGCGACTTGACTCTGTTTCTGTTTCTGCACGAAGAAGGAAAACATGAAAATCAAAAGCGCCCAACGCATTTGTACATACCACCCACCAAAAGGTATTGAAACCTGGCGTCCATTTTTTTGTTTGATCGAATTAGTTCATCTTTATTATGTAGCAAAGCTTTTGTCTTTTTTATTTTTATAATACAGAATTCAAGAAGTTGTAGAATTTAGAATGTTCGAATTATGATCAGATTCTGTGTTGATTTTTTATCAGAATGCCTTGTGGGTGTGTCTTAGATTAGTTTTAGCTCGAAAACTAATGGAACCCATGAAAAGCTTTATTCTTCTTCTTTTTCTGCCTTTAATTTCTTTTGAGCTGTTGCGCTTCACCAGTAGAGTTAGAAGAGTAGCAATACCAGGGAATGATTAGAAATATGTGAAGAAGAAAGGCATATAGTTTGGTCTTTTGTTTTTCGGCATTCTCTACCTTATCAGGCAAGGAGTTGGTTTCTTTTATACACAGGTTCAAACAATTTATATATAACACTTACATACTCACATCAACTTCGTTAACCCACCACAAGAGCCTTATAATAAGTGTTTTGATGTTCATATGGCATTGCTCCTGTTTCGATCTTCTGTTAAATGATCAGGGAAGAGCCAGAAACATCAGAAGCCAAAAGAGAGCCAATTTTGGTACTGTAATTAGATTTGTATGGGCAGCATTTGGTAGACGTGGGAATTCATCAGGTTGGGGCATCATGCATTCATCCCCATTGAAATAGACCTTACGAGGGAAACCCCAACCCTCCTTGAATGTGAATGTGTTTGCATTCTTCTCAAGAATCAACTCTGATTGTACATTTCCCTCTGGCCCAGCTTCTTTTAGGAGATCGTTGTAGAATTTTATGCCGTAAAACAAACCAGTGTCATCTGCACAACCAAATGGTACAAGTCTTAGCTCCAAAAGTGCATGCTTTTCTTTTGACATATATTTAGTTGTTACTTGCAAGACTCCCTAAGTCCTGTATGGAAAAGTCTGGACTTACTCTTGGATTGATATGGGGTCAGGGGCTTGTAGACAAAGCTAAAAACTTCTGTAATATGGTTGAGATTTGGATGTTCAACCACAAGAGTCCACTGCGTATAATTCAACTGATAGTTGAAATTAGTTATGGTAATCTTCACACGCCAATACTGCTTGTAGTTTGTTTTCACATGCCAATGTACCCGAATTGGGCACATATGTTGTGTGCACTGAAGCAGCGGGGTGTTATCCTTTGTTGGTGTGTGTATTCCCACAACACTTGACAACTTTGAATCACTCCTGCATTAGTATGTTTCGGTCTGAATGTCAGTTACTGAGATGCATGCCTCAATCTAGATTCTAGAATGTATATGACTGCTGGTACCGTAGTGTTTTTGACATTTAGTTGAGTTAGAAAGCAGAACTGATGAGTGATAAATGCTTACACAATACATTTCTTTTTGTCTCGGCAACCACAGGCACAAGTTGGACAAGGAGTGATTGTAGAGTTGTAAAATGATGACATAGAGACACAACAGGTTGGGTAGCGAGACGCCAGCAACTGTGAGTAAGTACATATCACATTCCAAGTCACTGAAAACAATAATATACAGTTAGAATTGTAGCAAAATCAGTCTTATTCGATATTTTTTCTTTAGTTAAAGATACTTACTCAGCGCTTGAGTTTTTCGACGACCATCAGGTGAGTTGAAAACTGTAGATCGCACAATCTTTGCTTGGCTGCAAGTGTAGCCTGGTCCTGGACCAAGCAAAGTGAAATTCTTTGGTAGTCTGACGGTTTTGTTGGAAGTTCCAGAGCGCCCAACACTCAGCTGGAAGGAAGAGACAGCAGCTGAAGGGTCTTGACCCCATGATGCCACAACACCAGCTTTGCAGCAATTGGCAATCTGTTGGTTGTAGGGGACACCAGGGAGCAAGTCAACAACTGTAGGATTTTTCTTACAACAATGTGGTATGTTTCCTTTAAACTTGGTACAGTCTCCTTGGTCAACGGCTTGTGCTCCAACCATGGACCAGATTACCTCTTTCTTTGCCCATACCCATCCTAAGGTCCAGCCAGGGCTCATGATGTGCCGGTACATTTGAAAGTTGTTCATTGTCACTACTGCCTGAAATTTTGTAATTGTACAGCATACATCTTTAAAGAACATTTGTTGACAATCAACATTAATCAATATGCAATTTTTCTTCTTCTGCCCCTTCACTTTCCTTGAAGTCAGTAAGCATGAATTCAAATTTCTCTTCTAGAGGCACTCAAATTATTATTAAATGCATGTCACATGAATTATCAAGCTGATGTGAGATTCTTGCAAAAGTTATTGCTCCATCAAAGATTCAGATGGTCATTATCTGATAAAGTAGGAAAACCAAGGTGATTGCTTCTTCTAATATAGCAAATGTTATGAACCAAACTACTTACCACATAACCATCGGAAGTCCAGGATATGACATCCCATTTCAATGTAATGTTCCCATTCGGATCCAGTGGGTCATAAGCAGCTAAAATTATGATACAATGAAACTTATAAGTGACATGGTATAATAGAATCAAAATTCAGCACAGAGCTTTCATTACTAGAAGGAAGCTGACCTGCATGAGGAATTGTAAGTATAAAAGAAACAGCCGAGAGAACGAGCCACATATACTTGTTGAAAGTCATGTTTCTTCCGGCAGAAGACAGTTGGATGCAGAGCTCAAATATGAAGACAGAGAATTTGTACAAAATAGGTGTTGTGAAGAGGCTTAAAACAAGTTCATCTACTGGTTTTGTTAGGTATTTTATATATGATATACATCTTGATGTCAGTTTCTTGACACAGTTATATTCAGTTAATTAGAACAAGCTGCGAGCTTGAGAATGCTTGAAGACAACAGACTAACTGTCCGGAGCCTAAGATGATGTTGGTTCCTATGGACATTGGTTTTTCAGTTGACCCACAAACCAAGTCCTCTAATTAAACAAATGATCAAACCAAACAAGCTAGTGATTCTCAGACTAAAATGAATCCGGTCAACTCCCTTGTGAAAATGACCCATTGTTTTTTTTTCCAACTCGGACAGAGATTTTCCAACTTCTACAGCTTGTTTGTATTCAATACGCATTTAATTTAACCTGTAATACAATATGGTTATGCTGGCTTGTCCAAGTTAGTAGGTAAAACTAATCTTTCTCCAGTGGTTGAAACTTTCAAAAACAAATTGTTATCTTTGTTGTGTTTTCTGATAAATCCCTAATATGTTAGAATCAAAATTTTCTTCATATTTATTTATTTAACTTGTCGCTATTTCTGTGCCATGAGATCAAATTGAAGTGGTAAACACAGAGAATTAGAAGACTCACTTACCAAAGAAAAAGGATAATAAGATGGCGGGGTTGTGGTACAATAGAATACTAGTTCAATAAAATGAGTGAGCTCCCATCAATCTTATTGCGTCTGAATTATTGAAGTGCCATCTAGTTTATTTCAGCTTCTATGTGTTTTAATAAATTGCCGGTGGTATTTTGGGGAAACAAACCAAACGTCTACATGAAAACAGAAAATAAAAAAAACCTCTACAAGCCAATATATGACAGTTGGGCTCTTTAGTGACGGTTTATGTCCTTTTGCTCCAATATTTATAGTTTTCTTGACGATTTAAATTCGCCGTTCGTCTTGAAAGTCTTTAGCAACGTTAAAAACCGTCGCTAGGCGCAGCTAGAAAACCCTCTTTCGACGAATATAAAAACCGCCGGTAAAAGTGGGAAGATAATTTAAATCGTCTTTCCCACGGAAAATTAGTGATTTTGAGAGGCACAAAAGAAATAAAAACCTCGTTTTCCATATCTTTAAATGTACATAAACACTAGAAAACATTACTAAAGTCTCATTCAAATTATTTCTTGGATACATGAAAATGCTTAAATCTATTCAACAACTAGCTGCCTATATGGGATTGGGAAGAAGTGTAGTGCAAGTTTCTCACGCCGCCCTTGTAAAGATATCTTTTACTCTACTGATATGCTAGCAACTTTGTGCGTGTCATCATTGCTCAATCCTTCTTTGAGATGGTCTCCAAGAGTTGAAGCTAAATCAGACCTGCATATGGACTTACTTCACATACTCAGTCACATTGTCAAGCCTTCATAATAACCTGCACGGATCAAAACACATCATAATTTTGATGACAACTAAATCCTTTAGAGGCCAAAAGCCTAGCTGCCTATATCATTCACCAATCATCAAAAGATGGCATGTCTGAATTTTCCTTTCTGGGACAAAATAAACAATAACTAGTGTGGGGGATGCATGTTAAGAAGTTGCAAGCCTATTTGAATGGCTATTAAGAGTTGCAATCCTACTTTACCAGTGTTACAAGGCAAATGATGTAAAGGACTAAAGAAAAGGATGAGACATACAAACTATCACCATTCAGCATACCATTAGACCAGCAAATCGTAAATCCCTTGCAAGTGTGGACCAGTATCTGCCAAATGAAAGAAAAAATGGAACATGATGGCCGTATTTCAAATGTGTGTGTGCATATGCATGCATGGATGTGGGTGTGCAGGCAATAGCCTCCTGTATTTTACAGAGAACTATTGGACTCATGGTGAAACTCGATTGCACGTAATACAACCTCAAACTAAGTTAGTTTTTCTTTTCTTACACGAAACAGAGATTTTATTAATGAGAAAGTGTTAGAAGGAGGATGAACAAGATGTTCATCCAAATCCTTTTAGCATCCTCAATCACCAACGCAAATTACAATCAAACCAAACTAACAGTTTGGATGAAATACACCAGTCTACCTAAAGAGGCCAACTGTGGCCAAGACTCTTAATTGCCTAACCTCCATCATAATGAAAAATGGCGAGGAGAGGGAAGAAGGAGGAGGGAACACCATATATTTGGATACCATGCTTCATAGGTAAGCCATGGAAGCACTTCTAAAATGCCATTGTAGAATTTCTATGAAGTTAAATGCCATCCATATGATTGCATACCACAGAATTGAGCTTTACCAATGAGTCATGATTGCTATATCTACAATATATTTACACAACCTGACTTGAACAAGGAATAAATTCGCTCCGAATGTGCTACAAAAATTTTATACACATTGGCATATACAATTATACATTCACCAAATATCAAAACCCTGATTTACACTATTCTTTCCCAACAATATATTTTCATTAACAACCAGAATATTTTCCTTTGACTTCTAATGCTGGGTGAATTAGTTTCTTTATAACTGAAAAATTAAAAACATAAAAATTGGGTTTTCAGCTGCTTCAAATTCCAATCGTGTATAGTTAAACCTGCCTTTCAAAGCTAGAATATTAAAGTTTTATTCTTTCATTTTCAGTTTAACTCTTCGAGTCTTTCTTTTTCTTTTTACATTGTTAAATTTTCGCTATTCATAGGTCATGGATTAGATCCCTATAATCGAAATAATTGAAGTGGGAAAGTAGAGAATTGGAAGGCTTACCAAAGAAAGATGACAAATGCTTTGATTTTTGATAAAATCGGAAAACACAACTGAGAAAGCCAAGCCCTTTTCCCCCAAGTTCGCCGTCGATGACAACCCTCGATCGAATGAAGAGCTGAAATGAAAGTTGAAAAGTCAATAGTACCCTCAACCAAAATTGAGCGATGTTAGTGGGCTGGGCCGGGTCGGGATATGAGGCTCATGACTAATATGGGCCTTCATGGTTGGGTATATTTTAGCTTCCCAAACTGCCTATAAATAGGTCCAACACATGTTGGTTCACATGGACAATGATTTTTCATTTAAAGAGTACAGCCGTGCGGCTATAACCTTTAGATATATTTTTTATTTAAATAGTATAGCCGTTCGGCTATACGCCTGGGATATTTTTTTATTTAAATCGTAAAGCCGTCCGGCTATACTCTATAGATATATATATTATATTTAAATAGTATAGCCGCACGGCTAAACTTCCTAAACATATTCTTTTACTTAAATAGTATCTATGCTTCTTAGATATATTTTTTATTTTAATAGTATAGCCGAACGGCTATACTTCTCAGATATATTTTTTATTTTAATCTTATAGCCGAACGGCGATACTCCTTAAAACCCATCCCTTACACCAATGTTGGAGAAGAAGATGGAATGAGCAGAATGGCATTTTTCGTACTCGTCCTTGGTCTCCGCCATCACCGAGTCTTTGGTGTAGTTGAAATCTAAATCCGTGTAAAACAAAGCAAAATAACATTACCCAAGTTAAGTGGCAAGCTTAATTAGAAGAAAAAAAGCTCTTTTGATACAAAGGATGTTGCTTGCAGGAGGTTTTTGAGAGAGAGAGAGAGAGAAGGAGACGACAGTAGATTTTCTTTAAAGCCAGGAAAAGAAAATCTATATATATAATAAAATAAAATAAAAATAAAAAAAGGCCCCGCCTAGGCGGCCGCCTAGCGCCTAGCCGCCGCCTAGGCCGATTTTTCCAAAAAAAACTATCTATTAGGTCAGGGCAAGGCATAGAAGTGTTGAAGAATGAATTTCTGTTGATCTCCAGAGTCCAACACAAGAATCTTGTAAAGCTCATGGGTTGCTGCATTAAAGATGATGAGAAGTTGATGCGAGACAAAAGCTTGGATATGATATTATTGGGTTAGTTTCACTGGCCCTTCATGTTTGGCTGCAATTTCTCATTGTTACCTATCTTTCTTCAATATCATTGATAATGTCTGAGCTCTTTGTATCCTAGTATGCCCAACTCAGGGGAACTATTGATTTCATTTCTAATGGCCATGAGAAGAGCAGTGCTTGACTGGGCTAAACGGTTCAATATTATTCAAGGTGTTGCTAGAGGACTTGTTTATCTCCACCGTGATTCCTGTTTGAAGGTGTTGGATGAGAAGATGAGGCCAAAAATTTCAAAATTTGGTTGGCACGTATCTTTCAAGGGACACAGAATCTAGCAAACACTCAGAGTCAGAAGGTTGTGGGAACTCTGTAAGAATCATTTCTTTCTTACTACCAGAATTGTTATTATTTCCCAACTAAACTTGTGTAATATGTTTTTTAGCATGTTATATCAGGAATAATAATGAGTTAGTGGATAATGAATTTCCTGTGCAGTGGCTATGGGCGGGATATTTTCTGAAAAATCTCATGCATATAGCTTTGAGGTCTTGCTATTGAAGATTATTGGTGGCAGGAAAAATACCAGCTTCTATTACCATGACCAACAGCTCCTATATTTACTTTCCAAAGCTGTCTTTGATCCTCTACCACAGTATGACAATATTTGCTCCGCAAACGAAGCTACCATAACACTGCTTAAAGGACGATAAGCGATACACCGGTCTGCAAGTAAAAATCATTTTCCACTGGACCGTTGGCATATAAGTTTTCCCATAGAAATCAACCCTTTTTTATTTATTTATTGCGATAGCGAATGAAGGTTTTCTCTTCATGGGAAACTTTGTTAAAATTCACCAAAAACAAAAACACATTATACGACTGGTGTTAGTATAACATCCCGTTAATGTCCTGATCCCGTTAAAGGAAAAAAGTTTTGGGTTCAACTGCACTTGCCTTGTTATTTTTCGACAAATTGTGGAGATAAACGCAAAAACATAATATGTTGAGTAGAAATAGGTCCAATATGTTGGTTCACATGGACATTGATTTTTCAATGGACCCACAAACCCAAGTCCACTAATTAAACAAATGAAATTACCAAACCAAACAAGCCAATGATTCTCAGACTAGAATGAATCTGGTGAACTCCCTTGTGAAAATGACCCATTGGTTTTTTTTTCTTTTTTTTTCTCACTCAGACAGGGATTTTTCAACTTCTACAGCTTGTTTGTATTAGGTACCAGGATGCAATTTAATTTAACCTGTAATACAATATGATTAAGGTTGCTTGTCCAAATTTGTTGGGAAAACAAATATTTCTTCAGTGGTTGAAACTTTCAAAAGCAAATTGTCATATTTGTTGTGTTTTCTAATGACTTTGTATCCCCTGTACTACCTTTCTCATTAATGTGATCTTGTTTGGATCTCCATCTTCCTCTGCTACTAATGGCAGTTCTGTCTCCTTATACATATGTTCAAATATAATTTTTACACATTACCCTATGTTAACAAAGTTCAGCTCATTCTTTGTTCCCAAAGAAAAAAAAAAAGACAAAAGTACTTGAACTCATTCTGAATCCTAGCTAACAATTTTGCAATTTCCATGAAATTTTGGAATAGGAAGTTTAGATTGTAAACATGGGAGAGGGAACTGAAGTTCAAGTTTTCTGAACTTGATCACAACGTAACTATACAGACATACAGTGACAGAGTTCGCACATTCCCATTCTTTTTAATCTTTGATCCTTGCATACGTTGTATTGATGATGTCTTTGTATTGGTGAAGATGGAACAGCTTCAGAACCATTGGTAAGAACCTCTTTCGGATATCTGAGTTATAGACCGTTAGTGGCACGAGCACAAAAAGACTAGTAGCGCCGAAAGCAAAAGGGTTGTAGCCAGTGTAGATGAGGAAATAGGATTTTCATAAGCAGAGTTGGGCAGGGTTGGATATATATCAGGAAGGGGCATCTTGCACTCATCGCCATTAAAGTAAAGTTTGAAGGGAAATGCCCAACCTTGGTCCAATGTGAATGCTTTCATGTCCTTTCCAAGAAGCAACTCTGTCTGGACATATCCCTCAGGGCCAGCTTCCATTAGTAGGTCACTATGATTTTTTATGCCGTAAAACATGCCGGTGTCGTCTGCATATTCAAAGAGATCCACACAGTATGTTAGATCTTGACATGTACATCACATATTTATATTGTGTGATATGAATGAAGCATCTTTCTTTATGGTTCCATTGTAGACTGAGACTTACTTATTGAGCCGTAGTGAATGAGTGGCTTATAGACAAAGCTAGAGACATTAGCTAGTTTATTGAAGTTTGGATGCTGAGCAACAAGAGTCCATTGTGTATAATTCATCAGGTAGTTAAAGTTGGTGATGGTAATCTTCACAAGCCAATACGCCCGATAGTTAGCCTTCACATGCCAATGCACTCGGATCGGGCACCTGTGATCTGTGCATTGTAACATTGATGCATCTTCCTTAGCTAAGGCTTTTTTATTCAGCACCCTTGAGTCCTTGGGGTCATTTCTGCATTATGTTCCAGTGTTAGGAAGAGAAGACGTTAACATGGAAAAGTTCAATTATTGGATGGGAAAGGCTCATTGCATGACCTTTTGCTTCAGTCGAACTGAAAAAAATGGTAAGTTGTGTGTACAGGCTACTTACATGCAATTATTGTTCACATCCTTACAACCACAAGAACAAGATGGACAAGGAGTAATCATGGGGTCGTAGAAAGATGACAGAGAGACGCAACATGTTGGATTTTCAGAGACGAGCAATTGCGAGTAAGTGCAATCCAAAGCCCATGTCACTGCCAAAAAAGAAAGCACAAAAATTTTACAAGACAACTAGATGGAAGAACTTCAAAGCTAATTGTAGAAACTGTAAGAAAACACAGCATGCCTACTAGATTGCTAGCTATTAGCAAACTTTAGTGCTTGTAAAAACTGTAATTAAGAAACAGAATGTGACACCAGGCATATTTTGTTGAAACATGGAAGAAGTAAACTTACTCATTGCTTGAGTTGTACGGCGGCCATCAAGCGAGAAGGAAACTGAGGGTGGTGCAATGGTTGCAGCACTGCAAGTGTAGCCTGGTCCGGGACCAAGCAAATAAAAATTCTTTGGTGGTGTTACTGTTTTATTTGAAGTACCTGAATGGCCAACACTCAGCTGAAATGCTGAGACTGCAGCTGAGGGGTCTTGTCCCCATGATGCCATAACACCACTTTTGCAGCAATCAGAAAATCTTCGGTTCATTGGGACCCCAGGAAGCAAGTCAACAACTGTGGGACTTTTCTTGCAGCTGTGTGGAATATTTGCTTTGAACTTGGAGCAGTCTCCTTGAGAAGTGGCTTGAGCTCCCACCATTGACCATATCACTTCCTTCTTAGCCCATGTCCAGCCTAAGGTCCATCCGGGGCTCGTGATGTGCCGGTACATTTGGTTGTTGATTATTGTTACTGCTGCCTGGATAATATATATTATCATGGTAAGTAAGAATGTATTTGAACTGAACTTTTAGTTGTTGAACTTATTATTAGAATTGATTATCAATGAAAATGAAAACAAAGTGATACAAGTTGTGGTGGCACTCACCACATAGCCATCAGGAGTCCAAGACAGAACATCCCATTTGATATTTATCCTCCCATTTGGATCAAACGAATCATAAGCCACTGAAAACCATGAGGGAAGGAGGAATTGGCCAAGTTAGAATAAGCAATGAGGTTTAATTAAGGAACCACACCATACTCCAAATCCTAAACATAGTTATAATTATTAATTAGAAGCTCACCTGCACGAGAAACTATTGTCAAGAACATTACAGATACCAAAAATGCGCTTCTTATACATTTACTAATAATCTCCATTGTTCAAGTTTCAGTAAGCAGCTGGGGATTCTTGAGAACTTATGCAGTTAAATTGTCCAAAGGGCCAGTATTTATAAGCAACTAGGCTCCCAAACCAAAAATTATTATCTACCCTCATTCTAAGCTACTTCTTCGACTATGGTTTTCCAGATGTCATGTTCTCAGCTACTTGACTAGGACAAAAGTATTGATCACAATTTCATATATGTGTAATGTTGCGTATGCAGCATGTCACAGATGAACCAAACCAGTTTCCATGTTCAAGTGAAATTGCATAGCTATTTAAAAATTCTTAAAAGGGCATGAAGGAACAAATTCAATCACTTTCCCACCAATTTAAAAGCAAGGAAGAGCCCATTTTGCAGCAATCTTGATCATGCCGGCGGGATGGACACAGAATGATGAGGTGATCTCCCAATTTCTGCAGTGACTCTAACCAATAAACTTGAGGCTGACTTTATATTCAGATATTAAATAAGTGATAAATAGATATAAGTATAGGAAATATAACCGAGTCAACTAATTTCCTATATGTGTTTCAAGAATGAAAAGTCAAGTTCATGGCTTACATCACAAAAATTCACTGTTGGTTTGGCATCTTGCCCTTGTCATTTGTTCTCTCTTTACATGGTAGGATCTACAGAATGACTGGCTGCGGGAATTGATCAAGCCTGGAGCTGAGATTCTTAGGACCCCAAGACTTTCACTTGTGGGATATAAAAAAATGACCATATTTGAGAAACACCACCATAGCTGCCAATGCACCAATTGGAAAACCACATATCAAGGCCAAAGAATTCTATTGCACCAGTTTTCTGGCAAAATGCTGACAGTGACTTGCATAACTTCGGCCCCTTAGAGCATCTCCAGCGCAAGGCCCAGCCCGGGGGAAAGGCTGCCAGAGGGAGCCCGAGGCAGCTCCAGCGCAGGGCCCGTAGCCCGGTTTGGTGGTGGGTCCCACGAGCCCGAGGAAGCCCAAGGGCAAGTCTTGCCCGGGCTGAAGCCCGAGTTGGCTGACGTCAGCGCTGGCGTCGGTAAGTCAAATTTTTTTTACTGTTGGCGCGTGAATTACATGCGCCAACGGTAAAAAAAATTTGAGTTCCGTGCGCTGGCGTCAGCGTGACGCCAGCGCTGACGTCAGCCACTGACAGCTCCAACGGGCGTGTGCCACGTGGCGCGACGGGGACTCTCGGATGGATTTTTTCCAGAAATCCGACGGTCCTCGTTTTTTTGGCTAAAAAAATTGCAACAAAAATCGAAAAAAATCTGAAATTTTTTTAAAAAAATACCCAAAATTTCTGTATTTTTTCTCTATAAATACCTAACCATTTTATTTACTTTCCACACTAAAATCTTCATACAATTTCTTCTCCATCCCATATTTTTTACTCTTTACTCACATTATTCACTTTCCACACCAATTCTTCATACAAACTTTTCTCCTTCCAATTTTTTTGTTTATCTCCACTCACATTTTTCACTTCCACACCAATTCTCCATACAAACTCTTCTCCTTCCAATATTTTTTACTCTCTTTCTACTACTTTCCATTTGTATAAAAAAAACGAATGGCATCTTCTATTGAAGTCGGAGGCTCGTGGGGATTCTTACCCCGAGACTCCCTACGTCTGTCCACATTCGGGGCACGAGGACGACGGTGTTGCCTTGATTGATCCATCATACACACCGCTGCTGCAAGCAGTAGTTCCTCTTCTTCATTGGCTTCCCGATCTTCTTGAGCACGTCTACGCCTTGTTTCTTCCCTTTGTTTCTGTTGCCTCTCCAACACCCTCAACAAGTTTGACATTGAGAGTAGAATGTGTTTTCTACAATCTGATAAATGAAGGAATAGATAAGAGATGGTGTGAGAGGTTTGAAAATCAGGTCTAGTTTATAGACGGATTTAGAAGATAGAGATGACACGTGGCACAATTTGAGAGGATGAAAATCTTATCTAAAATCTGAGATTATAATTTTTTTAAAATATCTGAAATGTTATCTGACATTTGACACGTGGCACAATTGTAGAGGGTGAAAATCTAATCTGAAATTTGAGATTAAATTTTTTTTAAAATATCTGAAAATGTTATCTGACATTTGACACGTGGCACAATTGTAGAGGGTGAAAATCTTATCTGAAATATGAGATTATAATTTTTTTAAAATATCTGAAAATGTTATCTGACATTTGACACGTGGCACAATTTTAGAAGGAATTTTCTTGGAATAATTTTTATTAAAATCTGAAATATCGAAAATTAACTACGAAACTTTAAATGCCGTTTTGGAAGGCCAAACGACCTCAAAATGCCAAAATCCATCATACATCACAGCAAAGCTGTGAGTTTGACTCGTGGCATCGTTCCCTTTCCGAAATGGTATTTTGCGTCCTAATCGGAGCTCGGACGACAAATCTGCAAATTCCCATTACGTCTTTTTTCTAGCTCAACCGCGATAAAATCTGCCATTTGTTCTACATCAGACGTGGCACAATTTTAGAGGGTGAAAATCTTATTCGAAAATTTAATTACAAAAGATTATCAAAATTAATGGTTTAAACTATAAAAAAATAGAAAATAAAGTACAATGAATAGTAATTGCCTTAGACTTGCCCTAGACTTTGCCTTTGTGGGTGGAACCACAAATGCAAAGGCTGACACTATTCACGTGAATAGTGGCAGCCCTTGCTTGCCCTTGCCTTAGACTTAGCCCTTGTGGGTGGAGATGCTCTTATACTTGCCATTTTAGCTTCCATGTTTCTAAGCCATGTTAAGTGGCGTTTACTTAGAAACATTGATGTCCTTTGCCAAAAAGACATATCTGTGCCATCAAATTCAAATCTGCAGAAAGGATCATTGTGAATTCATATGATTGAAAGATTCAGGAAAAGAAAAATGATTCATTTGTTGGGCTGAGCCTTTCATCCGTGTCTCTCTGCCACTCGGGACCAGGACCATTGAACTAGAATGAGAACCCAATAGATTTCATTTGTTGGTGGGGTGGGCTAGGTTGGGTTACAATGCTTAGGACTAATATGGGCCTTCATGGTTGGGCATATGCTCTTCTCAACTTGTGGTTAGGCCTATAAACTGGTCCAATATGATTGTTAAGCAAATTTTGCAAATGCTCTTTTTTTTTATTTTTTTTATAAATATAGTATGAGAGAGATTTGAACACGTGACCTTGAGTGCAGGTAATTATTCTTAACCACTTGAGCTACAAGCGTAAATTTTAAAGTATAATGGCTAAAAAACAGTTTGATGGTATCTACTGTAAGTACACTCGCAGACACCAATGATTAATCAAAAGTGGATTTTAATTTTTACTGGAGTATATTCCCATTTGTTTGAAAGCAAACTGCAATCATGCAAAGTCACAGAGTCTACAAGGTAACAACAATGAAGAGGATTATAGTAATATTTGACAAAAAAGAAAGGGGTGTATTGGTTGGCACTGGCAGGCAGTGGTAAGGCACTAGGCATGGTATGTCGGTGGTGTCTTCTGTTTAGCACCATCCTTCCTTTTCAACTACAGATCATGTTCACGTTATGTGGTGTTTTTTAAATTTACATAGCTCTCTCTCTCTCTCTCTCTCTCTCTCTCTCTCTCTCTCCTCTCTCTCTCTCTCTCTCTCATCATTCCCTCCATCCATACAGGCTACAGCAAGCCCAGCTCAGTTCGCCAATCCCAAGATTCTATACTTGGCCAACAATGACGTGCCAACGACATGTCGTACACTTACTCTGGTCTTTTTTTGAAAAATAATAATAATTTGTCACTGCTCCTTCTACTCAACAACTATGATGGTGGTGGTGTTTCTTTTCTTCCAGAATAGATCTCAAATTCGACTTTCTAATACAAACAACAGTTGTGAATAGGACGCAAAATAATTTAAAATGGATGTGTGTGCCCATCGTGGCTACTGCTTCTCCTCATTATTGCACCAAAAAGAGGAATTTTATGAACATGAAGTCCCAGAGAGAGAGAGAGAGAGAGAGACAGATGAGGAATTTGGTATGGGATGTTTTCTGTTTTGGTGAAGTTTTGGTACCACTTACTTGCTACTACTAATTATTATTATTGTATGGCATTTACTACGTGCCACTTCTACCTATATAACAAGGAAAGTCAGACCAACCCCATAACTGGGAAAAGAAAAAAATAACCATTTTCATTTGTTTTCTTTTCTGAGAAATTATATACTAAGGATGATTTGGTCTTCCAATTAATATTGAACAAACTCATTAATGATGTCAACATGGTCTAATCCAGTGAAAAAAGACGTTGATTTGCAAATCATTGGGTTCAGTTTCAACCCCAATGGTACCTTGATAATATGTATGAGAAAACCTCATCTCTCTTCCGAGCGTAGACAACCAAAAAACCATTAACGATCAAAATAATGAAATAAAAAAATTTCAGATTTGAAATTTGGATCTACCCTGCTGCTTATAATATAGGTGTGGTAATAGAAATTGTGAAGTTTTGACTGGACCAAACTTTGCAGAAAATGAAAGAGACAAGATGGGCCAAACCCAGCCCAGTCTATACTCTCTACCTTCGAGAATATTACACGTGTCCAGATCTAAGGCAAAAGGGGGGCATGATTGTAGACGAGTAAAAGTGTCGGTCGCATGGCAAACGCGTACAGAGTGCATACTATAATGCGGCAGCGTCCAAATGGGTTAGGAGATTTAGGGGTTAGATTCCACAAGGACATTTGGACATTTGGACATTTGAAAATATCTAAAACGAGCAAAAGCCACCGACGACTTTGAAGGATTCATTCGGCTGCCCGACTTCTCCCCCAGTGCCTCTTCCCCAACAAAAACGCTATAACTTGCCAACTTGGGTTGGGTGTTGCGCTTTTACCAGAACTGCTACCGCCCTCATCGCCAATTTTGCCGCAATTTTAGATGGCATTGATGTAATAATATTTTAGTCCCACAAAAGTATTGGTCTGGAGAGGATGCTTATTATTAGTGGGGAAGGGAAGAAAGAAAAGTATTTGACGTTGAAGTTTTTTTCTTTAATAAGTGGGAAGATTCGAATTTAAAATTTCTTTCAACGTTGAAAAGAGAAAATACCACAATAAGCGTAAAAAAACTAAAATAATATTTAATATAAGTTTATTTTGGATATTACTTGATATTTTATTTATTTATATTTAGACCCATTTTGAACCTTACACATATATAACAATTGAAAAAGTTTGAAAAAGTATCATATTATGTGTCACGTTAAGTTTATAACTTAAAAGAAAAATAAATAAGTATAGCAATGTGTTGAAAGGAAGGACATCTTACATTATTATTATTTTCTTTTTATTACATAGAATTTTATTTCCTAATATCCAATTTGTTTTTGTTAAAAGAGTATTAGTAAATCACAAAGGGATTATTACATTATTTTCTTACTTTTTCTGCCTAATCATTTGACTCGTTAGAGTTTGGAAGGGACCAAATCCACACCCTAGCCTTTTCATGTGATTGAATTTCTTTCCGAGTATATTTAGGTAACTCTTCTCAATATCTCACAAAATCTCAAACTACGGTAACCTAATCAAAGCGTTGCAAAACTGCAACCTTCTATCTAATACATCTCTCCTCACTCTTCGTACGTGTCAGCACCTATTCGCACGTGTCACCCCAAGCCTCCAAACTCTTCAAATACAGGCACAACTCCCACATTCAACCCAACACTCTCTCTAAAGTCCAACCCCCAACTCTCTCTCCCTCTCTCTCTCTGAAACAGCCATGGCTGGAGTCAGTAGGGTTGCTCCCACACCTCTGCTCAAAGATGAGCTTGACATTGTTATTCCCACAATCCGAAACCTGGACTTCTTGGAGATGTGGAGGCCATTTTTTGAACAATACCACCTTATCATCGTCCAAGATGGTGACCCTTCAAAGGTCATCAAGGTCCCAGAGGGCTTTGACTACGAGCTTTACAACCGCAATGACATTAACCGCATCCTGGGTCCTAAGGCCTCTTGTATTTCCTTCAAGGACTCTGCTTGCCGCTGCTTCGGCTACATGGTCTCCAAGAAGAAGTACATCTTCACCATCGACGACGATTGCTTTGTAAGTATCTATTTCAACAGCTCGATCTCTTGTTTGGGAGTTTTTCGGATTTGGGTTTCGAGTTTTTGGTTCAAAAGCATGGATCTTGATGGGTTTTGGTTGTGGATTTGCGGATTTTGCTGGCTTAGTGCAGTTTTATTTTTCAGTTCGATGTTGATTTGACTCTATATGATTGCTCGGTACTTAAATTATGTTGCTTTTGTTGTTTAGATCTGTTTCTGCTGTCTCTGTTTGACTTCTGTGCGTCGTCTGTTTTGTCAATTTAACTTCTTTTTCTGTTGTCAATGGACATTGCATGCTTTGATCTATGTTTCTTATGATGTATATCTTATTATTTTACGTATTTTTGGGTTTACCTGTTTCTTGGCAGAAGCTAGATTCTCTGTACCATGAGTTCTTTCAGTTAGTGTAGAGATAGGGTTTACCAAATTCACAGATCTATCCTTTGCACTGTAATTGGATCACATTCAGATTCACACTTGAAGAGTTTCAGTCTATAAATTTTGATTAAGATATACGTGCTGAATTTCAATTTCCTTTATCTATGCTTTGAATCGTTGTGAAAATAGCATGTTATGGTGGCCCCTTTGTGTTTCAGATTTCATTGATATCCCTCCAATTCTTGTGAGACCAAGTTGTTATAACTAATCATGGTTCTTTTTTATGAAAATGCAGGTTGCTAAAGATCCTTCTGGCAAAGATATCAATGCTCTTGAGCAGCATATTAAGAACCTTCTGACTCCATCAACTCCATTTTTCTTTAACACCTTGTATGACCCATACCGTGAAGGTGCAGACTTTGTCCGTGGTTACCCCTTCAGTCTACGTGAAGGTATCCCAACTGCTGTTTCTCATGGCCTCTGGCTCAACATTCCGGATTATGATGCACCCACTCAGCTTGTTAAGCCTCTAGAGAGAAACACTAGGTACATTGGTCTGCCATTTTCAATCCTTCAGAAATTCTGCATTTGAGTGTTTTGCTGACTATAATGCTGCCATTTTCAATCTTTCAGAAATTATGCATTTGAGTGTTTTGCTGACTATAATGCCATGTTTCTAGGTTTGTGGATGCAGTCCTGACCATTCCCAAGGGAACTCTCTTTCCCATGTGTGGTATGAATCTGGCATTCAACCGTGAATTGATTGGACCTGCTATGTACTTTGGACTCATGGGTGATGGTCAGCCAATCGGGCGTTACGACGATATGTGGGCTGGCTGGTGCATGAAGGTATCTCTCAAAATCTCTTTAGAGCCTGTACATTTTCATTGTCTTTTGTTAGTGCATTTCATTGATTTTTCAATCAAAACACACTGCCTTGTGTTTTCAAATTTTAGTGGGTCACATGAGTTGTCATTGTTGGTTTTGTAGGTCATATGTGACCACTTGGGCCTGGGAGTGAAGACAGGATTGCCCTACATCTGGCATAGCAAAGCAAGCAATCCATTTGTGAACCTTAAGAAGGAATACAAAGGAATATACTGGCAAGAAGAGTTGATCCCATTCTTCCAATCTGCTACCCTTCCAAAGGATTGCACCACCGTTCAGAGCTGCTACATTGAGCTCTCCAAGCAAGTGAAGGCAAAGCTTGGCAAGGTTGATGACTACTTCCTCAAGCTTGCAGATGCCATGGTCACATGGGTTGAAGCATGGGACGAGTTGAACCCATCCGGAGAAAAATCTGTTGAGAACGGAGTTGTTGCGAAATAGATTGATCTTTGGTTGCCATTATCATTAATCTTTTGATAGTCGGTGTCAGTTATAGGCCTTGTTTGTAATCTGATCTCCCTTTTATCCGAGCTTTTGGTTTTGGAGCTAGGAGTTATTTATTCGGCAGGTCGGAGAAGATATTTTCTTAGAACAATAATGATGACGGATATGTATTTCTATATACATTAAAAGTGTTAGCTATTTATTCGATTCAACAACGGCTCAGTTACAGTTTTGTTTGTCATAGTGTTTGCTTTCTTTCATCTCTTCGATCTAGTGTTTTTGTTTCTTTCTTTTGCCGACTTTCAGAGCATCTCTTCCTGGCATCTCAGATTCCAAAATGGAAGCTTATATTGTAATGCATGCTGCCAAAGATGAGTTGGCATTTGGCACTGCCCGTCTTCCACAGTCAATTTTGCGCAATTTCATTTAGAAAAGGTTAGAAAATAAGGCCGTTTGAGCGTTTGGTACACGGGTCGATATCAAGTACGGAATTCGATAAGCAAATGGAGGTGTTTTCAAAGTTTGAACTTTGGGTTTTGCACTACGCGTGACTTTCATTGCTGTGGCCTGCGATGCCCTTTGCATGTCACGGAATAGCACTGTAATATCAGTGAATCACGCTCTGCCCTGTTATCTTCGTGGTATACAAATTTTTCTGGTTGAGCACCACCATGATTGTATTTACTGTGAAAAATATGTTTGAAATTGCAGCAAGCAAAGGATTCCAAGAAATAAGGTAGAACAGTTTGTTTCGAAGAAGAATTTTTAGACTATTTTTTTTGAACTTAGACTGAGTCTGTCACAAAGGGGCCCTTGTGAATCAAATGTCTTGATTGATATCAATGTTAAATCAAATTGTGGATATTCTCTCGATAACTTTTGGCCAAAAGGTTTTAATTTTCTTACATCTCTCACACGAGTTGGGTCCCACAAGCGAGAGAATTGGGGAAAATATTTGAATGCTAAAGCATTGGGTTTGCTTGCTAATAATTAAAGCTCTCTGCTCTGTTTTGAGCTTTTGATGTGCATGTTCGTTCCACTTGCTCAACATTGAAGGAAAAAAAACACATTTTCTAGCAAGTACGTTCAAAACATGCTTTCTGAACCACAAAGTTACTTGCAAATTTGAATTTGTGATAATAGATGAATCCAACAAAATCAGCTGGACTGGAGGAAGTTGCCCCGCAAATGCAGACATGATTTAATATTGGGTTTGGCAGGACTAACATCGCTTTCATTTCACGTAGATCATGCAGTCAAGTTTATCCAACCCACAAAATGACTAAACATCGAAATCAAAGTTAATTGGTAGAGCAACTAGAGTTATTTCAAATTTAATTCGTATAGTTGAGTGAATGTCACTCTGACAAAAAAAGGAAAGCATATCACATGCACTTCCTCACGCCCAGATTTGTGAGCAAATCAACGCAGTTCATACGTTACTTTCCTTTGACAATATTCACAACGATGCCGGCGCCAGCCTGCCATTAACTGTGTCTTAGTTTATTAAAAAGTATTGCCAGATGGTACTCTGAGTAGTAATTTTTCTCAATCCATCTATTTTGTTTATTTATCTGGTTTTAGTGGCGGTATTCGGCGTTGACAAACCTACTGCAATCTTGCCCTTCTATCATGCAGATTCAGGCATTTTGGCAAGTACCATTATGTCTAGGCGCTGTTGAACAATGTCTGGTTCGATATAGATTTGTACAGTGAAAACAAATTTCATCAGTAGGATCAAGTGATTCTTTATAAAAGCTAGCAAAGATTGCATGCCACACAATCATCATTTTGTGCACCAACTATATGTTCATTATAAAGCAATTATCCTTCTTTCTTTTCTTTGGTGGAACTGAAAGCAAACTTACCCCTTCCTTGTACTGCTTGCAAGCTCACATTTAATCGACCTTTTCAAGTACGCTAGCTTAATTAGAGAAGATTTTAGGGTTTAGGGTTCATTTCCAAATGGTCTGCAGAAAGGTTAGAAACAGAACTTTATTCCCAAGATGTTTGCTTGAAAGCAGAACTTATCAATGACGTTTCTTGAGAATGCGGAGAACAAAAGAACCTATGAGGTTAGACGATCATTTGAGTACATATACAATTGAACACTTGTATAATTTGGGAGTGGATCTTAAATCTGACTGCCGAATACTAAAAACTTGTTAGCAGCACGTTAACGGATACTAAAAGTTTCTAGCTTCTTCTTGCATGCTACTACCAATGTCTCTCAAGGAGATCCATGGTAGCTTTATTCCCAAGTGCCACATGCTTTTGCACCTTGTTTCCTGTCTCATTACAGACCAAATATTTTACTTTCTGATATAAAAGGAAGTACAAGATGGTAATATTATGTATTCAAAACAGCAATTGGATTGAGCATGCAGCTTATGAAAATTACAACTTGATTCAGACAAATTCATTGTTCAATGTGGCCTATAAGAAATAATATAAAGCATACATTTTTTCATATGGCACGGTACTGATTTGTATGGAGGTTAACATCATAGGCCAGGAGGATGCTAATTTTTTCCTCCTGAGAGTTATCGCGGCAAAATTTAAATTTACTAAAGTACACATTGGCTTACCTAATTTGCAGATCACTTAAGTGATTCTGAGGCAGCAGAAAGCATCACTTTCCTGCTTCAACTGCATGGATTGCCGTTGATCCTCTACTCGTTGGAGCTGTGAGGAAAGCTGAAGCAAGTCGATAGTGGTCCCATCTTCGCAGGACAGACGATCTTTGGCATTCACAAAATCTGATCCTTGGAAAATCCCATCTGAGATTCCAAAATCATCAGTATCACTGCCATTAGATAGAAGTATGGGACCCAGGTGAGTCCCAGCTCCAGAATTCATTCCTAAAGAAGAGAATTTATTTGACACCCCACTTGAGGAGGCATGTGAGCATCCCCCAATAAGATTTTCAGAACCTTGAACCAGCCTGTAATTGGTATGGCTGACAGGCATGACCGGGGGGCGAGCCATGGGAATTCCTGACAAATGGTTTGAAGATTTCTGTGACTGAGATGACAGAAGAGAGAGAGCACAACCAGAGTCTGAAATTCCCGATAATCCATGTACAGTTGAAGCAGTGTTGAACACATTGAAGTCTTCACTTCCTAATGTGGTGGTCTCATGAAACATAGAGTGTGAACCAGAATTTAGGCCTCTCATATCATGTGAATATTGACTGCCATTCTCAATGATTATGTTTCCAGTTAGAGGATTAGTTCCATTGTCATGAAATGGGGGATACCGTTTTCCAATATCATAAGAAGGAAAGACTGGTTTCAAAGGCAGATGCCCATTTGTAACAGGAACCCCTGACAAAGGCCTATAATGAGTTGCATCTTCAACTTTTATATGCCTGCACCAGTCATTTGTTCCATAATTTTCAGCATCCAAAATTCCACTGGGGAGTATCTCTTGGCAGATAAAAGATGCAGTTGTCAACATATTATCCTGAAATCTGCTGCCTGTAAACCGTGCAGACAGTTCGAAAGAAGATTAAAAATCTAAATGACTCAAAGCTGTAGTGATAGAATGATGAGTCACTAATTAGCCACTTGGAGAAGTACAAATTATACAGGAGAATCCTCAGACTACACAACTTATTATTGTCATTACATGCAAACGGGATGAGCACTGAAGGAATTCTACAGATCATGACATAACATATGATATGAATCTATGATCATAAAGAGTAAATGACACTTATTAAGGCAGTTTTTCTATCATAGTGACATTCAGGGAGCTTGACTTACTTAAAGAGACAATTTATTTATTTGTATTTTGGATGTATTTCGATCATATATTTGACCCACTCTCACTGGCAGAAGCTTTCAGCTCAATGTTGCAACCGCAATATGCAGCCAGTGGACACATGATGTTTCATATTCCTCCATTGGTAACACTTTGGTTTGAGACACAGCAGTGGCTCAATTAAGCCAAACATAAGGGAGACAGGGCCAAAAACTTTAGATAACTTTCATGGATAAAAGGCTGGATAATATATAAAGGACATTTAGAGGCCTTCTAGTTTTTTCCACAGAATCCACTAAGGTTCCGCTGACCAAAGAAAAGTTAAACATTTCATGGTAATACAAAGTTCAGGGCTGCACAAGAGATCACAGTATGGTTGCATTCAGTTAAGGAGAGAAAGGGGGACCATGAAATCGTCAGGATAACAGAAAACTAGAGACAAATTTTATTAATACCATTATACGACTGAAGCAACCTACCAGCTCTTCCAGAGTGAATCCCCACTTGAGGCTTTCTCCGACGCTCATTGTGTCCTGCAAGGCGTTTACGACAGCTACGCTTACCATCATCAAACTCAGCCAGCAAATGAAACCTGGATGGTCAAAAGCTAGTACATATTACAGCAACAACAAGAATCATGACACTTTGCACATTAGCTCAGCTGGTTTGATTCAAAATCCTAAATGAGCTAAACTCAAGGATACAATAGATTTAGAAAGAATCTATTTCTGAGCAACCAAACAAATTGAATTCAATCAAGAAGATGAAACAGAACCAACCTACTACATTGCTGACAAAACCTCTGTTCTCTGCCATTCACAATAACTTTGGCCGTCTTCGAGTGAGCCTCACAAACTTTATGCCTCTTGTGGTAGTCCTTGGAGGAGCTGAGATCCTTGTCGCAACCATAAACCTGACAGTAGGCGGTCTGAGAATACAATCCTGACACCCGCATTCGCTTTGCAGGTGTCGATGATTCGGATGAAGACAATATGGGATGTCCTTTAGAAAATTTAGAATCATGGAAATCTCTGTTATCAGCCAACCTCCCTAGTTTTAAATCAATGAGTGAAGAATCCCTACTGTTAGAGTCCACAATAGAGCTTGAAAGCTTTGAAGATGATTCATCTTCTCCTGAAAATAAAATTGGGGTAGCCATACTTGTTGTATTAGTACTTCTTTCACCATAAACCTTGCCACTCAATACATCTCTAATTGGATTATTTGAGAAATGTTTGCCCATCATTTCTGGAAAACCCAACTCCCCAAAACCTTGACTTTCAATAGCTTGCTGGCCTGACACTAAAACATTGCTGCCAAAAGCACAGGGGATTTTCAATTCCCAACCCATCAAAGTATTTCTACTTCTAGAAAATGAATCAGTGTGTGAAATTGTTTCATCGGAAACAAACCCCTTCCCTTCAGAAATACGGCTCCAAGACTCCATTACAAGTAAAGGGATCACAACTAAAGCCCACTTCAATTCATGGGGAAAACTATCAGGCACTTGTAGCCAAGGATCAAGCTGATTGTTTATAGTTCCAAAAGCTCAATGAGCTCAAAGCTATATATAGGTCATTACTGGAGAATCATCATTAACTCTGTACACAAACCACAAAAAGCCCATCTTTAGACAGAGAAAAAAAAAGAAAAGAAACTGCAGAACGCTTCCTCCTTGAAGCTCCAAATTCGTGGGAAAATCAGTTTCTGGGAAACCAAACAGAGCAAAAAGGAAAACCCATCAGGATAGTACCAAGAAAAATATAACCAATCTGCAAAAAAATGTCTGAAGCCTGAACCCCCACGTGAATTCAATCAAGACAATTGAAGGAACAAGTGAAAAGGCTAAACATGTTCAATGTATAAAGCAAAGACTGAATGAGTGGAAAACAGGAGCCAAAAACAGAGTTTCAGGTACTTGATGGAAAAACTATTCAGCAGCTGAAAGAAAGGGAAACCAAAAGTTGCCCAAAAGAGAGACAGACAGAGAGAGAGTGTTCACTTTACCAGTGTAAAAGTAGATAGTAGGTATAGTGTGGCATTATGGGGGTTGAGGCAGACAGCTAAATTTGGAAGTGTTTAGTAAATTCTGAACTCCATGGAAGAGCTTGTAGTTGCTAACTTGCTATTTTGTGAGAGAGAGAGAGAGAGATAGAGAGAGAGAGAGAGACCATTGAAGAGAGCTGCAACTTTATGTAATTTAGTAGACTTAAAGTCAGAAAGCAAAGGAGACCAAGGAACTGCTATTTCCACACTTAATTATAATTACCAAGACTTTGTTTTTGTTAAGTAATTACCAAGATTCTATGACAAGAAATTTGATGTTCAATAATATTTTCTTTTCTATTAAAACCAATACAAATAGTAGAGCAACGTTATAAAAATAAAAAAAATTTGTGGATGATGGGGACAATGTGAATTTTGAAACTTGGACCTATGATATGCTATGAGTGGAAAATAAACAAAAAAAATTGTTGATAGAGGTGAAAGTTGCAGACAGAAGTTTGATTCAAAACATAAATCGAAATTATATATTGGAGACACAAAAGAGGAGCTCATAAACACCCATGATTATTAAAATGAATGACAAAGAATTAGCTGAGATGGTCAGTCATATTTAATTAGAAACCTAACCTGAAATTAAGTAGAGTTGATTAGTTTATCAGTAATTATAAGGAAAAAGCATATTCCTTGGAAGCATGGAAAACATGGCTTGAAACATGGCCCATCACCACCACCACCAGCAGAAGCCAAAGCCAGAGCCATGCAAATGAGAGCGATTATAGTCTTTGGAGAGAGTGGGAGACCGAGAAAGTGATGCCCAACAAGTCAATGCACAGTCAACACTAACTCACTATTTTATTTTATTTTTATGCTGGGATCTTGAGGACTGGCCCTGGAAATACCAAAATTACCTCCTGACCTGGCTGGCAGGAGCGTGCATTGCAAGCTCTGTGGAGTGAGGGTGGGGATGGAACACACACACACACACACATATATATATATATATATATATATATATGCACTTAGGGTGGCATTTGCAAACTGGCAGCCACCATCCTCCTTGACAAGTCAAGCAGAGAGTGCTTTCCCAGAAGTTCAAAGTATGTGGGGATAAAGAATAGGGATTTAGGGTTTAGTTGCAGATCTTTCTTTGACTGGGGTGGTGGCGATGAGGAAGTTCCCACCCAGCTTTGTCGTCCTTGTATTTGGAAAAGAAAGATTATTTGACATTTAAATTCCAACATTAAAACATGTAACAATATTTGCCCGTCATTCAATTACGGGAACACAAGGTGGAATGTAAAGTAGTATCACTATCCACCAACTGACCAACAATACATGGATTGTGATCTCCAAGTACGGTTTGTATAAGAATTTAACAGCAGTTGCCTTAAGCTTTTGAATTATACGTTAGGTAAAGCTTTGTTCCCCAAGCGAAGAGGATTAATGCAAGTAGTTTTCAGTCGATACGATAGTAATAAAACATAATACTTTGTCAAAGAAAAATAAAAGCATTTGGGTCCTGTATGATGTCATGAATTGGGGACACATCTTACGTGAAGTCAAATTGAGAGCAATATATTCCAACCACAAGCCATCAATCAAACTTGTTTTGTTTTTCTTCTCTTTTTTTTTGGGGCAAAGAAGACAGACAACGTCAGATAACAGACAGGAAAGGAGAAGGAAAACTGCTAATTTCCTCTCAACTTAGAAAACGAAAGCAGGAGAAAGAGACAAGACAACCATTGCATCACAAAAGAAATTTCAATTTCCCATTTCCTCTCCCATCCACTTTTCATTTTATTTTTCTTCAAAGAAAATAAGATATTACTGTTGTTTGAATTGATATATATATATATATATATATTGTGTGGCGAGAAAGAATTGCCAAAACATATATTTATTAATGCATTATTAAATGATGTGAATGAAAGGTAAAGTATATACATACGTTGACAGACACTGTATGTTCACGTGCTCTATTGTATTTGTAGATTGAGGCTGGTAGGGTATAGGGGCCAACAAAACCTAATCCATCCACCAAACCAAACTCATCTTTGTTTTAGAGCATCAAAGAAAGATGATAAGATCCATCCATAACACATCCACACGCCCAAAAACAAAAAGCGAAAAAAAAGGACCACGCAAACAAGCTATAGGAGCTAACTCCTCACTCATGGTCAGGTGGTGCTTAACTTTTTACATAATCGAATGTAACTAACCCTAGCTAGGGTTAGTACATCCTATGTAAAGCCAGCCGAAAAGAAGAGAGAGAGAGAGAGAGAGAGAGAGAGAGAGAGAGTTGAAGGAAATTGAGCCGGAACCATTCTCAAAAAGTTCGTGATCTTACACGCACAATATTTTCATATGAAAGAAAGATAACAGCTAGGGTAGGATGGTACTGCATGCATGGCCTCAAGAATCTAATTCTACACAAAGTTATTTAAGGGGCCATAGGGCAACTGGGGCAGTTGATAACTACAAACTTATCATCAATCACGGCATGTCACGCGTCTATCACTGCCAATCACGGCATGTCACGCGCCTATCACTGCCAATCACGGCATGGCCTCAATTAAAAAAAAAAATTGTTAGTTTGAATTATAAACGAACTATATAATACTATAAAAGAATAAATAGTGTATGATGAATCTATTTATGACTCAACAATCGGTGATTGCAATGCAAGAAAAATCTTCTTTGCCAGCGTCCCCTTCATATATAGCCTTTTTCACATTTACTTCTTAGTGCTAACAGTACCTACTGCAGGCTGTACCAACTTCATTCTCAATATCAGAAAGCCATCTTTTGTTTAATTTTGTTTTTTCTGGGTGGGGTGGTGTGGATTAGTTCAGGAATTTGAAAACGAACAAGTTTATACATGTATATATAGTATAGAAATTTTAGGCTTTCCCCTTAAAAGCTCGTTTCTTTTTTTTTTCGTTCCTTAAATCCAATGACTAGAATTCAACTAAACAAGTGTGCATGTTTCTGTATTTTTAATATCTAAACTTGGAAATATGCAATGTACATATTAGCAGAAAGTTATTGAAATCAGTTTTTTGTTGTCGTAAAAAGAATCAAATAAGGTTTGTTTGGTTTTGATGGGGGGAGAGGGAACAAAAGAGGTGGATGCCACATTGCCACCAGCCATGAAGCTAAGCTTAGACCTTAGAGAGAGGCAGGTAGCACTTTGGTAAGATGGGGCAAATGACAATTCCACTAGACCCCTTCTTTTGACTGAAAATGATGCCCAATAATTAACCCCTCTTCTATCATGCGTCCCTCTCAAGTCCTCAACAATTTTAAGCACGACCTTGTGGACAAGGAAAAAAGATAAAAAGTTTATATGGATGGGTGGCTAGGGGTCGAAGGATCCCATTAAATACTATATTGGAGCCAAGGCCCCACCCACCCCCCACCACATTTAGTGTCCAGAAGGGCCTTGCCAAAGAGTGCTGCCATGCAACATTGTGTTGTTCTATCTTTCAGGAAATTATGTTCCCTACCCTTTAAGAGAGAGAGAGAGAGAGAGAGAGAGAGAGAGAGAGAGAGAGAGAGGACTGATTGGAGCAGAAAACTCATATCAAATTATTATCTTCCCAAATATTTTGATGGATGGTGCACCCAATAAATAATCTTACTCTTGCTTCAATATTTCTTGACCTTTTGAAGGAGGTAATTTCAATATAGATATTTTGGATAAACTATGAACAGAATTCGGAGCACAAGATTAATATGAGGGTCGAAAAGATTAATAAGAGGTCAAGAAGCTCAGACTTGGACAATTATCATTGGTTGATTTTCAATTTCAGCCAGAAGTACTTTACTTATAATTTCAGCCATTTTCAATTATAATGGGCCATGGCCCAAAAAGAGAGAGAAGAAGGCTGAATTGGGAGGTCCTTTTATCTCCAATGAAACCCAATCAATTCTCATCTCTGTTTGTTTTGTTTTGTTTTGTTTTTGGGGCTCGAAGTTTCAATTCATTCCAATCCCCCAAAAGGGCAAAGAACAGTACAAATAAAATCGGGCAAAAACATCGACCAAAAAACCAACAAAAAACAAACATGAATGAATCTAACTAAAACCATCACAGTATAGCATGAAGATCATGTTTCTGAGCAAAAAAACTAAAATGTCAAAAGCCAACATAAAGACATTTAGCCCATATAAAGGCATATAGCCCACATTCAACATAAATACATAAAATAAAACACAAGAAACCTAGCCGCTACAACTAAAGAGAAACTCCAAGTAGTCACTAGTAAAGAGAAACTCCACGATTGTAGATGGACAAACCACTAATCACCACCATGAAAAACCAAACAGTCATAAGTCAGCAAACCAAACTAAATATCCCTCAAAACATAGCCCACACAAAATTTACTAACAGAACCAGAAAAGAGGCGGAATTGGGCTTTCAAGGCTTTGGGTTGCTATTGGTAGGCGCCTTTACAAATTATAAATTAAAAAAAACCTAAAAATGAAAATTTCTTTTTCAGTTCAACAAAAGGGATCCAAAGCCATCTTCATATTATTATGTCATTTGAGAAACATTTTGGATGTGACGTCACGCCAGAGATAATTCATGTGGGGCATACTGCGCCCGACATTGCATTCAAGCACCTTGTTTTACTCCTTTATCGCCAAAAAAGAAGGTACTTTTATTAGTTCGCTCTTCTTGGCCGCTTGTAATGGAGAGGGTAATCAAATTTAGAAAATTCTTTATTTGACAATTCTAAAACGGAAACTCTTTATTTGGTGACTGAATCGTATCTAACTTTATAATTCAGTCCATTAATCGGGACTTTAACTTTTGTGAAAAAGACATTGATATATACTAGTAAATTAATCGGGAATTTTTTATTTATTCTCAATAACTAAGGGATAAAGTGAGCTCGGAACGGAAATAAATTGATAATAAAAAATTATGTAACCCATTGGTGTACGAAGCATTTTTTTTCTTCTTCTTTTCTGCCTTTAATTTGGCCATGTACAGACGGTGGTGCAACAAGTGCCTTTGGCGCAAGAGAAGGAAATGGAGCAATGCACATGGCTGTGAGTCCATATGACAATGACAACACACAGTTAGCCAGCCATATCCCATATGTAAGAAATTAGACCTGATCAGGTCTTTTTCTTTGTTTTTATTTATTTATTTATTTATCATTGTCTACATCAAATTTAATAGCTTCTGGGATGTATCTTAGCTTCTTTTTCTGATTGGTCCCTTTCAATAAAAAAAAAAAAAAAAAAAAAACAAAAAACGTAAAGCAGTCCGTAATTATTAATTAGTATATGCAAGAATTCTTACAGACAGTTAAATTATGACGTCATAAACGAACTTTTTGTGTAAGCAGGTGTTTCCTCTGAGTTTCAATAAAAATACCTGCTCTGCGGACACGTGCCCGTCGCCTGTGCGCCGACCCTGGTTTTACCGTTGGTTAATAAGGTAATTTTTGTTTGACGCGTGTCCTCTGAGCGAATATCTGTCTGTAAGCTGCGTTCGGAGGCTTACAAAGAGTACGGCTCTGGTAAATTGTCTTCCTTCTCAAATATCAGTCACCTGGTAGTTAATTTCACCACAACCAATCTCAGATCGACACGTCACTTATCAAAGCGATGTCCAACTGTTTGACAAGTGATATGCTGACAGCGAACACAGTGAATAGTTCCATCAACAAAAAAAGAGAAAAGTTCAAATATTCATTTGTATTTCTTCCTTTCAAAGGATATAATGAATATCACTTCCATGTATTTATAAATAATGCCTACAAATTTGTTTCAAAAGGCCAGAAATGTTTTAGATACAATATATAAGATGACGAAGAATATAAAGTCTCACATGGAAAATTTGACTAAATAAATTATAATTTATAATAAGCGGTTCTACTTTTAATAACACCGAGACCTTTTGTGATAAGTGATTAAGTAGGGGACAATATCGGTGTTGCTAGTAGTGGGCCACTGACTCGTCTCTCTGAAATTTATCGGTGTTGCTAATAGTGAGCCACTGACCCATCTCTCTAAAATTTAACATAAAAAACAAATTCAAAATTATAGTTTGTATTGCTTGATTTAATATGAGGGTACACTAAAAAGAAAGAAAGCTTAAATATAGTCGACCTTGTTCCTTTTAAATATAGTCAACTTCGTTCTTGCAATCGTGTACGGCTTGTAGTCTTGCACGTTATACTATTTTGTTTACGATTTTGTAGTTTGAATGAAGGACGGTCATTTGGCTATTGATTTCAATGTTATCACATGAGGTGTTTAAAGCTCGATAGGCTCCTCTCATTTTTTCTTTCTTTGATTTTGTTTGCACTAGGCTTTGAAAGCCAATAGTCGTATTGTCAATGCCAACTTTTATTATTATTATTATTATTATTATTATTATTATTATGTTTCCCAACCCTATTCTACTTGGGACATTGCTAGTGAGGTTTTTTCTTCTATAAAAAAGGAAAGAAAGAAATCAATTCCAAAAATAGGAATTTCAAGGACATGCAAGAAGAATGCTAAATACCTCCAACTGCAATCCATACATTTTGTGAAGTACTTGCAGGCTGCAGCTAACCGAATTGTCTACAAACATATTTGCCCAAAAATCGTTTCCTTCCTTAAAAGCGTAATTTGAATGAATCGATCCATCGTATGAACTTACGATATCTATTTTCTCTTTAGCTTCACAATTAACTTTCATAGTGGCATACATGATGTGATTTGAATGATTTTGCTGTTGTTGTGTATGAGGTGTGAATGATAACATTTTTGAAGGGGTTTCAAAAGAAAATATTGCTTCATCATCCTTCGAATAAATAAAAAAAGAATGTCAAAATTAAAGTTTGAAAATAAAATGGTATCAAAACGAAGTGAAACTCCAAATATATGGAAAGATCATGGGAGGCAGAGGTATAGGGCTAAATATCCCCTTCAAAAAGGAAACTGTAGAGTATGTATCTGACATGAAATATGAAGTGCTGCCCAGCTAGGAGTGGACACGTGTTCATCCAAAAGTATGCAACTGTTAAGGTTTTTTGTTGTTGGACATCCGCTAGGCAATACAAGGTAACCTAGAGGCTTTGACAGTGCACATATAATTGAATTGAATTGAATTGAATTCTTTGAAAGAAAAAAAGATGAAAAAAGGATGAGGCAGTGGAAAATCTGGACCATATAGAGTGAAACTGGGCAAAACCCTGTGGTTGTAACTTGTATGGATATTGGATACACAAAAAACACAAGACATCACTAGAATATTAAGTGTACAGTAGTAGGGATAGGGAAGATATAAAACCAAACACAAATACAAAAGCTTTTTCAGGGGTTTCCATTTCTCTCATATTGCATTCATCTTTTTATCCCTTTTGGTACCCTAAACACACACCCTCTTTAAAGAAGCTTTGTCTGCCTCTCATCTTAACCAATACTAAAGAGAGAGAGAGAGAGCTAATAATTTAGAAAGAGATATGGGAAGAGGTAGAGTTGAGCTGAAGAGGATAGAGAATAAAATTAACAGGCAAGTGACTTTTGCCAAGAGAAGAAATGGGCTGCTCAAGAAAGCTTATGAGCTCTCAGTTCTCTGCGATGCTGAGGTTGCCCTCATTATTTTCTCCAGCCGTGGCAAACTTTATGAATTCTGTAGCAGTATGAGGTATATATCCCCCCCCCCCCCCCCCTCTCTCTCTCTAGGCAAACATGTGTTTTATGTCTGCGACTTACATATTTGTCGGAGAAATTTTTTTGTTATGTACTAGCAGTGGTTTTAATGAGCAAAAAGATGCGGATTTCATTGATTCTTCTTGATTCATTTAGTGTAGATGTTGATCTGTTGCAACTGATCATTTTAAGAAGATTAACAACTTTTAAATTTTTGGTGTTCTCATAGTTAAAGATGTAAAATCTTTTCTTCTCTTTTTGAGTTCATGTGTTTCACAGTCTCTTCCTACATATAATATACACAAACTTCATCTTTGATTTTGATACTCAATTACTTTTAAATACAACAATTTTCCAGTATTTAAAGAATTAACTTGAATTTTTTCAGGTTCGAAATTGTTTACATATCCATTAGACACGTGTAAAAGTTTCCTAAATCGTTTCCTATGATTTTATAAATTTTGAGTTCTCTCTAGTAATTTGCTACTTATATAGCATATAATGGAATTAAGCTTATTTAGAAGGCTTTCCTAAATATAGTTAAGTTGTTTTGTACTCTTTTGAAGACAGATTTGGTGTGTTTTCTTCCCTTCTTTTAAGTAAACAAGATCATACAAAACTTTGAATCGTGGTGTTTTCATGGGAAAAACTTATTAACAAGAAAGTTACAGATTATATCTTTCATCATTTTCTACTGTTCGTTCCAGGAGAACCGTCATTTTTTTTAATGAACAGGGAAGAGACAGTAACAATACCGGTCACTGTTATGATTCGGTAGCAGGATGATTTGATATTTGATTTGCAAGTTTTCTGCATGTAGTACTTTGAAATAATTATTTTCAGTAAGAGAAAGACAAAAGGCTGCCTCTTTGCTGCCAATTCCAAAGCTGGATTATATTTCTGCAAAACCTTGGAGCCAGATTAGAAGACTTCGGCCTGATATATTACTGAAAATATTATACTTTTTAGAAGCATTCTGCATCCACAAACACAAATTCCTAAATAATTATAATAAAGTCATCAATAAAACCTCATCGTATTAAAGATTTATTCATTATTATTACTTTTCTTTTTTAAAATGGACCTGAAGATAACATTCTGCTTTGAAAATTTAGGTAAGAAGAGTTGACATTCTTAATTTAGAGTCCCGGGCAACTTTATATCAAATTCAAAGTTTAAATGTGGAGAAATTGGAAGTTTCAAGATCCCGATAGTACAAATGCTAGTGGCTTTTAGGCGGTCTGATGTATCTAGCTGATAGACAACAGAGCACTTGATGGTAGCTCATTTATGTTATCCAAGTGATAGAGAAAGCGTCGAGCCTAGTAGTATGGAATTGTAACTAAGCAGGGTGTTAAAGTGATTGAAACCTTCTCAAGTGATAGAGAAAGCAGTGGTAACTTAATGAAAATCATCCCCTTCAATATTTAGCCTTACAATACTTTGAAATCTAATCACTTGAAGTTTCTTGAGTTTTCTTGCATTTCCTTTGTGAGAAGCATTGGTATAGTGATGCATGGTTGCTTCACAAACTTCGTTTTACCTTTGCTTAAACATATTTAATCTCAGTCCTAATTAATTAGTTTAGCGTTCTCTCTCTCTCTCTCTCTCTCTCTCTCTCTCTCTCTCAACAAATAAAAACTTCACAAGATCTAAGAAAGTGAAACCCTAATGTACCCCATGGAAGTGGGAATAGCAGCTTGAAGTTCTCCACTGTTGATGAGTAGAAAGTAATGCTACCTTGCAGGCCTAGAAATTAATAATACCTTGCTACTCCCCTTTTTATTAGTAAGTAACAAAAGAACCTTGTGTGGCTTGGATATATGGTATTATTCATCTATACAGGTTATAAATATTTATGACAATTAATCTACTATATATATATATATATATCTAGCTGATTTCACACAGGGTTCAAGTATGGCGCACACTTATGTTCAAGGATGTAATTGCATTGTGTTTATTGGGGGACGATTCACAATGTCTTTCATCGTCACCGTTCATATAAGCTGTCGTTTAGAAATTAAATAATTTGATGTTAACACCACTTGACCCAAAATCATAAGATTCTTATGATTTTTAAGCCAAACATGTTGTTTTGATCAGTACACTTTGTTTTTAGCCAGATTGATTATGCATTAAATAGATGTGCTGATATCTTGATGTTCTTCAATTGTTAACCTTGTATCTTATAGCATGCTGAAAACGCTTGAAAAGTACCAAAGGTGCAGCTATGGCTCCCTGGAAGCCAACAGACCAGTCAATGATACTCAGGTAGGCTGGACAACCCCACTATTATTAAAAACCAATACTATTTTAACAATCCAACCTTGTGGAATATTTCGAATGAGTCTATTTATTTATTTTTAGGATTTAATGCAAAAATTTGTTGACAACTCTAGAAATGTCATGACAAAATTGTCTTTTGTCTCCAAGCAGAATAGCTATCAGGAATATCTGAAGCTGAAAGCCAGAGTGGAGGTCCTCCAACAATCTCAGAGGTATATTTTGCACAACCTTGGAGTTGATATTTGCTTGTCATGCAATCTTTGAAGAAAGATGGTAAACCCTAAATATATATATATTCTAATTAAGAGTAGATGTTCCTGAATGCTGCAGAAACCTTCTTGGGGAAGATTTGGCCCCACTGAACACGAAGGAGCTTGAGCAGCTTGAGCATCAATTGGAGGCATCCTTGAACCAAATTAGGTCAACAAAGGTGATTAACTGATAGAATTTTGGTCAATTTGATCGTTTACGGAAGCTTATACATGAAACCCTTTATCTTTCATAAAGCAATTAATATGTCGCTTGAGTTAATGCCAACAACAAAAGTCCTGATTTCTTGGCCCTTTTGTGTTCTTTTAATTAAGTTGTAATAATTCTTTGGGGGCACTTGTTATGTTGTTGTGTTATGCTAATTTGTTTTTTCCCACATTTTATTCAGACTCAGTTTATGCTTGATCAGCTTTGTGATCTCCAGAACAAGGTAAGTCATGAATCTCATTTGCGAATCAATGTTGATACATACACTTGCACACTTTCATTTGCCTTTGAAGACGTAATAATAACAATGCCTGGCCTTGCTTTTTATTCTTGAGCAGGAACAAATGCTAGTTGAAGCTAACAAAGCCTTGAGGAGGAAGGTAAAACAAATGAAACCATATGCCCCATAATTTCTTGCTTCATTAATTGATCTAGCTGTTTCTGCTTACAAGTGTAAATCCAAGTGATCATTAATATTAACTGAACACAGCTGGAAGAAACTAGTGGGCAAGCTCCACCTCCATTGGCATGGGAAGCTGCTGGCCATGGCAACAACGATGTTGAGCATACTCGCCTTCCTCATCATCCTCACTCACAAGGCTTCTTCCATCCATTGGGAAACAACTCCACTTCCCAAATTGGGTACACATCATCTCAAATCCTTTTCATTCAAATCCCTGCATCCAAACGGAGCCTTAATTTCCATTAATTAACACGTCCTTTGTAATTCGTTTTCGTCTTCTTACAATGCAGATACACCCCTTTGGGTTCCGATCATCATGAACAAATGAATGTTGGAAATCATGGCCAACATGTGAATGGATTCATTCCTGGGTGGATGCTTTGACTTTGATTTCGCATGATCAAGATGACAAGATGTGGCGAATAAAATACATGTAGCGGACTATCATCTCATGTTGGATGGAGCTTTTCTTTTTTGGATAATTGTGATCTTCCTTCTATGCCATGCAACATGTAATAAGTCTTTGTACCAATAAGAATAAATATATATTTTTATTTATGTTTGTAAGTTGTATTCATGACATTGAAAACCTCTCTCTCTCTCTCTCTCTCTCTCTCTGAATTGTGGGATATGTATTTGCGTGAATTTGTATCATAATCACTCAATATACGAGTTTGAACAAGTTTTGGGGCCTCAAGCCTGTGGGAAAACTTGCCCAATTGAACTACTGGGCCTTTCCATGATTCATAGGTCCATCAAAAACTTGTGTGCATGCATGCGAGCAAGCAACCGTGCTTAATTAGGAGACAAAAGCTTACTTGTCCATCGTCGTACTTACAAGAGTTAGAAGACAATTTGCCAATAAAATATTAACTTAACCCAAAAGGTGATTCACCTTCTTCCTATGAAAACAAAAATGGACATTAATCTCAACCACCCCCTCTCTCTCAACTTTCTTACCCTAATAATTATTTTCCTTCGCGGACTTTCTTATTCGAAGAAGTTAAACAAGGGATTTCGTGTACTCAATCGGGAGTTAGTTACACTGATATTACTTGTTAAGGAAAAGGATGACGACGTTATAATTTGCAAAGTTATCTGTGTTTTTGTTTTCTTCCGGGTAATTTGGAAAGATTAGGGTTTGTAGAGCGATTAATCATTGAATGAAACAGGAACAGGTAGAGCAACAGCAGATGCTGCTGTGAAGTGAAGGACGTTTGGAGTTGGACTGCTTTTATGATTTATTTTGTGTCCTTTTCAGTGGAAGTCTTCTTCTTACCGGATTCGGCCAATCAAGAGCGACAAAGCATGGAAAAGATAAGAAAAGATACCTAACTCTTCCTACGCAACTACGGGTTGGGCCACGGCCCACGTGAAAATTAATCTATTTTTAATTCATACCGTTGGCAGAGAAGAGAGGGCCACCGGGGAAAGGGACCAATTTAGCAATCAAACGCACATAAAAAACACACACTACATGTTACAAAAACACCACTTTCCCTTCCTTCCCACTCATCATTCAAATCATATTTTGTTTTTGTTCGAGTACGTGCGTACTATATATTGGCCATGTTGACATGTTCGTATGTGTAACTGTTGTCTGTTATTGCATGCCAATGGCAGAAATGGTTCACCAAAATAGTAACCTCTTTGTGTGCATGCGTGTTTCTCTGTCTGTGTTTTACAATGTAAAAACAGGACTGAAACCCAACAATCAATACTCTAGGCATTAATTCCCCTTTCGGGGACGTCAAATATATCTCCCCAAAAAAGACACCTTTTAATTTGTTGCATATATTATATACTTTGAATCTTAGTTTCTCGATCGCTAATGAAGTTTGAGCACTCAAATTTTGTGTTGTTTAGACGGGCTAAAATGTTACGGTGAATGTTAAGTACGGTTGTTTTTAAGCGCGTGAACGATTATAGATCTCATTAGGTTTCATATACTTTAACTTGTGGAAAACAGATAACAGCGAGCTATTAGTTGCCTGTCATCTTATATGTAAGAAGTAGTACTAGCTAGTAACATTGGTGATGAAAAAGTCAAAATTGATGCCAAGCAAATCTCTCTCAGCTCTCCTCACTTTTTCGTTTTGGTTTGACGGGCAAGAGAATCTCTCACTTTCAAAATGTTAGTTAAATGAATGTCACGCATGGTGAGTTTTAATCCAGAAATTTATTATGACCGTACGTGGGCATATCATCTTTAGATAGATATTTCGCAGTTGTTGTTTCTTCCAGTCAACTAGTCAACGGATGGGTTGTAAAAGTGGCATACTTTAATCGCATTCGAGAAACATTATCATTGACTAACTTGGCCTTGTTCCACCAAATACGGTCATTTATTAAATATAGAAATTCATTGAGAGATTATTTTGCACGAAACAAATGTATTATATTTCATTTCAATATATAATAATCGTGCTTGGAATTAAGCATAAATGGGAGAGGACCCAAGATTTCATATTAGAATAGGACCGTTCAAGCCCGGTTAATAAGTTAATACGACATTAACCACTTGTTTTGTCCCACTCTTATTTTACACTGATTAACTAATCTCATCATCTACATCATTATACACTCAAAAGTTAATAATTTATATTCCAACATAGAGAATAAATACAAAAAAGGTTCATAAATCCCAATATTATCATACCCAACTTAGACATGAGAAAAGCAAGGGAAATAAAAAAATTCATATAGCTTAAGTTAAAAAAGAGAGAAACAGGAAAAAAAAAATTGCGGTTAAATTTGTATGAATTTTTAGTGTAAATATCATAAACTAACCTACAATATTTAAGGGAGAGAAGTAGAAGAGAGATTAAAAAGTTTAATGGTTAATTTGTAAACAAAAAAAACCTAATATATATTATTTATTATAGGGTAAATATCCTAAAACTAATATAATATATCAAAATAACATATATTATATAACTAGAATAGAATAGGTACAAGATGAAGGAGGCCCTGGGACCACTGGTCTCTTAATGGCTTCGCCCCTGCTCAAAAGGAAAAGTGCCTTGCCTTACCTTGCCTACATATGAATGAATTTTTCATTTGAATCTTGACAAGACGAGGAAAAGAAAAGGTTTCAAAAGGAAAAGTGCCTTATCTTGCCTTGTCCACAGATGAATGAATTTTTCATTTGAATCTTAACTTTTTACTTTGATTTATTTAATCATAATTATACTTATGAACACGTTTTAAGTGTTAAGAAGCATAATAAGCATATATTTTGAGTTAAAGTGGTGAGAAAATGCTTCTAAAGAAAATAAGTACAGAAAAGCATAAATAGATGATAAGAGATAAGAGAAGTGACTCAAATCAACGTACAATGTCTGCTAATATAAAGATTAAAACATATATAGGAGCCAATCATATTACGACAACTAAGCTATGGGGGGGTGATAATAAACGATAAAAAATCATCATCATGATGACGTTGTGGTACTTACTTTGTTGGGACTGGCATGATAAGCAATTTTTAATTTTTAATCTGGTGTGGAGAAAAGCAAGATAACATATTCTAAGTGAAGATTAAAGTAATGTTTACTTAATCCAATTTTTGAGCTACAAACTCTTTGCAACATGCCCGAATGCAAATACCGAATGAAATAACTTTAGGATTATTATATCATTAAAAGTTAATTGTGGGAAATTAATTAATGAGGTGGTAATTAAAAATAAACTGAGTGAGAGGGATCGAATCCAACCCAATTCAACATATATTTATGTTATTTTGTTGGAATATATTAAATTTGTTGTCATAAAATAGGTAGAGTGAGTGTGACAGTGGCGCATACAGATAACAGACACATTAAACAGTAAAAAGTAAGTTGGGAGAGAGATGCATAAGATTAGTAATAATTCTGAGAGTGAACCCAAAGGGAAAAGTAAAAATAGAAACAGAGAAAGATCCCCCTTCAAAGCCGTCCGTACACATCACTTTTCATTTTGATTAATGTTTATTATGTGGGATTTGGAAATATTTGGGTTCTGGCCAATCCCAAGTCGACAACCATCCTGACCAAACCACTCTGGTTTTCCAATCCTGCCATCTCTTGTTTTAGCGGTTTTGTAATTAATATATTTATATATCTACTATATCATATAAATATAGAAACAACGGCAGTCAGAGAGAGAGAGAGAGAGAGCAGACGACGCCTATCTATTAGAAGAAAGAGAGAGAAGAAGCATATAGCTCATCCCTTTCCTTTTTTCTTTCTTTCTTTCTTTGTTTCTCTCCCATTTTCTGGGTGGGGTTTTGGTTTCTGCAAGCAAAGAGATCATCATCTGTTCATCAGAAGGGCTAGGCTTATCGGATAATATTGTTATTTGTTTAATATCATAAAATAAAAAAGAGAAATTAATACTAGTAGTATATATTATGGGGAGGGGAAGGGTGCAGCTGAAGAGGATTGAAAACAAGATCAACAGGCAGGTGACCTTCTCAAAGAGAAGGTCTGGGTTGCTGAAGAAAGCCCAAGAGATTTCTGTGCTTTGTGATGCTGAGGTTGCTTTGATTGTCTTCTCCACCAAAGGCAAGCTCTTTGAGTACTCCACTGACTCCTGGTAATATATACCTCCACGTCCTTCCTCCTATATATATATTATTCATTTAGTAAGTATCTATTATTTATTTTTGTGTCTGTGTCTTTTTTAGGGTATTTCTTTCTTTTTCTTCATCTAAATTTATTACCCAATTCTACCAGTACGTTTCATTTGTTCATGCACTAGTTTTTTTGTTTCGACTCATTATTAGATCCATGGGCTTTTGACAATACATTTTTCATGAGTGAGTATCTTTTCTGGGGATTTTCTTCCTCTATATTTAATTTGGTTTCATGCAAATACCAGATGTTGGCTGAGAGAGAGAGAGAGAGAGAGTACATATGGGACGGTCAACCTGTTCATCCATGTAAAACAAAAACGGAAAGAAAAATTGTTCATCGCAACATGTTAAACCCCAACTAATTTGCATCCTTAATTCTTACTTAGGAATTCTAAGTTGCCTTGCCAAGAAGGCGGACTTCCACTTTGTGAAACGTACAGCAGCTGGAACATCCCTAATTTCCCTATCTTCTTTTAAGTTATTAATATATAATTTATATATAGGGGTCTATCAGAAAAAATATCTATATATAGGGGGGTCTGTCGTCTGTGTGTGTCTTACAAACTTTATGTAGGCTCAAATTCATATATTTTTTTAGTACATATCTCTATCAATTCCATTGTAGGATATGTGAGCTCAGATTTTAATTCACTCTCACAACACAAGGGTTTTGTGCTATAGATATTTATATATGTACGGTACACCTCAAATGAATGATTTTAGCGTACTGTCTCCTGACTGTTATTTGACTCATCTTTTTTGTATGATGATATAGAAATCTACCATCTTGAATGAAGTTTGGTTTATAGGAACTATGTAGGAGTAGTTACTGGTAGATTATTTCTGAATGAATTTGTTAATTATAACAGCATGGAAAGGATCCTGGAAAGGTACGAAAGGTACTCATATTCAGAGAAGCAGCTTCTTGCAAATGATCATGAATCAACTGTACGTATGCCCTTCTGGCTTTCCCTTTGGTTTCAAAGCCAAAAATATAATCACCATGAATTTGGCATCCATTGCAATTTGCGTCATTCCCCCATAGACGAATCGGGAATTGACGAACTAGGATCACTTTTCTTGGGTTCTTTTCTTTTAATAAATACTTCATTTGATGCCATACGTTTATATATATTAGGGAAGCTGGACTCTGGAACATGCGAAGCTCAAGGCTAGGGTGGAGGTTTTACAAAGAAATCACAGGCACCAAACACCCCATACATCTTTAATTGCTTTCTAATTAATAAGCAGTAGTAATTTTATACTAGCTAGTTTTCATTAATTTTTTATTAATTTGCAGTCATTTTATGGGAGAAGATCTCCAATCTTTAAGTCTGAAAGAGCTTCAGAATTTGGAGCAACAGCTTGATTCTGCACTGAAGCACATAAGGTCAAGAAAGGTAAAAATACAAACGAAAAGGGTTTCGGTACAGTACATTGGACTTGTTTTCTCTTTTCTCTCGTTTTCTCTTTTGAAGAAAGAAAAAGGGTAACGAATTTGACTATGATTCTTTCATCACATACAGAACCAGGTTATGTACGAATCGATTTCCGAGCTGCAAAAGAAGGTAAGCCTGAGAGGACATTCTATGCACGAAATTAGACGCATGTTTTTGTTCCAGTATTAACTGTGGAATATTGCCTGTGTTAATTTGATCATGACAGGATAAGGCATTGCAGGAGCAAAACAACTTGCTGGCAAAGAAGGTATAACAATGTAATTATATATGTTTAGAAATTTGTTATTAATTTCGTCATTTTCATTTCTCATCATGCATGGCTAGCTCGAATTGTGTATTAAGCCATAATTAACCAGGTCAAGGAGAAGGAGAAAGAACTGGCTCCCCAGGTACAGTCATGGGAGCAGCAAGTGCAGAACCAGGGCTTGGACTGCTCCTCCACCCTTCTACCAGAGGCATTGCAGTCCTTGAATTTCGGGTTAGCCTCACTCACTCACTCACTCTCTCTCTCTCTCTCTCTCTCTCTCTCTCTCTCTTCTCTCTCTCTCTCTCTCTCTAAAAGACTGAATTAAGAATATTAATTGAATATCAAGGCTGATTGATTACAAGGTAGGTCAAGTTTTTTAATCATTAACATGTGCAATATTTGATATTTGCAGCAGCGGTTCAAATTACCAGGGAATTAGAAGTGATGGATCCGGTGGAGATCATGAGGATGAAAATGAGACCCCAACAGCAAATCGACCTAATACTCTCCTGCCCCCATGGGATGCTCCGCCACCTTAATGAATAGAAGAATTCATGATACCCAAACTATTATAAGTTTATGACCAAGTACACAAAATTTATATATATATAATTAATGTCTATATACATGTATTATATATGTATGTATGCATGTATACCTACGTAGAAATTAATTTATAATGTGGACTGCGATGGAAGGAAGAGCCTCTAGATAGCTCAAAATTTGTGGTATGTTGGGGGCGGGCTAGCTCAAATTAACTACTACCACCTCTTGTATTTATTTAGTATATTATAATTTGCATTGAAGGTGGACGACAGACTATATTTTCAAATTATTAACTTGGGAATTAGACCAGTGTTGTTGACATACACAAGTAGCTACTATAGTCCTTTTTGTCCAATTTGGATTTAATTGATTTGCTGCTCTCCTCTTCTACTTTGGACGTTTCTGCTGCCCTTGCGACAGTAGAATTCTGCTGGTATTGTTTGCCACAGATAATATAGTAGATATGCTTTGTAGTGATTTGGAGCAATTGCTTTAGGTTCGAGTCATAGCACCCATGATAAATTGATATTATCGCCATGTCTTTTCTTTTTTCTTTTTAAATATATATGGGTTGTGTTTTCTTTTAGCAATGTTGTTCTTTAGTGCCACAAATGCTGTATGCCCCCGTGATTTTTGTGACTGTAGATTAGGCATAGCGATAATATCAATTTATCATGCGCACAGAAATGGACAATACCCATCAAATCAATATTTAGCGTAGAATTGTCGAAACTCGAAAACATGCCAGTCTACAAGTTTATAATACTACTACATAAATTTAAACCCAAACGTAATTAGCAAATCTTACTTACACAATACAGATACATCCTAAATATTTTTTCTTCTTTTTTCACGATTATTCCTTGTGTGTCTATTTTTCTTCACTCGGTTTCCAGCCCAATATATACACGTTGCTGAAGAATAGAATTCCTTAATTACCATATATAATTCAATGTATGTAGTGCGAATGATTTCACATCCGGGTGGAAACTTGCCAAACTAATAATCTAGTGTGAATGATATCAAAGGAAGTTGAGAAAACCATTCCTAATACAAACAAATTAATAGAGATATATAATAATGCAGATAGCTACCTCGTCTGCCTTGCACTTGATTAGCTAACGATGAAGTTGACTTTTGCATCCTAATTCATAATGATTTGTGGTTTCTCTTCTGTTAATTAGCTAGTAATTAGTATTTGCTGATTTATTAATGAATCATCCCCACACCACACGGATGCTTGCTTGTCACTAAATTTGGCACGAGTGGCCGGCAACAATTCTTTCTTCTATAAGTTGTCACTAGCTATAGCTCTCTCTTCTCTCTCTTCTCTCTCTTCTCTCTCTTTGGGAAATTAGTCAAACAACCTCAGTTACATGTATCATGTGTGGGAACTACAAATTACAAATTATCATGGGAAGCACGTTCAAGAAGTGGCCTACCACATTGAAAAACAAAGCAAATAAACAAAATAGGGAATCAATGCCCTTTAGAAAAACAAATGGCTCCTCCAAGTTCGTCTGGTGGCCGCCTTATTCTTTGTACATATATATGTATGTACAGCCAGCCAGTTTTGCCACCAAAACCAATATTGTCAACAAAATGAGTAGAAAATATGCAAGATTGTGTGGTGCCCGTCCCACTCTTCGTCTTCCGATCCATTCTCTGTCTCTTCGATCGAAACACACCTCCAGACGATGTTCTGGTTCGATCAAAACTGATCATAACAGCACAGAATTCTTGAACAATATTAGCAGCAGCAAGGATGATTTCAGTGCTGACAGTTTGAAAAGAGGGTCGTCTGAAGTTGGGAATAAGATAATGGTTGTGGTGGATCCAAGCCTTGAAGCTAAGGGTGCTCTTGAATGGGCCCTGTCACACACTGTACAAACCCACGACACCATTGTACTTGTTCATGTAGCTAAGCCCTCCAAACAAGGTCAGAAACTGACATTAATTCTTCTTCTTGGTCATTTATAAATTATAATTATCTTGTTGTTTGCAGTAATATTAATATATATGAGCCTAATATGGTAAAGTGCTACTATTGGTTTGCAGGTGCAGAGTCAGATGGGAAGATCAATTTGAGGGCTTTTGAACTTCTTCACTCTATGAAAAATGTGTGTCAAAGGAGAAGGCCTGGGGTAAGTGTATCAAATTGCTTCTTTTCCATAAATTTTGTTCTGGATCAGAGAAAAACTAGAAAGAAATGAGTCTGCATCAACTTTACTGCAGGGGATCAATCTTTTTGTTAAGCAACTTGTAGCAATAATTTTGTTAATGTGCATTGAGATGTCAACTGTGCATTATGAAGCAAATGTGAAAGGGTTCCATTATCTTTGAACTATGCCTTTTGTATTGACCAATGACTATTGAATTTGAATATATAGGTGGAAGTGGAGGTAGCATTGCTTGAAGGGAAAGAGAAGGGACCAATAATAGTGGAAGAAGCAAAGAGACAAAGGGCGTCCCTACTCGTTCTTGGCCAAAAAAGAAAGAGATCAATGTGGTGGCAGCTCATCAAGAGGTGGACAAGGAGCAGATCCTCCGGCGAGGTAACTGTTGAATACTGCATCCAAAATGCTGCATGCATGTCGATTGCCGTGAGGAGGAAGAGCAAAAAACTTGGAGGCTACTTGATCACCACTAAGCTTCACAAGAATTTCTGGCTTCTAGCTTGATTTGAAAAAAAATACACTTTATTTTATTGGGCTCGTTCTGTTAGATAAGTTAAGCAATGTAGAATCTGTGTTTTTGGTATTGTGGTGTGATGGGGTTGTGCAGACAAGTTAAAAAAGCACTTCTCAGACCATCCAAGACATGGTTGTGGTGACTGCAATGCCTGTAAAAACTGGAAGTCAAGAAAAGCTTTTGACTTTAAACTTCATGGAGTGCATGATTAAATTGGTCTTTTCTGCAGCTTCTGAGAAGTCTCATCTTTGGCAAAACTTAGAGGCTACCATGGTACATTGCGTTGACACTAATTTGTAATAGAAAATTAGGGTATAATTTAAGCAAGCCAAGGTTGAAGATTTGAAGGATCTTATAAAGAACGTAAGATAAGGCATCTTAAATTAGATTAATGACAAGAAGTGTGAGGAATGTAATTGACTTGGAATTATAGGTGTGGAGTCAACGAATACTACCCTACTCCCGAACCAGCAGCCTTCACGCCAAGCAAGACCGCCCTTTTCCCCTTCCTTTCTGGTTGACACCAACGAATAGTGAAGAGAAAGACGGAGGGAAATCATAATCTTTATACCTTTTGGATACAAATTGGAACATTCGTTTCCTGGTTGTGCCTTTTTGAATTAAATAAAGAAAAATACCATCCTTTGAGAGTTGAGGCTAAACATAAATTGTAAGGCACAAACAGCTTCTCTGTATCCTATCTTCATCAGTACTATGTGCATGAATGTGGTACCTATACGCTAAAACTGCAATCTTATCACTGCCGATGCAAATAATTGAATATAAATTTATTCAACTGAACAGAGGGAAGCCTTTGATTTTCTTTAGGCATTCCAGGAAACATCAATCGGCAGCCTTCCTTACCTTGTTGTGCCATTTTCCCCTTCACCTGTTTCTTCTTAAATTCTGAATAAAATCTTTGTACGAATCAACTTAAGAGGTAACACTAGTATACAAATCTCATATCTTGACATTTACTTCAGATCTCTTTTTCATGGCTCAAAAGAATAACCATGTCCATGTGCCATGTCTGGCCTCTCACTTCAAAACTCTATGAAGCTGCTCAAAAGAATAACCATGTCAACCAGTGTGCCAAGTCCGGACTTTCACTTCAAAACTCTTTGATGTGGCTCAATAGAATAACCATGTCTATATGCAATTCGGTGCAGCTGATCATATCCTGCAAGTACCCCAGCCCCAGCAACCCCTAGAAGCATATTTGCAGTAACTCCTCGGAACAGCGCTGTGAAACCCTCAAGGTAAACAATCTCACGAAATGCATGTATGGCGTTGCGATACTTCGATGGTTGTCCCGATGTAAGCATCATTCTGCGCCGAAGGGTATCAAATGGATAGGCACAGACCCCAGAGACTGTTGTAACACTCCAACCAAGCAAGAAACTAGCCAAAAAATTCCCCTGTAGAAATTCAAATGATTTCAACTTTGAGGCTTTGTATCATTTAAGGATTTTCATGGAGATGCTAGAGGAGGGGGGCACTATAGTATGTCTCCTACATAGCAATGCAGATGTTATCAATGTACTTATCAAGAATGAATGCTTCAGTCATACATACGAAAATACACTCCCCTTTGAATTGTACAGATAATACTGAACATATTTTTTTTTCAGAAATGGAGATGCTTACCTCCAAAGACCCAACCAAAACAATAGGCTTCATGGTGTCATAAATCCCAAAGTACATGCCTCGATACAGTGTAATCCCAATAATTGAAACCCCAAAACCTCGATAGAGACCCGCTATTCCATCACTTGACAAGGTTTTACCATAAACATCTAGAATCCCTCTGAACTGGCGCTGACCATTAACTGCAGACCCCCTTGCATCAGTGCCTAGCCGTGTTCGTGCATAGTCCAGGTGATACAGAAATAATGAAGTAGTTGCTCCAGCAGCACTTCCTGAAGCCACATTTCCTGCAAAGTACTTTAAGTATCCATCTTTCTCTTTTGAGCAGCCAAAAATGCTTTTGAAGTAACCTTTAAATGCAAAGTTGAAGGCCTACATATATTCCAAAATATGTTTGGTGATAACATTTGGTAGGACTGCAAAATGCAAATCAAAACATGACATGCAGTTGATAGCATACAAACAATTTCAAGTTTCAAGCGACAATGTAGAATGATCAAATCCCCATTATGTTATGTGACTCCTAGGGATGCAATTAAGAAAATGGGGGGAGTTCTCCATAATTAAGATGGTAAAGCAAATTTTGATGAATTAGTGGACTTTCCATCCAACACATGAATTGCTAAGATAAATGTGTATAACATCCTGTTTTGTTAGCTCGTAAGTGAAGAAAAATCCAGAGTATATATTCACAAGACAAATCTAAGGTCTACAGAGAACCAATTTACGATCTATTGTTAAGATGGAGAACCAAATTGCAAACTGTTGAGAACATGGAGATTTAGAAACATTATGAAATTTAATGAGCAATTCCAATTGTTACTTCTTCTCCTAAACTGAGCTGATATCCGAATCAACCATTTCACTGAAAGAAGTAGCAATTTGACAAGGGAAGAAATGCCTTCAAAAGTTAAGATACATCCTGATATTCACTTGCTTTGAGAGAAATACTAAACCAATACAAACAAGGCGCAAGCAAGAAGAGTGTTTGAAATAGTATCTCATTCCAGCAGACAGACTAATAATTAATAAATCGATAATTTCATTACATAAATCCAAATACAGTAAAAAATCAGCTTAAGGTTTGTAAAAGAAAGAAAGATTTCAAATTCAATGGGAGACTCGAAAGTAAATAAAGTACCTGAGTAGGAAAATATCGAATAACATTAGCCTGGTTGCCTCTCCAAAAGGACAAGACGCCTTCTTCTCTAAAGACCCTTTTAAAGCAATCGCCAACACCCATATAAGGTCTCTTAAGCTGTCCTCTTTTTATCATCTCTCCTTGATTCTGCAACAGAAGCTTCACTCTCTCAATGGGTGCTGCTGCACTCTTCGATACCAATGCTGCCATTCCTCCCATCACAAAATCTGCAGAAAACTTCTCAGATTTTTTTGTCATTGCCAACCACTATCTCTCTCTCTTGGTCTCTTCAGCCCTGAAGAATCCAAGCAAAAGCAGAACAAGGTATCTGAGAAAAATGGGTTAAAAATGAAGTCTTTTAAGAATCCCAAATTCATATTGATGTAAACTGAGGAAATCAAAATACAAGAAGCTGATTTACATACAAACATACAAAACATACCCTGTTTCATCTACTGATTTGCATATAGCAAGTTAGCAACCCAATAAACGAACAATACCCCAATCATATTCCATTGAAAAGCATATCAATTTGGTTGTCAAAAGCTGTTGTGAATATTAATATTATGCAACAAATTGAGAAATGGGTTTACAAATAAAAAAAAAGATAACATACCTTAAATTTGTAGAGAGATGGAAGTCACTTCTCGGCGACGGATAATGGGGCACACTCTCCCACCACCCGAATTAAGACGCAGGCCTTTTTTCTCAGAATTAAAATTAACAAATTCAATGAAACCGCAGTTCACCGTCGATGACATCATCGATCGAATGGGACTCGGGTTCCGGACACGAGTTTTGGATCGTTGGATGTGGGAAAAAAACCAATAATGAAAAAGTTAAAAAATTAGGTAGTGTTCGGTATGCCTGTTGGCACCCGAGGACCCAAACTAAACAAAAATACAATTTTGTCAAACGCGGCCTAAAACTAAAAATTTGCAAGATCACTTTTTTTTTTTTGGTTGGAATCAAATTTTATTAGATAGAAGGCAAAAACCGGTTACAACAACAAAGGAATTCGACTAACTGCAACACAAGAAAGTATAAAACCTACTACACCATAAAACTTGAAGATGACATAAAGCCCAAAAAAGCAAAGTGCACATAAAAAGCAGTGAAAACATAACAGGGAAATGCCACACCATTCGTAACCAAACAGCAGCATAATCAACAGAAGCCCACACCCACCGGAGAGGAACCAGTAACCAATGCTCGAGACAGAAAATGGTGGTGGACAAGCCACCAAAGCTACAAAGAGCACTACCATAATCCAAGCAATAAGTGACATAAGCACTTTAAAAGCAAGCCCAACTGCATAAAAGTCACCAAGGAGAGCCCAACTGCATAAGCACTTTAAAAATTTGCAAGATCTTCGGATGGACAAACAGGATGCGATGAGCTATGAAGAGTAGAAATGAAATCGTAAAATGCCCTTATTTCTCTTTGTAATGTAGTAGGGTAGAAACGGCATTATCTATTTTTCATGTTCGCGAATTGACCCCAAACTATTTTGTCTTTGTTTGATCATAATTTACCAATTTTGCAGTTGAGGACACTGAGAAACAAACTTCACAGTCACATGGCGCGGTCTTCTTCTGTTCTTCGCCACCCAACTCACTTCAATGGCGGAGGACCCAGCAAGCAAGCAACCCCTTCTTCACCATCATCACTAGTACTAGCAACATTATTGGCATGGCGAAGTTGAAAGGCATGCTTCTTCAGCCGAAATTGAATCATTTTCTTAACGAAATCGGTTTTTTATCGGGTTTTGGCTGGGGATTTCAAGCACTCTGCTTTCGTCCACATCTGAATTCGCATTCTACTGATACATGTCGACGGCGATTGGAACTGGTTAGAACTTAAAAGCTGTTTGCTTTGCATATGAATATGATGTTTTTGTTTTGAATTTGAATTTGAACTCAACTGTTCGCTTTCTTTGTGATATATTATTGTTAGATGTTATGAAAACAAAGATACCCAAATAAAAGATAGGGACTTTGTAGAAAAATGGCAACAAGTTTCATTCATCTTAATTGTTTGAATAGATTTGTTGTTAATACCAATCCTCCCTTATTTGCTGGCCATTGGAGGGTGAGACTCTTCATTCAAGCTCCTGTCTTCATCAGCTTATTCCTCGTCCTAACATCTCTCTCTTAACATCTTCCAACTAATCAAGTGTGTCTGATTTTAGATGTGTTCTTTGGATCATGTCTCAAATAGCTTTGTCTTTGTCTTTGTCTTCGTCTCTGTTTGGCAGATAACGAACATGGCAGAGGAAGTGCCATGTTTTACAAGTAGTTTATATCCGACATTCTATTCTTACTGATTTCTTCTTACAATACAAGGGATACTTCCATGACTGAAATAGTGTGTCAAATACATATTGAACACCCTGACATCTTTCCTCTTATTTATAGCAGAGTGAGATTTTGGCAGGTTTAGATCCACATAGGCTTTTGCTTTCATTAAGTTTGGTCATGTCTAAAGATATGGGAAAACGTAGCAATTTTGAAAGCACAGGACCAGTTGCATCCGATATTCAATCCTGGACCTCATAGTCTGTCAAATTGTAGGTGGTTTGGTACATTTAATATCTAGTTTGTTCGAAAATGTTTAATTTCTTATTTGCTTATTTTCTGTGTCATTTTCCAGCTCCTTTTTTGGAGATCGGAAGACAGATACGGAGGGGGTCGGGGAGGCTGCAATCAGATAGGGTCAGAAACTCTGTTAAACCAACTTAAGAATTAAATTATTTACGTTCGTTCTTTAGTGCAAGCAATCTGCAAGAAGGTATTGAAGGGAAATCCTACTGCTACCACCATGAAAAATGTTTCAAGAGGTCTTGCTGCTCGTACTGTTCCATTTACCATGAGCTTTCCAAAAAGGTAGTTTATTCTATTCTCTGTGAACTTCTCTCCAGTCATTTCTGTAATAGATGTCATGCGCACTTTGAAGCCAATGCCTTAGGGGTAATGGCAACGCCCCCCCCCCCCGCCCCCCCCCTCCCCTCATAACAGGGCGGAGGCAAAGATGTCAATTTTCCATACTCTCTATCTCTCTTCTATTTTGACAAGTGACATGAGGAGAGAGATGAAGAGAGGGGGGCAATGAAACCAGAATGGAAGTTTTTCTCGAAGTTGAGGGGAGGTCTACATTGAGTCCGGGCTCGGCACCTCTATCTCCAAAGTTATTAGCTACAACGTTCGCTGGATGCTTCACCCTACTCCAACAATACAACGACCACTGATTATGAGATGAGATACCCCTGACGTCATTTTGAAAAGTAACATCTGTATCACTTTCCGACAATTGGAAGCTGCATTGTTCCATGTTGGGATAAACAGGCTGTTGTAGAACTTCTTTTTATCTGTTAATTTATATATAAATTTACTACTCAGATTTATAGACCCCACCGATAACACACTTGTTAGTTTGTTCTTCCCCCTAGTGTATCTATCATATCACATGTGATTTCTAGTCTTGAGGATGGGAAACCAGCAGATAGCGTGTCCCCACTTCACTTAAAAGAATCATTTTCCCAAAACAATTGCCTTTTTGATTCAGTATGTACTAAATCTGAAAAACGAAACATTACCAGATGGAAATGAACTTCCATTTTTGTTTTTTGAAGGCTGAAGAGAGAAAAACGAAGTCCTAAAAACCAAAAGAACATCGTACCTTCTAAAAGCAAAGAGTTCAAGTCCTAACATTTAGACGAACGAGTTCAAGTCCTAGCGTTTGTTGGTTAAGATGGTTAGGGTAGTGTTACGGTTCTTTTGTATTCGAGTTCGAATCTCTATCTCTGGGCTTTACAATATCACTTAATAAGAAAGAAATAAAACATATTTGTGACTTGAGTCTGCCATCTACTTAGCTAACTTAAGATTTGCTTCGCTAGTCGGTGGCCACACGGTAGAGACTTGAGATGCAATAACTGGTTGTCACAGACAACACCCTACCCTACCAATAATGTGCCAATTATATACCTTCTACATGTGCAAACTACACCTTAAAAAGTTGGGAATTTAGATTGATAGCAAAACAGCACAAGGATTCAATAAAATAAAAAACAGCTGGCTTGGGATACGATTTCTCCAAACGCCATAGACACATATTTCAGTGTTACATTTCATCTACTAATTGAGAAAATGTATTTGGTGACATGGTAGATTTTCATGGCATAAATAATATGTGTGGTTGGTAATATCAGCAAACATGGAAACTAAATAATTGTTTGTTTTTCTATCTGCTTATTTGGATATTAGGCAACGAATACAATCAATCACATGGTCTCATGTGAAGAAGGGGGCCTTAGCTTTAGCTTAGTGGCTTTGTGATTGTTTTTTCCCTCCCCAAAGACACTAACACCATCTGCAATCTATAGTCAAAATCTCTACTTTCTTCCGCTCTTACCGAAACACAGACACAGACACAGACACAGACACACACACACACAGTACAACAACAGATCGCGAAACTCGATCACTCTTTGCTCTCTCCAGTTCCATCTTCTCGTTCCCCATTTAAGAGCTTACAAACTGTGCCCTCTCTTCATTTCTCTGATTGATGCAGAGCTGCCCGCCAACGAGTGGGAGGCAAAGAGACAAAACAAAGGAAAATATTTATTCAAAGCTGTGTTTTTTATCGCTTTTTCGCATTCAAGGCAAACATTGGTGCCTGCCCAAGTAAGCCAAACCGAGCTGATGTGCTTAAAGGCCCTGTTTTGATGGTTTATTGATCGAATCTGGGACATGGGTCGGTGCCGAATCGTGATTTGGTGGTGAATTGTGGAGGACATTAGGCAAAGATGCGGCGACGGGCGGCCGAGTATCGGCGCCCGGTTCGAAGGAGGTTTTCGTATTGGATCTGGGCTCTTTTTGGACTCTTCTCGATTGCAGGCCTGGTTTTGTTAGTCGTTCACCATAATCAGCATGAAGATCGGGTCGAACAGCCTGTACTGGTATGATTGCTTAGCTCCCCTATGCTGCTACTATGTGTTTATTGATTCGGTTTGTCCTTGAGTTGGTGACCTGTATGTTTCTTCAACATTTTAACTTGATATTGGTGGATAGGAATTTGATGTGTTTGCAGTCTGTTGTTAGGATTTATTTGAGGCTTTCGACAGTGAAATTTCTGATCAAGTATGGAAATACACAATTGGGCTTTTATTGTTTTGTTTAGACATTTGTATAAGTGGTTTTGGATATTTTCGATGAATCTCTAGTTGGTTAACTGACTGAGTTATCATTCCATTGAGGTCCTTAAGTAGGCTTTGTTACGATACGGTCTTATTGATTTCTGGCTGTTACTCTTAATACCATGTTTTTTATTGCAAGTATGGATTATATTTGTAATTAGCAGTTCCATTATCTAGCTAGAGACCACATGTGACAGGCAGACAACGAACTTGCAAAGCTTGGAGTTCATTAGAGCTTCCATTCTCACTTGTTCAGTGTGTTGAACTGTACTTTTACTAGTTGATAGTTGGGATTAGCCAACTGTTCTTGTCATTGGTTGATAGATTTGTCTTTTTAATCTGTCAATCCTTTGTGCTTGCCTTGACCCTATATTAATACATTACAGAATTTTAGTCTTAGGATGGGGTGAATAAAGCAAATATGCAAGCACATACTTTGTTCACCACCATTGAGAACAGTAACCCAAATGTATATTTTTCTTCTTTGGCTTGGTGGTATCATATCCAAAACATATTTTTGTTCACAGTATTGTCATTTATGTGTTTTCACGTATAGTTGCTTTTGTAAGATCTTTGAATCTCATTGGAAAAGCTTTCCCGTGTGTTACTCTGCGTAGATATCTAAAGTTTTCCTAAGTTTTAAGTTCCTGCCCAAATATAGCTTGTTGCAGGAATAGAATTCTAGTTGACATTGGTTGCATCTCTTTGTACAATTGTCATATACATCTGAGGGAGAACAGTGAAAAGTGAATGTCAATTACTTATTCAAAAATCTAGAAGACATACATTGTAATATACATTGGTGGTTGTTTGTAATTATTAATTGTAATAAATTGTTACTGCTGTTATTCCTTTGTGATATGGCTTGTCATCTTTCAAATAAATTGTTCAATGTCTTACTTGGCTGTGATCTCCCTTTTCCAGGAAAGAAATACGGGACTTGACCAGGTTGCTCACGAGAGTTTAAATTTTACGGAAGAAATATTGAGTGCTAGATCGTTTTCCAGGCAGCTGGCTGAGCAAATGACACTCGCCAAAGCTTATGTTATTATTGCCAAAGAGCACAATAACCTTCATCTTGCTTGGGAGCTTAGTTCAAAGATCAGAAATTGCCAGCTTTTGCTATCAAAAGCTGCCATGAGGGGGGAGCCAGTCACCTTAGAGGAAGCAGAGCCAATAATTAAAAGCCTTTCATATCTTATATTTAGGGCAGAAGATGCACATTATGACATTGCAACCACAATAATGACAATGAAATCTCATATCCAAGCCCTTGAAGAGCGTGCAAATGCAGCCACAGTTCAAAGCACAGTATTTGGGCAACTAGCTGCTGAAGCATTACCCAAAAGCCTCCATTGCCTAAATGTTAAACTCACAGCTGATTGGCTTAGAAAGCCATCTCTGCAAGAACTTGCAGATGAGAAGAGGAACTCTCCCAGACTCATGGACAACAATCTCTACCATTTCTGCATATTTTCGGACAATGTGTTGGCCACCTCTGTGATTGTCAACTCTACTGTCTCCAATGCTGACCATCCAAAACAGCTGGTCTTCCACATTGTCACGAATGGGATCAACTATGGCACTATGCAGGCTTGGTTCCTCAGTAATGATTTCAAAGGGTCCACAATAGAAGTGCAGAATGTTGAGGAATTTTCTTGGTTTAATGCCTCTTATGCTCCGATCGTGAAGCAGCTCCTCAATGCAGATTCCCGAGCCTACTATATTGGAGGATATCAAGATAATATTGCACCGAAGTTGCGGAGCCCTAAGTATCAATCTTTGCTCAATCACCTTCGATTTTACATCCCAGAGATCTATCCGCAGCTGGAGAAGGTAGTTTTTCTTGATGATGATGTTGTTGTCCAGAAGGATCTGACCCCGCTTTTCTCATTGGATTTGCATGGAAATGTGAACGGAGCAGTGGAAACTTGTCTTGAAGCATTTCATCGTTATTATAAGTATCTCAATTTCTCAAACACAATCATCAGCTCGAAATTTGATCCACAGGCATGCGGATGGGCCTTTGGTATGAATGTTTTTGATCTCATTGCTTGGAAGAAAGCGAACGTAACTGCACGTTATCATTACTGGCAGGAGCAGAATGCTGATGGGACGCTTTGGAGGGTGGGCACTCTTCCACCTGGCCTTCTAACTTTTTATGGTCTGACAGAGCCGCTTGATAGGAGATGGCATGTATTAGGACTGGGGTATGATCTGAATATTGACAACCGATTGATTGAGAGCGCAGCGGTTGTTCACTTTAATGGATTCATGAAGCCATGGCTGAAGTTGGCCATTGAAAGGTATAAGCCTCTTTGGGAGCGATATGTAAATCAAAGCCACCCATATCTCCAGGATTGTGTCACAAGTTAGAATGTGCTACTTCTTGATTGCTAGTAATTCATGCGATCTTCGATATTTTTAAAACTCTAAACCTGCAAATGGGATCGCATTAATGTAGAGTCAGAAGTATAAAATTTTGACTTTATTAGGCAGTTTTCTTTTTCCTTTTCCATCACAGTTTTCTTAAAGAAAAGAAAGGCATTGTTTTTATACATTAGAAAGTTTAAATGTACTAGGTGAACATTTGTGAGAGGTAGATTGATTTTTGCCGGATGGGGTTTTCTTCCTCCCCTTCTGCAAGGTGTAGAATTATTTGTTCTTTAGCAAGTATTGTAATAATTTGTCAGCCGCATTTAAGTTATTATGCAACTTATGAACCATTTTGTTCTCAGATATCCTAGACATAAACCGTAACATCTGGTTGTCATTTTACTTGTTACCCATTTTTCACTGAATAATTATAATAATTATTAGAGGGCAGTTTCTTTTTGTGGATAACGTTTATTTATTAATTTGATTTGCAAAGTTTTGTTGGAAGGCCTGCTGCGGGATTCGGGTTTAAATTCCTGAATTTGTTTGAGCCCTCCCTTGCTAAGGGGAAAGACTTCCATAACATACATGACTCGCATGATAACTCTTCCACGTTGCATAACACTATTGGCTGGAAATAGCTAAAAAGTACTCTCCATTGCAACTACGGTTTTCTCCTGGCTGAGAAAATGTATGAAAATGTCAATCAACATTGTGGTTAATTAATCACTATTTGGAGTCTTTTCCGGAGCAGATAAGGCTTTATATATATATATATATATATATATATATATATATTCCAAACATTACGTACATTTTACTAGATTAAGCATACAAACCATACCATGTATCGCAGAAGTTGCCACCAAATATTTGAATTTGAATACGCAGATTGGTGCTCAATTAGCTCAAAAGATATTCAAGAGATTCTCTTGGCTGGCAATTTAAAAAAATGGCCCTCATTCTACGTAATTTAGCTGGCAATGGCAGTGCATGATGAATCATCTCCTACGTACCTACATATTTATATTTATAAGGTTTCAAAGACCTCTGTATTTCCATGCAATTAGAACATTTTCATCACTCCCCTGCATTTGCATTATAGCTCCATGTCTGAAGGAGGAGCCTCCCTACCTTCTAAGCCATGCCAAGAAACCAGTCTTATAATGAGAAACAAGACGACGAGGAAGCCTACCAAGAAACCATTGCAAAATATGGAGAATTGGTGCTAAGCCTTCCAAAAGAGAGAGGCTGGATCCAATACCAAGGCTTCTGGCTTTCCCCTGCCTGCCCCTTCAAAGGCGCCCTGCTGCTCCAGCACCATTTTCATGCTCGACCATCCGATATATTCTTGGCCACCTTTCAAAAATCTGGTACAACATGGCTCAGAGCACTCATGTTTGCAATCATGAACAGAGCCCTCTACGACGTGTCCTCTGATCACTGATCAGCACCCATTGCTCACCACTGGGCCCCACGACTGTTTTCCTTTCCTGGATGCATACATACACTAAACTGACTCAATTTCCCATCTCAACAGCCGTCCAATATTATCCCATGATGCATCACCTGCACTCTTTTCAACCCAGATTCCTTACGCTTTGTTGCCCAAATCAGTGACTGCTTCTTCTTCTGGCTGCAGATGTGTGTACGTTTGCAGAAACCCAAAAGATGTTCTGGTTTCCAAATGGATTTTCATGAACAAATTGAGGCCTAAGCAACTTGCACCCCTCTCACTACAAGAAGCATATCACACTATGGGCCCTTCTGGGACCATGTGCTGGGATATTGGAAAGCAAGCTTAGAGTTTCGTGAAAAAATATTATTCTTGAAATATGAGGATTTGAAGGACCCCTTTGTTCATTTGAAGAGATTGGCTGAATTTTTGGGCCAGCCATTTTCATTAGAGGAAGAGAGAAAGGGGGTTGTGCAGGAAATAATAAAGCTCTGTAGTTTTGAGAAGTTGAGTCATCTGGAGGTGAATAAAACCAAGGTGCAATGGTTTAGTAGCCAGCTTGTTGTTAAGAACAATTACTTCTTTAGGAAAGGTCAAGTTGGGGACTGGAAAAATTATTTCACAGATGAGATGGCAAGACGTCTAGATCAGATCACAGATGACAAGTTCAATGCTTCTGGATTGACATTTGGTCCCGCTGCCGAGTAATTACGGTCTTTTCTTTTGTGCCTCTTGTCTTCATGCATGTAACTTATAATTTAATTCATCAAATAAGGTTGTAGTCCATCCATACCATACAATCAAAAGCATAAACAAAACGATGTCTTTTGTTGTAGAAATATTAAACAATTAAGCGAGAGCTTAATTAAAGCTTTGATTCATCTAAAGTTTCAAACCAAAAGAACCCAACTTTTCCTCTGTGATTTTGTCAAGATCTGCTCAAGCATCTCAACTGTCAGATGGTTCTTGGAGTCTCCGACCTCTCCTCGTCTGAAGAAGGCACTGTTGTGCACCAGCAAAGGTGTTTGCCCCGTTTGGGACGCGATATGGACATGATATGCCCCACTTTTGTTCACCTCCAAATTACTCGAATTCTGAGAACTGCACAAGTTTATAATTTCTTGCACAACGCCTTGCCTCTCTTCCTCTAACGAAAAAGGATGCCCCACGAACTCAGCCAACCTCTTCACATGCTGCATTGTGTCCATTTTCATATCCTCGTACTTCATAAACACTACCTGATCAGGGATAGGCTGTCTTTTACCGGACACTCCACTGCAAGGGAAATAGTACATGTTGCTGCTCTATACGAGAGAACCAAGATATTACCAACATCAGGTGGAGGTTCTGTCAGTTCCAGGTCAGGATCATCTCCCCATATGAATCAGACCCACCCTGGCACGCAGACCCTAAACCCTAAAGAACCAGACCCACCCTGGCACCCAGATCCGCCTAGCGCCGCCTAGACCCGCTTAGCGCCGCCTAGAGCCGCCTAGGGCCGCCTAGACCCGCCTAGCGGCGCTTAGACCTGCCTAGTGCCGCCCAGACCCTCCCAGCGCTGCCTAGACCAGCCCTGCAGTGCATAAGTTTGAAAAATGGCTAGGCAGTGGGCTTAAAGAACAAAAGAAAAGAACCAGACCCACCCTGGCACCCAAAACCGCCTAGCGCCGCCTAGACCCGCCTAGACTCGCCTAGCACCGCCTAGACCCGCCTAGACCCGCCTAGCGCCTCCCAAACCCTCCCAGCGCCGCCTAGACCAGCCCTGCAGTGCATAAGTTTGAAAAATGGCTAGGCAGTGGGCTTAAAGAACAAAAGAAAAGAACCATACTCACCCTGGCACCCAGAACCGCATAGCGCCGCCTAGACCCACCTAGCACAGCCCAGACCAGCCCAGGCCGCCTAGGCCCATTTTTCGCAATGCTATGGATTGGAAGGAATGGTTTCAACATGAGGGGATATTTGCTTCCAAGGTTGGTAAAGTATGAAGATTCTGTTGCCCTCAGTGTAGGACATTAAGCATATCCGTAGTCGCATAGGGTTTTTTTCTTCTTCTTCTATATACGTAGGAAACGAAAAAAAATTGTAGAAATAGGGAAACAAGCACAGTAGACATTTGTGAGAACCAACCAACCCTAGTCTGCAATCTGCATCAAGTCCAAACAGGGTTAAGCCTGTCTGAAAAAATTCGAGTTTCATTGACATTTTGTTTGATCTGTTTGATGATTTTTGCTCCCTTATGTATCTATGATGAACCTTCCAACCACTAGAAAACTGGCTTTGAAGAATAAGGTTGTTTTTGGTACTGGTGATTACTGGTGTGCTCCAACTGTAACGGCAAATATGGCATTTGTGAGTGCAATTTCACAAACTGGGATGTACTTGTTTACCACTGAGCACAGACCTCGGGCTTTGACTGGTGATTAGTTCTATGTTGTCCTCAGATTAAGAAGTGAAGCATGCTCCCATGGATGGTGATATCAGGTGTAGTTAATGCACGTTAACAATTGATGTGATTGAATCTGTATCTACATTCATTAATAGCAACCTTTACACTTATAGAGAAACAAGCAAACACATTATCCATTCTAACTGTTACATCAAATGTGTGTTGAAACTGATTATAGGAATATCCTCTAAATAAATGTACATCTAGAGTTTTTGTGAAAGTAATGGTTAGTTGGTTGCAAGGGTATGCAACTTTGGATGAATTGTTTCCTTCAGTCTGCAAAGTGGCTGAATTTAATTTCACACATAACATATATTATTTCAAATCCTTCTGATTATTTCCTAGGCCAGTTTAGCTTGAAGTGATTTTCTTAATAGATGCCCCTTACATGCATGTTAATTTTGTTTTGTTTTGTTTTGTTTTGTTTTTTTTTCATCAAATAAGGTTGTAGTCCATCCATACCATACAATCAAAAGCATAAACAAATCGATGTCTTTTATTGTAGAAATATTAATTAAAAAGCAGAACAATTAAGCGAGAGCTTAATTAAAGCTTTGATTCATCTAAAGTTTCAAACCAAAAGAACCCAACTTTTCCTCTGTGATTTTGTCAAGATGCTCAAGCATCTCAACCGTTAGATGGTTCTTGGAGTCTCCAACCTCTCCTCGTCTGAAGAAGGCACTGTTGTTCACCAGCAAAGGTGTTTGCCCCGTTTGGGACGCGATATGGACATGATATGCCCCACTTTTGTTCACCTCCAAATTACTCAAATTCTGAAAACTGCACAAGTTTATAATTTCTTGCACAACGCCTTGCCTCTCTTCCTCTAACGAAAAAGGATGCCCCATGAACTCAGCCAACCTCTTCACATGCTGCATTGTGTCCATTTTCATATCCTCGTACTTCATAAACACTACCTGATCAGGGCGTTCCAAGCTCGCTTTCCAGTAGTCGAGAACATGATCCCAAAAGGGGCCTGTAATTGAAACCCCTTTGCAGAACAACTCAAATGCCTCTTCCATGGAAATTGCTGCTAGTGGTTGCCCTTTTGATTGGTCAGTTTTGGATTTAAATTTCTGGCAGAAGCTCCAGTAAGAAACAAAAACATCTTTTGGGTTCCTAGCAATATACACAATTCGACCACCCGAATCACTCAAAATGGATTTTGGTAACGATGTGTATGGAATGTGGGTTGAAAGCAATCTAGGTGATGATGGTGGAAGAGAGTCTAGGTAGGCGATTGGATTGCCTCCAATCATGTGCTCTTCATCACGAACCTCTAGGTATGGTACACAATTGTGTGGACTTTTTGTGAGCAACGGATGGGATGCCAATGATGATGATGGAAGATGAGGGTAGCACTTTCGATTTACGATAGCAAACATTAGGGCCTTCATCCATGTTGTACCGGACTTTGGAGAGGCTGCCAAGAGAATGTCAGTGTCTCTAGCCCTGAAACTTCGTTGTGCCCAAATGGTGCCTAAAAGCCAAACGCTGGAATACCAAAAGCCTTGGTATTGGTAGTAACACCCACCAGCTCCCAAGCCTTTAGGGAGAGTTGACAGCATTTCTCCGAAGTTTTCATGGAAATTCTTGTTTTCCTCTACTTGTCCATCGAAAAGATCAGACCCACTTGAAGCCATCTATATTCTAGTCGAACTGAGAATAAAAATAAAAATTTACAGATGGAAAGGCAAGAGAGAAGATGGAGTGAAGTAATGTGAGAAGAGATAAAGTGCTGCATGGCTATATATGAAGTGTCCAGCAGCTCTTCGGAGAAGATGGAAACTGTTTGAATTTTTATTGCTATTTCAAAATACCAAGCAGTTTTATTTCCTAAAACGGCTGGTTGTATTTGTTTTGAATATTCTACGTTCGTTTGTGCTCATAATATCTAGTCGGACTGTTTTTCTTTGTATTAATTCAAAGCTAATAACCAATCTAATGTTTAAAAGTTGGATACATAAAAAGGCAATTCTATATGAACCCCATAAATTACTCTTTACACCCCATAATTTTTTACACCCCACTAAATTTTAATAAAATTTCAAATTACTCATTAAACCCCTTTTTTTTCCCTAAATTGCCCTCATAAACCCCATTCCTTAACTACCCACCGAAAACCCCCTTCCCTTTCAGCCACACCCCATCTGAAATCAAACCCCACCCCATCTGATATCCAGCCACACCCCTCCGAAAATTCTCTCCTCTTGCAGACACACCCCATCGCACACCCCATCCCATTTACACCAACCTCCATCGCAGAACCATTGAAGAATTCCTTTGTCGTTGCCTGCATCGCAGAACATTGAAGAATTCATCCCTTGCCATCGCAGATCTTTGCTCACCATCGAAGAAGCCCTTTGCCATCTCCTCCAGCAAACTGAACCATCTCTGAAACAGAACCATCACAGCCATCTCCATCTCTGCAAACCCAAAAGCCATTGAAGGTCAAGTTCTCACAAATCCTTATTCAAGGTTTGATTTCAAATTTGATTTATATATTTACGTTTCTAAGTGTTGATTAAGCCTACATTTGATTTCACTTTTGAAAAGCCAAAGTCTTATACTGATTTTGATTTTGATTTCAAGGTTCTGGGTAGTTCGAACCTGGTTTTACGAAATTGGATTCTAGTTTCGGTGGATTGCCACCGAAATTATTACATTGCTTCAGTGGTAGTCCACCGAATTGAACATGTACTTTCGGTGGGTTACCACCGAAATTGTTACCTTGTTTCGGTGGTAGTACACCGAATCTGTTTCTATTTTTCAGGGGACTCCCACCGAATTTCTTTCGGTTTTTCAGTGGTACTCCACCAAATATGTATTCTTTTTTCAGTGATTGTCCACCGAATTTATTTCCGTTTTTCAGTGATTATGTACCGAATACGTTACTGAGTGTACTTAATATTTTTTATTTTTAGATATGAAGAGGATTCGCAGGGGTACTACTGAAGCTTCATCATCACGACCTAATAGACAACGTCCCACGGCCTCAGCGAGGAGACAGAGAACGGCTCCCCAAGATCACATTGAGGATACTACAGAGGTTGAAGATGTAGTTCCTACTGATTATAGTAATGTTGACGCAGAGGTTGAAGATGTAGCTACTGCTCAGGATAGTAATGTTGAGGTACATGCCGAGCCTACTGAGCCATCTCGAGTAGGTCCCATTGATCCATCTTTACTTACGAGTTTTAAAACTCACATAGCAGCTACAATTTGGAATAACCAGGTAAGTCGTTTTACTGTGACAATAGAAGGTAGAATATAAATCTGGTTCATGGTAACTAACCTTAATTTTGTTTTTTTTATTGTTTAACTAGGAACGTGAGCCCCTTAGGTGCATGTCGAAAACATCTACCCTTCGTGAGTGGAATTGGTGGGGTAATCCAAATAATGGTATATTCAAAGGGTACATTCAGAGGTCTGGATTAGAGCACCTTATTAGGTGTTCTTATCGGAATGCTGATAAGATTGTGGTGTCTACATTTGTTGAGAGGTGGCATCCCGAAACGAACACCTTTCACATGCCTTTTGGTGAGATGACCATCACATTGGATGATGTGTCATCTATTTTAGGCATTCATGTGTCTGGTGCAGCGGTTGCTCCTCTTGGAGATGATGACGACACAAATTTTGAGTTGTTAGTTAAGTACTTAGGAGTGACTGATGAAGAGGTTACTGAACAATTGCACGAATACAGTGATGAGTATGTGAGTTTGTCATGGTTACGGGCGCGATTCTCCAATGTTTCAGACACAGATTCAGAGTAGAAGTGTTGGCTTTTCGCGGTCTCCCTTTGGTCTTCAACTTCTCTTTTGGTTCAGTAAATGCAGTAGAACCAGGGTTCATTAACTCCTCCAGTGTCATGTGGACTTGTTTCTTCTTCTCACCATCTTGTTGTTCATACCACATATTGAATCTTTGTAGTTGTGACCTTCCTGGTGAAGTTGTGCCATGATTACTGTTTCCTATATTGATGAGGTCTAATTTCCTCCAATGTGAATGCACGACATCAAGTGGTATTGGTACACCACGCTCTCTATACTCCGCAATTTCATGTGCATGACCTTGAAGATACTCTGAAATAGGATGGTTGTGTACTCCACAAACCACCTCCAACTTCCAATCATCCCCATCACCAATATTGACACCTTTTAACAAGAATGGGCATCCACATTTCTTGGTACCAGTGTCTCTAGCACATTTTTTCATATCACTATTTGCATCCGATCTTATATCAGTTGTCTCACTAGACTTGCAAGACTTATAGTTACCGTTCCTCTCACAAGCAAGTATTACACGAGGTCTCCTCTTGCCCTCACCTCCATAATCAGACCTTTTAATTACAATGACAATATTATTCAATTTTCCTTGTTCACGAGCCCATCGAAGTAATGCATCTCTACCATTAAATATCTACACATAAAACTCATATTATTTAAATACAAAATTTGAAACATTAATGCCACGTTAATGATACTAAAAAGGATTTCAGATAAATAATTACCGAATAAGTTGTGAATTGATCACTATAGTCCATTACACATTCTGTTCCCACATTGTTGCCTTCAGTAGGGGCGTCACCTTGATTTTGTTCCTTCAATGGGAGTAAGATCAAAATAGCTTGGATTAAATTTGTGGTTGGCAATAAGTTACTGAAAAAATAAATAAATTTCGGTTGGATGCCACTGAAACGCGGGTAAAATTTCGGTAGTACCCCACTGAACTACGTTCCATCTTACGGTGGATCCCCACCGAATATTAAGTTTCTCACCGGTGAAATCCAACCGAAAAAGATGCAAAGTTTCGGTGGCATCCCACCGAAATTATCTGTCGCGTTCGGTACTGATGTGCTGAACACAACCAGCGACTGTTATGAAATATTAAACTTGCAAAACGCCAAAAAATAAACTCGTACCTCATTCGAAGCGTCTCTAACTTCAATCTCACCCTTCATGAATAAATACAATATATTTTTTCACCAGTATAAACTTATAAATCTTGGGTTTAGGGTTTAGGAACATGATAGTTTGAGAAAAAAGTCAAACTAGGGTTGCAGGAACATATGTGGGGTGTAGTGAGCAATTTTAATTTTAATTTTAATTTTTTTTGTCCTTAACGGTAATTGTGTACAAGGGTAAAATAGGTTATTTATATTTAAAATTAGTATGGGGTGTAAAGAGTAATTTATGGGGTGCCAATAGAATCACCCTACATAAAATCAGCCTTTTATTCATGTAATATTGATTGCAAACGGTTTGCTGGCTACATTTGTTTCAGTCATTAATTTCCAAACGTTATCACATTACACTTACAAACTGTCATGTGATAACGTTTGGAAATTAGAGAGAGAATGAAAGCTGTAACTTGCAAGCTTCATATCACACGTGAAATGAAAGGATCAAATAGCTATAGCTAGCTAGCCAAACCTACGTACAATGCAAATTCATGCAACCGTGGGATCAAACTAACGGAACAAAATTTTGTAAACCCATGATTTGTTTAATTCAACAGTTGATCAAGTCGTTTCTAAAATTTCAGACCAGAAGCGCCCAATTTTTGCTTTGTAATTTTGTCAAGACGGTCGAGCATCTCAGGTGTCAGGTGGTTCTTTGAGTCTCCAGTCTGCCCTCGTCTGAAGAAGATATCATTGCTGAATTTTCTACTAACGCCATCAATTTTGGACCCCAGACCAAATGTCCCACTTTTGTTCACCTCCAAATTACTCAAGTTGTCAAAACTGCACAACTTTATTATTTCTCGCACAGCACCTTCTTGCTCTTCCTTTGATGAAAAAGGAAGGCCCATGAACTCTGCCAGCCTCTTTACAGAGCATTCTGTGTCAATCTTGATATCCTCAAACTTCAAAAACAGAACCTTCTCTGGGTTTTCCAAGCTTGCTTCCCAATAACCCAGTACATTATCCCAAAATGGACCAGAAAGTGCAACCCCTTTGCAGAACAACTCAAACCCCTCTTCTATGGGAAGAGGAGCTAGCTTGTTTATATTTGATCTTATTTTTTGGGAAAATACCCAATAAGAAATAAGAACATCTTTTGGGTTCCTAGCAACGGATACAATTTTAGTACCAGAATTCAAAATGGACTTTGGCAATGACCTGTGTGGAATGTGAGTCGCAAGGAATCTAGGTGAGGCCATAGCGTCAAAGTAGTCAATTGGGTTATCTTGGTGAGCAAGTAACTCTATGTAGGGCACACAATCCTGAGGGCTTTTTGTGAGCAACGGATGTGACGAAAAATCATAGTTTTCTCGATTTTGGATGGCAAACATGAGAGCCTTCACCCATGTTGTACCACACTTGGGAAAAGTGGCCAAGAAAATGTCATTGTCTCTAGCCCTGAAATTTGCTTGTGCCCAAATGACACCTTCAAGAAAAATCTTGGGGTACCAAAAGCCTTCATATTGGTAGTAATGCTCGGTTCCCCAGCCTGTGTCTTTAGGGAGGGTTGAGATAATTTCTTCGCAGTTTTGGAGGACATCTTTTTTTTCCTCCTGTTCTTGATAAGCGGAAAGGGAGAGAGAAGCCATAATCTGATGTAATGAAAATCATGCATATAAATTCACAAGATTTTTATAGGGTGCATCACTTTACATGCAATGGATTTTTCCTCTTTAATCTGTGGATGAAATGGTTTGGTGTTCCCTTAATTCATGCATTTGACCAAGTCATGACCATCCAGTCTTCATATGCAGAATAGCAGTAGAAAATGTTGCAATTTCAGTCAACTTTGTTGAAAATATTAATACCACAAAGATATTTAGATAGGGGTTCAAGCAACGCAACCACTGAAAATTGAATACTAGATTAGACATTAAAGCACAAAATCAATAAATGCTAAACATTTCCCATATGTCAAGTATGGGAATTGTCCTGGATTCACACAATGGAAGCTCACTGAAGCAACAACTCAATTTTGCACAGAAGGCCATATTCCAATCTCTGAATACCCATCCTCAGTAGCGCAAGCTCGAAACATGCCTGTGGTATTGAAAGGCATTGTCACTTCCCCTGTGGCAGATACAGCAACCAAACCTACATTGCCTTTTGGAGTGCCCTCCTCCACAACATAAGCTGCAGCTTCTTTGAGAGAAACACATTTGAACTCCATAACAGCTGCCACATCCCTTGCAACCGTACCACGGATTATTGCTTCACCTTTGCCCGTGGCAGAAACTGCACAGAGACTGTTGGCATATGTCCCTGCACCAATGATGGGTGTGTCCCCAATCCGACCAACCATCTTGTTGACTAATCCGCCAGTAGAAGTTGCAGAAGCTAAATTCCCGAGACTATCGACAGCCACGCATCCAACCGTCCCAAGTTTACTAGCCCCATCAGCTTCTGGTGTTTCTTTCTTCTCATCTTTTGAAGGGGTTGTGTATAATCAATCTGTACATTTGGGGCAAAAGTGATCAGTCAGCAGAAACAAGAGTAGCCACTGGTTATGCAACTCTAATGTGTGAGTGTGAGGGAATTCAACTTCCTAACTCACAAGCCAAGATTTAGACAAGAGTGTACCTGCACTCTGTTGGCTTCTTTTGCCTGCTGGAGCCTCTCAACATTCTCTGGGGTAATGAAATGACTTGAATCTACAGTCTCAACACCCTGCAAAATTAGGAAGTCATACAAGAAAATTGAAGATCAAGAAACCCATTACAGGAAAAACCATTTTAAGCCCATGGTAAAATTGGTTGTGAGGCACTAACTTTTTCCCTTGCAAAGGCCTCTGCTCCATCAAATGCAAGATAAATGTGAGGAGTTTTCTCCATGACCAGTCTTGCTAAAGATATGGGATTGACAACAGTTGTGAGCCCAGAAACAGCTCCACATCTCTTGGTTCCATCCATGATGCAAGCTTCCATTTCAACTGTGCCTTGGGTGGTCAAGACAGACCCTTTACCAGCATTAAAATGTGGAATGTTCTCTAACTCACGAACCTATGCATTTACTAATAAAATGATCAGACTCACTCATTCCTCATTCATAATATTTCATTGCCAAAAAATTATATTAAGTTAAATGATCCGGTAAAAATAGAGAAGAGGGTTTTCCTAATCCAGAAATTGAAATTGAGAACAGTTTATAATTTGATTACCACAAGCTCAACGACGTCCAAAGCGGGGGTGTTGGCTTTGAGAGCTTCAACGCCGATGTGGAGGCAGTGGCGGAGGCCGGCCTCGCGAGGAAGGCGGCGCTCCGGCGGCAGGGAGAGCGGGATATCGCCTGCACCGCCGTGGAGTGCTATTGCCCACCCCATCTGTCTATCTCTCTATCTCTCTTCCTTCTTGCCTTGGTTGGTGCTGTTCCCGGTTACAGATACTCAGGTGGGTCTAGTGCGTGCCTATGAAGTTGGGGGCAGTTCAGAAGTGCACACGCTTAAGGAGGACTGGGACTGCGGGGGCATTATGGTAAATTGGAAATAACATGCATGATTAAGTTGAGACATATAATATAATAGTCAAAGTGGGTCCAAGTTCCGGACTTCACTTCATTTGATTAGAGATGCTAATGCCATTATGCCAATGAGATTCATCCAAATGCATCCATTTGGAAAAATCCAAATTAATGTACATTGATAAAACCAAAACCCAACAAAAAAATAAAAAAACAAAAACCAAGGCCATGTGGGTCTGATGAGATCCCTTTATTTTCTAACAATGCGTCAAATCTGTTTCCTAATCTCTCTCCGTAAATTAGATTAATTTATATTGCTGATGGTGTGTCATTTTCCTTCAATCCTCTATCCCTTTCCATGAGAATCGTACGGACTGGATCCTTGGAAACTAATTATTATAAAAAACCAACAACAGTTAAATAAAACCAACTGGCCTATTAGCTCAGCTGGTTAGAGCGTCGTGCTAATAACGCGAAGGTCGCAGGTTCGAGACCTGCATGGGCCATTATTTTTTTATTTTAAATTTTTTTCTGTGTTTGTATTTGGGCCGTATTTAGGTCGTTGAATATCATTGAATAAAACCCAAAATGGGACGAAAAAAAACCTCTGGACAAACCGGCTGAAAGCAAAGTAATCTCTCAATAGCCTCTGAACTCAGTCAGAATTGTAAAAGGAACACAATTGGTTTAAGACTGGTCATCCCTGAGTTCTTATTTACACACAGAGAATGCCATGATTTGCATGAGCTACCAAAAATATCGAGGCATCCTTCATAATATTCTTTTGTTTCTTCCTCTGCCTGCCTATGCTTCACTTGTGGTTTTCAAAAGCAAAAATAGCCTACTACTTCCTACTAATCACTTCATCTGTTCATCACCACAACGTTTATATTTCTGGAACTTTCTCGTACTCGTACTTGTACCACTCTCTGATTCCTGATCACTTAACTTCCTCTTAACTTCACCTGTTAATCACTTCACTGTGGTGAGTGAAGACCAGCAAGTTTCTTTTGCACCACACTGTAAAAATTACAACGGATTGTTTACACACACACACGTGTGTGTGTATATATATATATATATATATATATATATATACACACCGAGAAATAGGGAAAAAGAAGTTAATCTGGTCAGTATCAAATACCGCTGCTTCTGCTTTGCTTCACTCAAGATTATGAAGATTAAGAAGATTCGTGCATATCATAATTTTTCCGCATCAAGAACACCCTGAATGGATAAGAAAACCAGTCAACTGAGTGATGGAAAACAAACTAACATAAATAGATTTGGGTCCGTCACTTTAGATCTCAACCTTAATGATCATAATTGCTGACTCCTTGTGCAAACCCTCATTATACTCCTTACAAGCAAAACTCTGTAATGCAAAATGTTTCCAGTTACTTCATGTTGAGAGAGAGAGAGAGAGAGAGATAAAGCAAATATAAAGAATGAGAGACAGACTTGAAGACAATTAGGGCAGCCTCCATGTTCTGAGCAGCGGCAAGATGTAAGAAGTTCCAAAGCAGCAATTAAGAGCTCCATGAAAATCGGCTGAACCTGTTACATGTCCCAATATATTCATTTCAACAGAGAGTCACCATGGATATTGCTGTCCTGAGGTCAGAATCCTCTTCGGAAACCAAACCAGGGCATCAAAGTGAAACTATTATCAGATATATTAAAGGGCCGCCTAGCATCCTATAGGTTTCCTCATATGGTAGAACATAGAGTAATCAAAGATCACAGCATTAAGAAGATGACCTTTTTGTAAAAGGTGAAAATAAATAAAACCAAGCTTTCTTCAGCAAATGTAATGATACTTCAGTTTTCACCTGTACAGAGACACCACTTCCTCCGGGATGCCGGTCATATAATAGAATCCTTTCCGGGTAATAGCGGGTGTATTCAGTGTTTATACACTCTGGAGCCAAGTCTGATAAGTTGCATATTATTCGTCTGCATGCAGAAACATCATAATGCAGTCAATCGCACACAACCATTGGAATCATAAAAAACATGCTTCAAATTTTTAAGAGAATCCGACTAGGGAGGGAGCGAGTAAATCAAAATGTAAACCATGCATGCAATGCAATACACTGGCTTTGAAAAATGCAACTGCACAAATTTACTGAAAAATGCAAAGCTGACGGAGACTGTTATATGAAAATCACAAGTATAAGGGACTCACAAAGGCACAACGTTTAGAACAACATGTGATGCAGCATGCAGCCCTGCTCGGAAATCAAGTTCTTTCATAATTATAGCTTCTTTTACCGATTGTGGAACCGGAACCCAAACTGCCTGCTTTGATGAAAAGATGAAACAGATTATATAGACAAAAAGAGAAGACAAACAACAATTCAAGGTTAATCATAGAACCAACCAATGACAATCTAGGTTGCACAGACACCCCAATATTCTGGGGCATGCAATGTCCGACCTGCGAACAGACATGAGATGCAATGGATACAGCACAATACATGTCCATTGAGGAGACACATTTGACACAGCGGAGACATGGGAAGGACGCAGTCAGGACACATTTGGAAGGGGCTGGGGGAGGAGGGGGGCTCAGTCCATTACTTTTTCTTTCTTTTCTCTTCTACTCTTCTAGCTACCTTTGTGACCTCGAAATTTGAAATGGGTTTGTACTTTATAGATTAAAAATTGTAGTGCACGGTGTGTAGGGTTACTTGGGTATTTTAATGGGTTGAGTTCAGGTTCAGATTGCTGAAATTGCAAGGTTGAGTTGGGTATTTGAATGGGTACAGCAGTTTGAATGGGTTGATGAGCTGATTTGTTAATTATAATAATATATTATTATAATTTCCATGTCATTACTGTATCAATGTTCTAGTATATTACTGTATCAATGTCCTAGTTTTTGGAAATGTGCCGTGTCCTCATGTCATTCCATATTGGATTCCGTGTCTGTGACGATGTTAATATGTACTCTGATTTACCTGTGACTCATAAGAATATTTAGGAAGTACATGGTCAACTTTTTCCATTATCTCATTGCTTCCTCTAGATACACGATGGTACCCTAACCATGTAGTTGTTACTTTGCAAGGATCTGCTCGGGCTGTTGTTCTTGAGAACTGGATGTTGGAGAGCTGAGGCCGATAAGCCTACAACAGAAAATTAACTCATGCAAGTTATGGAAATGCATTGAGGAAAAGGCATTGCAAGCAAAAGTTTAAGAATCTGACATACATATTTACTGCCCATGACATGAATATCTGTGCAATCACGGCTTTTTGTGTAATACTTCAAATCAGCCACGTAGCACGAAGCAATCTTACGTGATAAATCTAAGCTTGTGACCAGATACGTCTTTCCTTGGTTCATATAAACAGCACCTTCATATACCTGGATTAAACGTATGAGGATAAAATGATCTAAAGTAAATTCATAAAGAGATAAATGGGGAAAAAAACTCCAAACAATAGTGTACAAAGTATTTTATAGGTTTCCAACAAGGTAAGGTAGAAAATGTATTATAGATGTGCATTGGAATTTTACCTGAAAAAAAGCCCTGCTTTCCTCAATCTCTTCAAGGATTTCTTTCTTTTGCTGGTCTATAACTTTGTATCTCTCAGCTTCTATTGATCGTATACTAACTGAATGTGAAGGCATTTTCTACAACAACAAAAAATATATTTCACAGAAAAAGATTATGTTAGAAACCAAAAGGTCGTGGTTGTTCAAAATATACAGAATCCTGTACAGAGCAAACAACGGCATGCTGCAAGAGAAAAATTATAAACCAAAGAACAGAAGAATTAAACTCAGACAATGCGAAGAAATAATGTACCTCGCGCCCAATATAGTTCCAAAACTTAGCAGAAGAATTACATAAGGAATCACAACTCAAATATCCTCTATTTTTAAGGGACACTATGGCACTGTCTAAACCAGAACCGAAAAACTTCTCGTCATAAGACAAACTCAGTGGATGTTCGTGAGCAGCACAAACCAACTGCTGTGCAAGAACCTACAAGGAATAAGGTATCAAGAAGCATAAAATCAATATTGCCAATTCGCTAGACACAAATTAGACACGGATAAATGAAAGGAATATAAGAAAATTTAAAACCTGTTGGTTCTTAGCGTCAACATGACAGCACTCAATTGGGCTTCCAAAAAGTTTCTTTGGATATTTCATGAAATATTGATCAAGAGGCCCTTCAAAAGCAACATACACAGCAAGAGAAGGTCTATCTCTCCTCCCAGCTCTGCCAGCTTGTTGCCACAAGCTTCAGACATGTATAGAAGAGGAGGGAAAAAATAACATAAAACAACAAATATACTCCATTAAAACAATTCGAGCAATAAGTTAAAGCACTGGTGGGAACAGGATTAACTGGAAGCCTACCTAGAAATACTACCAGGAAAACCTAAATGAAGAGTTACATCAATGTGTCCAACATCAATACCCAATTCAAGGGCATTTGTTGCAGCAATGCCACAAAGCTTTCCATCAAAAAAATCACTCTCTATTCTTCTCCTGTTCTGCTCCACCAGTCAAGCAAATGCTGTCAGAAGGCTGTTCAAACTAAACAAGACATTAACAGGATATATACATTGATTGTCAGTAACAAAGTTGCACAAACTACAAAACAGAAGAAAGTACTATCACATAAATACATCACATACTCTCTTTTACTTTGTATCTTTATTATAAATGGGGTGAGAGAGAGAGAGAAACAATAATGTCTATCAGCTTCAATGAGGCATAATAATTTCGAACTTTTAAGTAAACAGAGGAATAATCTAGATAATAGCTGACTCCCCCTATTGATTGCAGTCTACGATTGTGAATATTCAGAGCACAAAAAACCTAATGGTTCAACAATCTAAATTTCAACCAAAAAGAAGTAACCACTCCAAGGTTCTCTTCCACAAAGACAGCATTTCAATTGACAGAAATAAATGCAGGGCAAATAGCTCACTAACCTGAGCAATGTAACCAGCACGATAAGCACATATAGAGTCTACCAGATGGGGAGCTGTCTGCTGAAGAATTTCACGCCTAGCACAAGAATATTTATTCATTTCATCATTTAACTCTCCATAACACCAGATAAATAAAAAAGCCTGAGGCGAAAAATGCCATAAATCATGTCATGTAGAATTGGAGTACTGAACTCCACAAAATCGATGATACTTACGTATAGCACAACACAAGTTCACAAAGCTTGCGTGTTTTGCAGAAAGCAATGCAGCGTAGTCCATGCTGTACCATTTCAGCAAAGAGGCATGAAACATCCAAAATCGGGCTGCAAAGATAATTTCAGCCTCAGTTATTGAGGTTACAAAACAACAAAAAGAAAACTGCAAATAATTTTCCTGGAAAATAATGAAACAGAAGTCAAGTACCAGAACTATATGGCAGTAGGTGTGTATAGCATGGTATGGTCAAACGAAACTTAACACTAGTTCAGTATGGAGTACACTACATGTATTTCTAACAGGAGCTATAAGAGCCATGTAGTTATTGGTAGAAACCAAGCTAGTCAAACTGCCCTTGTGAAGACAGCTTGGTAGTAAATCCACCAACTGCTGAGGGGCCATCTTACATGTTCAAGCAATTTCCTGGGAAAAGAAGACGGGTAAAGAAAAAGAGAAATTCAAACTGTGGTCTCCAGAGGTGAGAAAACCACATCAGAAAAACTTGTCAAGCTATTTTTATCGTTAACCCGGATTTAATATGACCTCTAAACCAAAATCATAATTATTAAAACAATATTCTCATTCTCCACTGCTATATACATGTGACAAGCTGTTACCTTGAACTTTTGAAGTTGGCACTTTCATCAGAAGATTTACCATTTTCCATAATATTATTGGGATTCTTCGCCACCTGTAATGATGAAACATCAAGATTTAGAAAACTAACGGATGATTTTATCACAAAGTTATTGGGCACCATAACAGTTACAGAACACCAACGGTTTCTTGATCCACAAAAGGATTCCAAAGGATGAAGAGCTTTCTAGCAGCAGGACTTCCATCATTCTGAATCAGCTCTAAAGTTGGTAAACTTGCAAGTTCCTGAAGAATCAGAATAGTCATCCTTATCATTTATATATAATTAGCATCAGAAAAAGAAACCAAGATAATTAACAAATTGATAACTTGTATCAGCAACATAACAATGCAATGCCACCAAGTGACACAAATGCGGGTGTGCATCACAGAAGTCAACCAGGTTATTTAAATGTCTTCCCAACACCCCAAAACTGGAGCCAGTTGAGCTTCCTTACCAAACACCCAAGTCATGTGCTGGTACAAAGTGATATAGTTCTAAATAGGGGCAAAGTCAGTTAGTAGACCACCTCCTCCTTGCTCTTTTCTTTCACTCACTAAATCAGGCTAATCTAAAATGCATGGCCCTCTACATTCCACAAAAATCATAGCACCGAAAATATTTTTGGTGTTAAAAAAATAAAGATAGAGGGGGGAAAGTACCAGATGAAAGTCTTAAAATAAGAACCATGAAAGCCAAAATTTGTAAAACACAACAGAGGATTAATCTGTAATTATAATTAACAAATCTTACCATACAATGGTCGTGAGGATTTGCCGAAGTTGCAGTTGAAAACACAAAAGAAGGATCACTTCCATACACTGCAAATAGAAACAAACAGGTATTGAATTTTCAATTTGAATGGAAGAATCCAATAGTGAACAATCTCATCCTTTGCAAACTCTAAGGGAAAGATCTTACCATGTGAGCAGAGCCGTCGAAGTCTCCTTAAGATAAAAGCAGTATGACATCCAAATGCTCCCTTATAAATATGTGCCTCATCAATGACTATAAACCTAAAGAATTAAATATGAAGTAAATCTCTGTATAATTAATGTAATAAATATACTAATAATAACGACATATTGCTCAAACAACCAGTTCAAATTTACATCATAAGATAAGACACCAAAAGAATTCAAATATAAAAAATGGCATGCAAACACACACGCTCACACAACTATGGATGAGTCACCTAGTGACAGAAACTATTCATGACAGTCCAAGAGACAATACCTAATATTTTCCAAAATCCGCGCAAATCGTCTATGGTGTGGTAGGATTGATACATGCAACATATCTGGATTCGTGATTAGCTGCATTTAAGCAGATAAAGAATTCCATCATAAACTTAGAAGAGGATTCAAGCTAGGAAAACTGTCAACAATCATCATTTAACCAAATACCAATCTAGAATTATGGCGCAGCCATGTCCTCTCCTCCTGAGTAGTATCACCATCATATACACCAATGTTTAAGCTACCATCAAATCCTTTGGTCATAGCCAACAAAGATCTTAGTTGATCTTGAGCTAAAGCCTGTGTGCATAAACATTTGGGAATTATGTAAAACTTATTTGTTATCGAAAGCAATTCCAAGGATAATGATTTTCACATTCATAAATATGCAAACACATATGCAACAAACCTTCGTTGGAAATATGTATAGAGCACATGATGAAGAACTCTGCGACAGAACTTCTAAGACGGGCAAATTATAGCAAAGAGATTTCCCACTGGATGTCATTGTTGCCACAACAACATTCTTCCCAAAAAGTGAGGCTTGTATTGACTCTGCCTATAAATATCATGAAAAAGAAAAGAAAAAGCTAAAACACATTCAACAATTGGTGTTCTTCAGGAAGATGGTGCCCCATAGCCTCGAAAACATCCATACCTGATGGCTATATAGTTGCGTGATTCCAATACTGTGAAGTGCAGATCTCATATTTTCAGATAGTTCATGTGGAACTTCTACATAAACAGGTCTCCGAGCACCAATGTCTTCAACATGCACTACCTGCATCCACAGTTTCATGGTGCTGTGGTTAGCAGAACTTGCCATGTACTTACTGCTAGAAACATGACAGCATGCCAGACCCACATATATTTTAATTTGAAAACTATACATTTTTGGTTTGTTATATAGATATTATGCAACTAGGTCCAAAGAAGCTACAGTTGTGTATTTCACTTTTTCATTTCCCCACATCAAACATAAGGTTATGGAAAAAGTGTAGGCAAAACCTGCCCTTTCGCACCAATGCCTTTTCTAAGATGCTCAACCATCTCCTCTGGTAGCAATGAATCTGTACCCTAATGAGACAAAATGGTTCAACAAAAGTGTCATTTCTTTGAGCATCCAAAACAGCATTTTAAGGATTACAAGATAGTGATAGTTCCAACGAGGCATAACAAAAAAAATTAACGTCAATTAATCAAGGATCTGATATCACTCTGTTCTCCAGGTAGAAATCCTATATGAGGTGTTACTTGAAAAATTAAGGTTATTTATGAGTCAAAACATTTTACATTCACTATCCCATTAGTAGGCGGTTAAAGAACATCATATAATAATTACAGCTCTTTTTCTGCATATGAAGCAACTTCTATTCTACAAGTATAAATGCCAATGGATACTGTGCAAAATAGGATCTCCTCTCCCCTTACTGGATGAAGGCAATACCAGTCATGTGCCAGTAAATTTACTGAGTAATAAACAGAAAAAGTAAAAGGGAACAAGTATGAAGTATCCACAATTCAATATCACCCAGAAACCATGAAAACATAGGGACAGTAATACAAAAGAGTTACTTATGGAAGTTGAGACAAGGAGACATCATACATCGCACGACATTGAGATTGATTACATCACTAAAAACTTGTCAACTTTTAACAGGTTAATTAGATGCTATTGAATTGATATCACTTCCATTGTCTTTTATCCTTTCTGTAGAGTATGAAGCATGAACTTGCAAATTATGAGAAATAAGCGAAAACACAAAAATGAACTGAATAAAGTTGAGGATGAAGACCTACATGGCATCGATAAGTTCTTGAAGCGGCAGAGTGTTTTCGGTCAAAATTATTTGAAGCTGCAGGGGTTATCCTTGATTGTTTTGCTTCATTTCCTCTTGCAGCAGCGTCACATTCCTTCACAGATATAAGCAAGTCTTCCAAGGAAAAATCCCTGGAAATCTCATTTCCAGTTTTAAACTGCATGAAAATCCAGATCAACTAGAAGTCCATAATGACTAATGTGTAGAAGAGAAAAATTTGATGCTTGACTGCTTGATTATCGAAGTGTGTTTCATTAACATTATATTCCTAGTAGCAGTCTGACAAACAAAACTACCCAGCGAGCAATGACAATAAAATGGTTCCACATTGTCGAACGACTCCCATGATTATATTGGATCATCTAGGAATCAAGAGATTATATTCCTACTAGTATGATAAAATTTTGTAAAACCTGGCATTTAGATAAGTGACGAAATGCAAGATTGAGGCAAAGAGATTATATTCATAATCAAGATGCGCATTTTGTTTGCTTGTAAAGTGGAATAGCATTTAAAGAAAAAAAAATTTAAATGATCAATATATCAGGACGTTTCTGTTAGCCTGAAAGAGATGTAACTACAACAATAAATGCTCATTAGAGAGAGAGAGAGAGAGAGAGAGAGAGAGAGAGAGAGAGAGAGCATTAGACACACCAATAACCACTCTATAGCCTTCCACAAATTACTTCTGAAAGAACTTTCTCGTATCTTCAATACACTGACAATCATTGGTACATCCATCTGTTTGCAACCTAACAACCCGAGCATGATGTCAACGTAAACAAAATTGTCCAGTTAAAAGCTCATGCATTTTAGATTAACTCTGGAAATGGGAAAAAAGAATATGCATATCTTCCACAATACCATGTTTACGATTATCCTCTGTTGAACAATTGATGATAACAATCGCATTACCAGAACTTGTCTCTTCCGCATTCTTATTTACAAAACGTACTACCTGCATCACCAAAAACCCGAATGCCAAAGATTATACTTCACACGGACAAAAGTTTCTTGTAACCATACTTACATCCCTCAGTGTGTTCAAACGCTGATATAAATTACCTTTGGAGAAATAACTGAAAGATTCTTTATGTCCTTCAAACCAAGTTCAACTCCAAATTTCGGAAGCTGGCCCAGCGCTTGCTCCAAAAGAATTGAGGTTGTTCTCTCCTGCCGTGATTGAATAAATGCAGAAAAAGTGTTTAAGAATGCAAATGCCTTCATGATTATCTTCAACCACGGTGGACACAAGCATGAACTACCATTGCTTTTAGGCAGTCCCGTGCCAAAGCCCTGGCGCCTTAAATGAACTCTTCTCCCCAACATGCAGTCCCCATTATAGGGATCGGACAAACAACTCACTGACGCCAAAACCTCAACGAACCTTGTAAAGTTATGTTCATCAAGGACATTCTTGCTTCTTCTACTACACCGCAATATATCCAACATAATGTCATCAGAATCAAGACCCTTTTTGCGCTTTGCTCCAGAAGAGCAACAAGTAGCAGTTTCATTCATTGCTTCCGTTCTATCTCCAAGATTGAAACTTCCAATAATAGGCTCCATTGGGGTTTGATAACTTGAATTGTCCCGTAAAGACGACAAGTCTTGCATCATATCAGACCACGCTGAATCGGCAAAGTTTGATATGGTGGAGCTTTGATCAGAGCCATTCAATGAAGCTTTAGATTGATCAGATTTCTGGGTCTGATTATTATTCGGCTCCTTCTTAGAAAACGGGACAAGCACTAGAAATTCGTCAGGCTTAATGTTGAGGCTACCTATCTTACTCTGCAAACCCAACTTACCACCCTGAGACACCAAACAGCATAAAATTAAGCAAACTAAACCAAACCAAACTAATAATATGAGAGAAGGAAATAGTTGCCTTGAAAAAGAGGTGAAAATTGAGAGAGCGAGTGGCGGGAGGGAAGGAACGCTTGAGAAGGCGCTTGAAGTTTTCAATGGTGTCGTTGACGGAGACTGAAACAGTGCTTGATTCTCCGACTAGTGTACGGACCTGGATTTGTCTCTCGTTTTCTGCCATCTTCTTCCTTCTCAACTTCTCTCTCACTATAATTTCCAATCCAAATGAAGGGGAGGGTTTGGTTTGGCGGGGAATTATTCACTGATTCTCAGTCTCTCACTGCACTTATATTTCATTAATGCTTTGAAATCCGTTGGGTTCAAATTTGGGATCGGTAATATGAGTTTTTCTATTTAAATCCGTACTCTTTTCTTTTAATCAAATACTTATAATTATGTAAAAAGACAAAAAAAATGCCATCTAACTTAATATTTAATCCTCTTACATCTATACACACACGTCACACACCTCACCACACTTCATATTAAGTTTTAGAAAATCATAAACTCCTCTACACTAGCCCGATTGCTCCTCTTTCAATCCAAAAAACCTACTACACTCTCATCTTCTCTTTACATACTCTAAATATGGTATGCAAATAGTTGTTTGTGGGTCATCAATTGAGTTTAATGACAATGTTTTTAAGTAATGTGAGGTTAAGGTGAACTTAGAGTGGTGAGTGACAATAGCGGGGTGTGGGTTGTGAGGTTGATGAGTTTTTTTTTGTTTTTTTTTATGCTAGGTGTGTATTTAGGGGTAGTTTGGAAAGATATTGGGTTTTTCTTTGAAATTTTGAAATTTTGAATTAAATTAGAGTGAACAAAGCGAAGTGTGGGGTTTAAATAGAAAAACTCTATTTATTTTAACAATGAGACCTAATACAAGTAGTGAAAATGTGGTATCTTCAGTTACCAGCTGTAAGGATTTCCGTTCTGAGATAAGTGGGAAAATTTCACTAGGTAGATCTTGTTACTGTGGAAAAGTTTAGAGATAAGCCGTGGGTTGAGTGCATTTTTGTTGTTTATGGAACTTGAGAAATTTGAGGCACATCTAGTATTTTCTTGTCACGGAGGAGGTGCACTCTCGGATGATTATATCAGCAAGTGTTTTTCCAATACTTATCATTAGTTGATAGTAGAGTCATATGCCATCACTCATGAGATGGTCGTAGCATTCTCTATAGTTTAAGTGCTCAACCAACTTACAATAATATATTTCCAACTGCCGGTTCCTTGGAAATTCTTCCTGTGGTAGCTTCACTGGTTCGATTCGAAACTGTATTCTATTCATGATATGTACCTACCTACTGGACTAGTTTCACATAGGAACAGGCTGTAAATAGTATACTTTTCTACTCGATGTATGTTCTTTGGGTTTTAAACCGAATCCCCAACTTTTCACTGTTGAGGGAAGTAAGCTTAGCATGATGTTTCTGTGTTTACATGGCTGTCTAAGTCTTGTCACAATATTTTGGGATGAGATCATTAACTAACAAAAAAATAACAGATTGGCTAGCTGTTGTAGCATGTTCATCAGCCATCATAGGATTACTTCATGATTCAAAGCATCACTGCCAATGGATTTGGTACTCGATCGCTATATACGTACTGGCATTATACTCACAATAGCCAATGTATGTTTGAGAAGTAAACATACCTCATCCCATCATAGGGTTGCAAATATATATGGTTTCCTTCGATTTCTCAAATGCAATAGCAGATCTTAAAAAAATTTCAGTTGCCGACCTGCACAGAAATCTTTTCCGTCTAACATCTGGGAGAACAAGAAAAAGATTGTCCAATAGAAGGATGAGGAAATCAGTGATGATGGTGGCTGTGGTGGTGGAGGATTGTTTTGCGGGGGACTCTTGGACTTCCAGGACTCAAAGACGACAAAAATGAAAGAAAAAAGTGGGAAAATTATAAAAGATGATAAAAATACAAAATGATGTAATTAAAAAATATTATGTGGCAATTGACATGTAATGCCATATCACATGCCACATAGGTTGGTAAATAAAAGTTAGTAACAAAATTGGTGCCCGTAGCATTATTGATTTGTTTTGATTTACCATGTTTGGAAACGTAACTGACTAATTACTCATTATGGGTTTAGCACTGTAACTCCCTTCCCTTGGTCATGCTGCTCCTTTTTTCAATTTCAAATGGCCATTTGCCTCTTCTTGTCATCCAAGTGCCTCTCTCTCTCTCTCTTCTCTCTCTCTCTCTCTCTCTCTCTCTCTCTCTCTCTCTCTCTCTCTGAACTGTTAAAATTAAGTAGCAAACTCAAAATGTGCAGCACGCCATGGACAATGACAAGGCTAGTGAGATGGCGTGTGAAGGACTGGGCTTCATGTTTCTTGGCTTGCAGGTTTTCTTTAGGTAAGCAAATTAATCCGTATAGCAACTTATTCATGATGAACTAGCTGGTAGTTTATACTATCACAGAAATATCAGGCCCTGTAAATTAAAAATGTTATTAATTATTTGATCCTATATAGTTTATTTCAAATTGGGTAATGCTTGTTTTTCTTTTTTTCTTTAAATAGATGATGAAGCAGCTGATAGATGTTGTCCTGCAAACCCCCAACTGCCAATAAGAAACATGGCTTTCGATATGCAGGATGACAGCAGATGCGATTATACAAATAGGAAAAAAATGTCGAGGCACAAAAAATGTAGCCGAGAACGACGATTAAGCCACAGTTCGAAACAGGTTAATGGCACTTGCCCAGTTGAAAGTAGGAGTTCCAATAACTCAAGATGCAGGCCACATTTTTCAGACGAAGAATTTATAGTATTCTGCTTCAAAGAAGATGGAGCATTCGACGTCGTGAAAAATGGCAAACCGGAAGCCGCCAGTAGTATAGACTGCACGTCAAGAAACTCACCAAGGCCTGTGAATCGCAAGGTTAGTGACAGGTTGTATATTTCTTGAACATGTTGAATTATAAAATTAAGACAAAGCCCCCCAAGAAAAAAAGGAAAAGAAGGTTAATTTGATTAGTAGTGGTTTGCTTTTGTTTGATCAAAACAGCTTAATTATGGCGAGGATACAAAAAGAGCTGAAAGGTGTAGCAATCAGGAGAGGTTGACTGGAAAAGCATATGATATTTACCCTACAACAAATGATGGAAAATGTATCATCTTTGACCAAAAGGTAGAGGGTCTTTATATTTCTAAGGTTAAGATATCTTCTTTTAGAACAATATGCATGTTAGCTAGCTCACAACACGTCTTAAAAAATGGTGTACCAAAAAGTATACATTCATAATAACTTGTACCACATATTCTTTTTTTTAAATGTAATTCTTTTGCTAAGGATGAGGAAGAAGAAGAGGAGAATTACTTGGGTACAGAACCACCTCCTGGTAGCATTGCTGAGGATTGTAGGATGGTGTCCGTTGAATCAAGTGATTCTAATCAATCCGACGGCAGCACAGGCTCTTTTGCTTTCCCAGTGTACGTTAGAACAATTAATTAATTCATGATAATGATATTACTTCCTGGGTGTATTATTTCTTAAGAAGTTGGTAAAAACAATGCAATGCAGGTTGGGTTTGGAGTGGACGGGCAGTCCCGTGCAAATGCCAAAGTCAGAAGCTCTGGAATTAAGAAAGCACAAGGCTCGCTGTATAGGCTTTCAGTTTCATTGCTGTAGATTCTGAAAGTTGCAATGCATTGCTTTCTCATTTTTCCCCCACGATATTGGATTAAGCATAACCAAATTACTGTGTCTTCTAGTCGAAGCAATAAAAAGGTCATAGTGGTTTGTACATTCATGCTTGTTACTTTCAAACATGCTTAGCTTCCAATTGATTGGGATTAATCGTTTTAATTGCGGATTAAGCAATATCGCTTTTCGTTTGGTGGTCACTTGCTGATGCATAACTTTTCAATGTGAAAGTATGATATCCTTGCGTTTTCAGAAAAGCAACATTCTGCCATGATCTTTCAGATCTAAGATATTAGATAAACAATGTTTATAACTCAATTCCTGTAAGGAAGGAGGCTGAGAGAGAAAGCAAAGGGCACATTGAAGATAACAATAAATGTTTGATCATGGGAGAAACTAGATACTATTATCAACAACCATTTCCATTGTCTATTTATCCTAAAAGAAAAAGAAAACGAATCACATTTCACATAGCCCAGCAAAAAACGAGGAATGAAATATAAAATATACAACAATCAACAACAATTCATGGATACTACCACACTGTAAAACTAGTCAAACCTAGTGGAGCTAGCATGAGAATTCTTCCGTAAGGGTTTGTTAATTCTCCACTTTTGGTTTAGAGAACCAATGATTGAAGATGTAACCTTGCACTGGCTGCAGCAGCAATAGATTCTTCATCTTGCTTTTCTTTTGCAGCGGCAACAGCAGTGACGTAAGCTTTTCTAGCTTCTTCCATTTTCCGCATCTGCGTCTCATCCAAATCATCCTGTTCATTAAAGCATGGATCTTTCAGCTACAAGGAATAAAGCAGCCAACAAGTGGATATACATACATAAACAAACTCTTGTCGACACATTATATCCCACGCAATAGTACAACCTTGGGCTCAACAAATTGTTCTTTATTGTCTTTCCAGCTTGCTTGAACACACATACAGACGCTTTGTCACCAACACACAATAACCAAGTAAATAGATACTTGAAAAATTAATAGCAATGATACAAGAATATGATTGCAAGAACAGAGGTGTCTCGAGCAATTAGTTAATATAAAATACGTGACACAACCAACCAAAAAAATAAAGGAAATAAACAACCATATCCAAGGGATGGAGTTATGAACTTACGATATGAGGAAGATGATCCACAGTGCACGGTGAAATATCATAATCTTCACCATATACAATGGCATCCGCTTTCATCAAGCCTTCAAATAGGAACATAAACGATGAAATCTGTCCTTGCAAGGAGTCTAGCTCCTCTTGAAGCTTCTCCACTTTCCTGTTAGATGTCATTGCTTCCCACTGTAACTTTTCCAAAGCAGCTTGCTTATCTGCAAGCCTAATCTGTGAAAAAGGACATACGTCGATAACAGTATGATTCACAGTAAGCGTTGTGTGTGCGTATGAGAGAGAGAGAGAGAGAGAGAGAGAGAAAGAGAGAGAGAAAGCAAAATAAAGTTTATAAACAGGACTCTGCTCCATTTTAGGCAAGTTGCTACTTTAACACAGATTTTGTTTGTATGCTACATTAACAAAGGGAACGTTTCACACAATCTTGCCTTTGTACCCTCTAGAACCCAATGAAGCAACTCCAAAATCTAGATTGACTACTGTCATTAGGCCTCACAAGGAAATAAAATATCATAAGAAATCTCTAATTGTCTCCAAGGCACCCAGTGATGCACGCTTACCTTTGCATCAGAGAGTTGTAGCTTAGCAGCCTTGATTAACGCATCCTTTTCTGAAACTTGGTGCTTCATTTCGTCAAGTTTTGCTTGAATAGCTTTCATTTGGTCCTTCGATATCTCCGATGACTTTAAAAGTTCCTCCTTCTCTGATACTTTTCTTTGTAGATCATCCACTTGTACCCTTAATGCATCCAACTCTTCTTGCTCCGCTGAAGTTCTTGAGGAAAAATTAGAAAAGATGTCAGAATCAGGGTTATTGCTAGCATTCGTGCTGGGGTCCTTGTCTCCATGATCCCTCTTCTTTCTTATGGGAATGGATTGAGCTGGATTCCTCCCTTTTTGTTCAGTTACCTTCAGCAGATAAGAGGAGAGGAATATTAGGTATACAGAAGGGGCCGTTCACAGCAAAATCGAAGTAACGAAAAGCAACAAAATCAAAACGACATTGTTAGGTATACAAAGTGAGAGCTTAAGAACCAAAGTAAAATCCCAAGGTTTTGATGTAGTAGCAACAATTCCAGTTTCCAATGGTGATTGATAATGAAAATTCGTCATCAATAATCCCCTTAATCCAAGAAACCTCTTTAGATTTTACACAAGTTCAATCATCTGTTGCATTACTGGTTGACTAATAAAAGGGAAATTCAAAACTAACAAAACAATAAGGAAAGAAAATTATTTGAGTCCTCGGAAAAGAGAAAACCACTGGATCATTCACAGACATCAAATTCTTCCAAGGACAACAAATAGTAGTTCTACACCCCCACCAATTTGGGTATACTATCATGCTGAGTGCTATCATGACACTTTATACTACAATTGTATTTACTGCATTTAATGCTTTAAAAAATGTATATTAACATTAGCTTCATCTTTCGACCAAAAAAACAAACATTAGCTTCATCACTTAAAAAAAAACCGCATAAGTATTCATAAATAACAGTTGATTAATCCAAAATTAGCAAGCTAGCAAAAGCATATAAAATTCTTACTTTTTTGGATAAGGATTCTCTAGAAGGTGTCTTGGTGTAGGTCACCGAACCACGCCGCGTAAACGAACTGCTTGCTTTCCGATCCTAAAATAGTTTGCTATGAATTTTGTGAGTAAAAGAAGGAAAAAGATCCTTAATTGAAAATACCAATTTCATTTTCTCCAATCCCAATCGGAAACACATAAAGTAACAATTTTTAAATTTACTCAATTCATCCCAAGTCAGCCATTAACGCTTATTTTCCCCATTTGCTCGGGAACAAGACACAATCAAAAGAAAGGGCCAGAGAGCTGACAATTTACACTTCGAGAGAGAGAGAGCTTACGATGAGGGATTGAACGAGAGGGACGATCTCGACGAGGTCTTTGAAGAGGACGCGATCGACATTGCTGTTGTGGGTAGTGGTGGTGGAAGAATGCGCGAGTGAGGACTGAGTTGGGGACGAGTTGGCATCCCCTGAAAGCCACGATTTTAGGTCCTGGCCAAAATTACTTGAATTATCTTGCGATTGCAGGAAATTCTGTGCCTCGTACATCCTCTTCTTCTCCAATTTATCTTCTTTTTCGAAAATCAAATTTGAAAAGTTAAGTCGCAGAGAGAGCCGGACAGGGGAAGAGAGAGAGAGAGAGAGAGTGGCACAGTCGCGGACTACGTTTTCAAAATCACTTCTTTTCAGACAATCGATTTTTCAACGAACATTGATTTTACCAAAATGCCCTTATCATTTAATTGGGGATTCAAAATCTCAAAATGCTCCATGTATGAGAAAAAATATATAAAAAGATAAAAACGATTGGTTTATTTTTATTTTTCAGTCATTCTTTTCTTCGTTCTTTTTCGAATTCTAAAAATAAAAATTAAATACAATTGTATTGTTTATGTCTTAGCTTCATCTATATCTACATCAAGTAATTAGCCAAGTGTTCAGTTAGATGCGGCTGAAAGTTGGATGGAAGATCAGCCTTCTTGGCTACCATCTCTCCTCCTCCTACCTGTTTGTAAATGAAGTTAATCTTGCCATAAAAAATATTTGCACATTGGGAATGTTTTCTGTTTCAATAATTTTTTGCTGTTAGTTTTTCTGGCAATGTCATCTGCAGAAGATTGCTATTAAATGGGAAATTCAATGCAGTCTTTTTAAGTTGCACCTGCTTTTAATTTTTTAGTTAACCCATAAGCAACTGCTTGGTTGCCTAGAAAACCCAAGGAAAAGGAGGAGGAGTAAGTGGCAAATAGTAAATTGCACTTCTATGGAGTAAAAGATAATTAAACCCGAGGACAGATGGACTGTTCCAAAAAGAAAAGAAAAAGAAGATGCCAACGAGACATAACCAAGAAGATTTGTGTTGGCAAAGTGATGACAGTTCAGTTACTAAAGCATCAGTATCTGTTTCATGGGTTTTTAATGCTTTGAACTGTCCTTTTATTATCATGTTCTTTTGGGAACTCTGTCTGTTAGGTTCCTCTAAATGCTTTATATATGACACTGACACTCAACAATCTGAATACTGGCATTTCATGATCTTCATGTCTGTACTATATGCAGGACAGAAGGGGACAATCAAGAACTTGCTTCATGTTCTCCTGGACTGACAGAGAGGTAGTTCTCATCTACTTATAACCTTATATCTGTCAACTGGAATTTCTATAACTCTTTTTACTTTTATTGAAAACTAAAGTGGGCATCAAAACATGGATAATTTGTTTGAGTGATCTTCTGGTTTTTCACTTCTGTTGGATTTAAAAGATTTGGATCTTAATGTATCTAAAGTCAAATCCTTAACTTTAGTTAGTAGGATCTTTTCCAAATATAATTCTTTAATAATCACCGGAAAGATGTATAATATATTAACAGGTGTGATCAAAAGTTGCTAGGTAGGAGAAATAGCTTTCACAACTACAAAGAATGATTGAGGAAAACACCTGGAAATGTAAACCTCTTCTAATTTGTAATTGAATATATGTCTCAAAGTAGTGGCTCAAAACTTGGATTATAAACCTTGGAGATAGAGAAATCATGGTACAAAATGATATTCTGGGTTGTCATTCTTTATCCTCTCCTGCTCATGTTTCCTTTACTTCCACATCTTGACCATAAAAAGTTGAAAGTAGAAAATCATGTTTTTTTTTTTTTTTTTTTTTTTTTTTTTTTTTTTTTTTTAATTATGAATGTCTTAACCAAAAAGGAAGGCAACATAACAAGAAAAGATTGACAGAAGAAATTTGAATCATGGTTATGGGATGTTCACCTAACCTAATAGTAACCAAAATTCACAAATTCCCATGTGCCAGGTAGTGCTTATGTGGGAATCTTTGATTGGGGTTGCTATTATAGAAGTTTTCAAATTTAAAAGTTTTCTGCATTTGTTCCTGGTAAAAACTTTCCAAATTATGCCTTTCATCTCTCAAATGTATTTGATGGAAGGCGTTTGTGGTTAAAACAAGAGTTTTCAATCCAATCTGCAGTTGAGCCGTTTACCTCAGTTTCTTTATTCCATCTGTTATGAGCATTCACGCTTTGCAGTGCTGATCCCATTTTTGCTTGTCAAAGACAGGAAGACTGAAAGATATGCTATCCTTGTAAGCCAGAAGTTCTGCTTTTCTCTTATTTTTCGTTTGAATAAAAGGTATTTCGTTTCTAACTTCTATCTTAATAATTTTTGCTTGTTCATATAAGCCATAAATTTCTCTAGTATTACGTACCAAAAAAATTGGTTTTTCTCTCTTGTTCTGTGTCAGGATTTGTACAAGCCCTTAACAGTTGCTATGGTTAGTTTATGCTTTTTGTTACCGTTTTCCTAGTTACCACCACTTTCCTCATTGGTTACCAGAATTCTGTAGAGTTCATGTTTCTTGACTAATATTCAATGTGGATTTACACAACATAAGTTTTAATTAAAGAAAGAGCTTCTTAATTGCTCAAAGATTGTTTTCCTGATCTTTAATTTGCTGAAACAAAACCCTGGCTCTAAAGTATGCTTCTGTAAATGCAGGTCACCTTTGGATCGGAAATATCTGGATTGTTTGGAAACCAGTAGAGAATCTGTTGAAATGGTGAAGTATTCTGTTTCAGCTGAACGAGCAGACCCTCCATAATGACATGCATGCACCTGCCAGGTGAGTAGCAATAGCTGCAATACTAGATGCTTGACCATTTCCAAGTAACATTTTTTCAGTCTAGGTAGTTTCAATCTAGATGCACGAAAATGAAATCGGGTTCAAATTACAAGGATAAAATTTTGATTTCCTTCCAACCCAAGTATACCCTGAAGTTTTATGTCTGAACCTTCTTTCATTTCTTTGCCATTGAATTAAACTCATGCATGTTGCTCCAAATTATGTGTTGTATTCTTGCACGCTGTGTCTACCCTTTTTGTAATATGGAACTTAATCTGAGGTGGAAAAAAAACAATAATTCAATTGACACTTATTCTCCACCAAGGCAGAACAGTTTTGAGGTTAATCATTTATTGGCATTACTGAGCAGGATGTCTGTTTTTGACATGGGAAGCATCATATTGTAACACTCATCAAAGGACTGAATAATACCGAACCTTCTTGTAAGTTATAACCAGCACCCAAGAGGGCTCTGTGTGCAGGCAAAAGTGAACACTCAATTTTTTTATGTTACAGATGAAGCCGTTAATTGCATTAAGTTAAACTACACCAGTCTCATTGTTTTCCATTACTAGTAGCTTTTTTTTTGTATCGATTACCAGCCAAATAGCGAATCCATGGATGACCATTCAACTGCGGTCTTCAAGCCTGTTTACAAGTCCTTCAAGTTCAAATGTTCTGAAGCCATAAAAGGGTTGAAGGTAGAAAAGAATACCGGTTTGAAAGATAATAATGTATTCATTTCCAATTTGAAAAGTGAAGACAGTGAGGTGGTTTCAAATCAACATCCAGATGATAGCCGGAATATGCATGCTGTAAGGAACGCCTCGAGAGCAAGTGGTTACATGGATTGGAAGGATTCTGTGGATGGAAATGGCCAACATATCCCACATTATACTTGTACTTGCAGTGACAAGGAGGAGAGTAGGGAAAGAAAGGTTGGCATGGACAATGAATTGCCAGAGCTGGCTGCTTTCCTTCAAGAGAGCAGTAATTACCAGTGTTTTAAGGACATTTGCATTGACAAGGAAGTGCCATCTCAGGAAAAATATTTGGTAGAAAACTGTGAGCTGGACCATAGTCGTATCGCTTGCATACGTGACTCTGATCTGGACAGCAGCAGTGAATCAATTGGAGAAACTCTGGACTCGGAGTCTTCCGCTTCAACTGAGCATGACACTGACAAGGATGTAAACGAGCAGTGTGGTTCCAAGAACTTGACGACTGAAGATGACAAATATTTTGGAGAAAGTGATGATCATTCAACCAAGAAGACCGTATCTGAAACACTGCTTATAGTTAGACAGGTAAGTCACCAATTATTTCTTTGCTAGAATAAATCCCCTTTAACATTGAAATCTTATTTATTGCATCTTTTTTCTTTTTTCTTTTTTTAAAAACTAATTTTTTTTAATTCCCGAGCCTCCCCACTGGCCCTGGTAAGCTGATGCTCATGAAATAGGGATGGAATTTTTGCAGCAGGACAATGCTTTTTCCATCCTGTCTTAAATAATTGGATGACATGATGCCACCGAGGATAATTAACATAATATTAGCGTTAAGAGCCAATATCAGATGGCAAATCCTACCAACCTGTTGGATTTAATCTCACGCGTTTGGTAATCAATGAAAGCTTTGGATGGTGTTTGCTTCACTATCACATTTTCATCATTCTCTAGATTTGCAAACTCCCAGTGCAGATTGGAAAATATCTTAGGCATACTTGCAAAGTTGAATTCTTTGGTTTGGTTTTTATTTATATTTCACATTCTGTAGGGTCCAAATAACGCAGTGCTGGCAAACTCCATGGTATTATCCAAAAGTCAGGCAATTGATGACAACAGCCGCACAAGCAAGGCCTCTGTACGAAGTGACCTGGACGATGCAAGCAGTCTTGGCAAACTCAATGGTATAATCACCATAGATGATGGGAGAGAGGAAGTCACACAAAGTGCAGAGTGCCATCCTCCGGACATAGGAAACATGTTCAGGCCTGATTCGTCCGAAGATGGGATGTCAGCATCTGAACCTTGTTCAGGCCTTTTAGCACTCTCAGGAGGAATACCAAGTTGCGGTAGCATATCTCTTCGGTCAAATAGCAGCACAACTAGCTCCCAGTCTTTTGCTTTTCCCATGTAACCTCACTAACCCAACTACTACTGCTTGCTCTTATTTTCTGAGTTGAAACATGTGGATCATAGTTTTTAACTTTGACATGATGGGCAGATTATCCTCGGAATGGAATGGCAGCCCGGCAAGAATGGGGAAAGCTGACCCGAGACAATTACAGAGACACCACCGCCATTGGGTGATGCGTTTTCTCTGCTGTAAATTCTGAATGTCATATATCTACTTCAATCTTTTTGGCTTGTAAATTCGTTAAGCTTTATGCCATGCCTTACAGATTATACACAAACACATGTTCTGATTTATACAATAACATCATAGTAGTAATAAATTTAATCCATTTAATATTTTGTATTTAGTAAGTAGAGGCCTTGCTGGACATGTGATGAGTTTAGTTCAAATGGTCCTATTGGCATTTGCTTACATGATTTGAAGAGAAATTATGGTTGTCGTCTGAGCATCCTTCTGGCAACCTAACTGAGTTACTCTGAGAGAGAGAGAGAGAGAGAGATCAACATTGAACAAAACTTTAGAAATGATAATTGAATATGATTAAACGCATACTTGATGCAGTGGGCCAAAACCCCTTTAGTTTGTCGTACCAATTCTGCTAGGGCAACTAGCTAGGTTTAATCCTTAATGGCTTCTTTTGAGAATCATTTAACCAATTCCAATACCAGACATTTTGCCCCAACTTTCTGTACCCTCAAATTCTTAAATAGCCAAGCTCCATTGTCAAAGGCTAAAAATGTTTGGTTGAAACTAGAAAGACCTGAATAGGGCAAACATACATAATGGTGTACTCCAAGTAGGGAAGTCAAGAAGATCGATCGGTCACAAAACAAAGGCCCACAACCATGATAGCCATCTGCCCAACTGTGAGAGGGTTCCAACTTCAAACGTGAAGTCAAAATCCATGGGGGGCAGACAGCGCAGCATGGTCCATAGCCCATTGAAGTCTTTAATGGCAATTCTTTATGGCAAAACCCATAGGCAAGAAGAAGGGAGCATATTCCGTCTTCAACAAGTCACATCTTGATCATCTGGCCTAAAGTCATGGTTGTTTGCCTTGCCCATCAGCCAATGCTTCCTTGGACCAGGCCAGTTTGCACATGCATAGCCAGCAATGTCGCTCATCCCATCTCATCTCATAATCTACGAGGAATTCGAACTTGGGTGTTAGGGGTTTGTGTTTACTACCTTGAGCTTAAACATTCAAAAATTATGAGATAAAAATTTATGAATAGAAGAAAGGTTTCAAATAATCGCCAATGCGATGTGATGAAAAGGTCAACGAGATTTCAATGTCTAGCCATTAAGAAGATGTAGAAACAACAACAACAACAACACAAAATTGATGGCAAAAAGATGAGATTTAGATTCAGTGAGAACCAGTCATCCAATCAGATACCATCCAAAACCAAATTGTACGTAGACTACCAAAATGAATAGCTTCATCATGAAAGCTAACTAATGGATACCTTGTCCCAGAAGCTTTGTTAATTGGTTTTCCATCTTTATCAGCCCTTTGAAGTTTGAAGAAGTAGTCAGGTTAGGCTGTCCAAAGGTGCACTTTTCAGCTTCAATTCGACCCCAAAAAACTTGCTCTTATTATGACAAACAGGAGAGCGACCTAAGCTTTGTTAGTTTAATATGATTGACAACGTGCTGTAGTTAGCCTAACCAAGACATTAAAAAGTTAAGTCTGCTGCGCTGGTTGTGTTGTTGTGAGAGTGAGAGTGGGATTTCAATTCAATCATTCGTTTTCATTCGTAACTTGCTTGAGGCACACGGACCACCGAATCCGTGACTCATGTCACCGAGTCATAGGCCACTTCTGCACTTGCCATCTGGACCCCACTCCACTCACTCCCTACTAGTAACAGTATACCCTTTTTTTTTAACCAGTCCGCACCAACCCACCCAACCAAAAAAAACGCCGGTCCCACCAGCACATAGTATCCACGTCGTCGTCATCAACTGATCATCCCCCCACCACCATCTTCTTCACACACCAACATGCACATGTTCGTATGCCTATCTAACCCCAACCCCACTACAATTCCATCCAGCACTGATCATCACTTGTCATTGACACCATGAATAATAAGACCACAGTAGAGAGGGAGGGAGAAGAAATACTTCTCTTTTTTATGCCGAAAAACGGAAATTACAAGTAAAACCCATGAGGGCACACAGGTCCAAACAGATCAAAATAAAAAGGAAGAAATACTTCCATATTTTCATGTCATTGTTCCGTCTCTTTCCTTGTCTAATACGTTATATATAATAGAATAATAGAATAATAGAATAATAGAATAATAGAATAATAGAGAACTGAGATAATGAAACGGGGGTATGAAATGATAGTTTTGCTGGAGGAAGAGGAGGAGCAGAGCCAGGACAAACCGACCTTCCTCAGCGCCTGGCCCATCATGCAAGCACCACGTGGCCGCTGCCATTATCATCCATGCCCCACTCCTCAACTACGCCACGTGTACTCATAATCGCGCATGGGACTGCTTCCGGATCCACCTGCGCCCCCACCACCCAATTCCTAACCGACCCTCCCCAGCAAGCAGTACCCGCGCACTGCCGCCCCACCCTCCTCCTCCGTACACACTCGATCAACCCCCCCCACCCCCACAACACAAAAAAAGATAAAAAGAAAATATCTCAGCTTAATCACTTCACTGTTAATCATACAACAATGACGTGGCACACCCTTAAGTGTGCTTAAATATCAATCAATTAAGCGTGATTAGTTAGCAATTAACTAACCACACATGAGTTAACAAAACAGAAGAAGTGATCATTCATAAGCCAAACAGTGAAGACACTATAATATTTCTCTCTATATATTTGATTCATCGAAGGCCAGATACCAAAAGAACCCTCAAAAAGAAAAACAAGATTAAAAATGAAAACTAACATGAAGGTTAGTTGCAAATGACCCTCAAGAGGCAAAAAGAGCAAACCCACCCAAAAAAAAAACACCTTCCAAATCATCACATTAATTAAACCCCCCAAAAGAAAAAATTTTATGAAATTTACATACATACAAGAGCAGAGCAGAGCAGTCATATATATTCATAATTTTATAAAAACTCCTCTCAAATTCCAATTTCTTTTGAGATTCTCCTTTTTTTTTTTAAAGGGAATGGATGGTTAATTAGAGTGAGAGATTTTTACGGGAGGTAGAGCGTAGGGTGGTCTTGATCAGTCCATTGACTCTGACTCCAATATGCTTGATCAACGGTGTTAGGAAGATCAAACAAACCTTGATCCCCTGAACCCGCTTGCCAATCTAACGATCCAAATACTCCTCCTCCTCCGCCGTTGGATCTGCCATGGAACACTGATAAATCCACCTGACCCGTCTGATCCATCAATCCCCCACTCAATTCCTGCATCTTCAATTCCTCGCTCTGGTTCTGCTGACCCCATTGATTCTGATGATGCCCTTGCGCTTGCTGATTCACCCTAAACGGCGAAACCGAAGCGTCGGTGCCGCCGATGTTACCGAAACCAAACGGCAAGTCGTTGGACGACGTGATCAAGCTCGTGAAGCTTCCAATCTCCGAGAACATTCCATTCATCTCCGTACTCTGCTCAAGCAACGCTGCCGCAGCGCCGGGCTCGAAGCCACCGCTTTGAGAACCGAAGAATTTCGACTCCTGACGATGAATATTACTCAACAGGTTGGACGCCGAGCCAGTCGAAGATGGAGCTGAAACCGCCTCCGTGGCCGTCGCGGCGGCGGCAGCTGCAGTGGTGGTGTTGGTGAGGCTAGAGCTCTCGCTGCTCGAATGAGAGCTGGCTTTGTGCTGATCAGTAGCACTGTTCGGCTGCGGCGGCGGTGGCGGCGGCGATGAGGAGGACGAGGATTTGGGCTTGGAGCGTTTGGTTTTGCGGCAGCCGCCACCAACGGGGACGTTGCGGAGGACACCGCCTTTGGTCCAGTAGCGGCGGCAGGACTTACAGAAGTGGCGGGGCTGAGAGAGGTTGTAGTTGTTGTAGTAGCAGAACTTGGTGTTGAGAGAGTCGCACCTTGGGCACTTCAAGGCCTGCTGGTTCAGGTGGTGGTGGGGCCTCAGCCGCCGATCTCCTCCTCCTCCTCCTCCCCCTGAGCCTGCGAAGAACCTCGCTCCTCCCACTGAATGAATGTCTTGCATTTCAAGTACTAAATATAATGTAGAATTGGATTATATACCCACTCAAGTTTTCTTATAAATTTGATGAATTGCTGAATTTTCCGGGAAAATTCACTTCTCCTGCGCACACTCTGTGTCTGTTTTTCAGCAGTTGTTCTGTGTGTAATGCAAAGGGAGAGAGAGAGAGAGAGAGAGTGCGTGTGTGTTTGTGTGTGGGGGGGGAGAAGAGAAGTCGGAGAATTGGAAAGGAAGAATAAGTTGTGAGCTGCAAACACCGACAAATATCCCCCGCACATATCTTCCAAACTCTTTCTATTTTATCGAAAATTACCAAATTCGCCCTACGACACACGCAAATGACAGTATGACACTGACCGATGTTTTATAGTGCAATAAAAGACGCCAATACCCTCCTGAATAATATCCCAAGTGCTGCTGCTGAAATTGAACTCGAGCTTAAAGAGGTTTCGTTCATACTTTGGTTGGGCCAGGGAGGGAGGACCCGGGACGGACGATCGTGGGAGAGGAATAAGATCGAGCCGTTGGTGGAGGACGCGTGGACGGGTGAGATGGGGGAGGGTCGATGGTCGCTCTGTCGGCCACCCTTATTTTATCGGCTGAGACATAAGTGGTGGAAAGCGCGCCACGTTGCTTATTGTTACTGGTGAGTTGTCGAAAGTACGTGGAGGTTACTGTGTGATGTATCTGACATGATGTTGTCTGTGTACAGACACTTGAGTGTTGGGTTGTCTAGTGTGTGTACGGTGTACCCTTCCATACTATATTATATTTTAGGCTTTGTTGATGATTGCATGCAAGATTCATTTGATCATGTATCAAGGGATTGGATCAAGTTGTATAATTTGGGGGGCAATAAAAGGGGTTGTGTAATATGTCAAAATGACTAGGAGGCTAATTATAGCTTAAAGATTAAGATTGCGAACATCAACAATCTTTTTGATGTTGTTGCAATTCATACATGTGGATGTCAAAGGAATGACAAAATGTTGATATTTTATTTCTATCAAATCAAAGACTATATGAAATTATTGTTTTCGATATACTGATTGACTGGTTGCGGATCCTTTGTATCATGGACTAGAGCTACTTGGGTAGAGATTCATGAACATCATTTGGACAGGTCGAGTGTAATATTAATAATATCGACAATTTATCATTTCGATATCGCTATAATGTGATTATTTGTTATAGTAATAGTGACATTTGAAAGTAGTTCTCATATAATTAAGTGTGAAACATGTATATTCAAGAAAATCACGTCTAATTAATGATTTTTATTATTATTGTTAAGATTGGACACACGAGTTTCAACTTTCATAAATACACATAAATGTAACTAAATAATTTTACCAATTTTCCGGTACGAGTAATTAAAAACAAAGAATTAGTTTCCCATTCATCAAAAAACTGAACAATTTATTTGACAAGACATGAACCAACCTCAACTCTCAAGTTTGAATTACTCGAAACCCAAGTCATACATGGACCAAAAAATTATTGCGCCAAGTCTAGCTAATTAATAAACTAGCGAGCCCTCCTCCTACACCTGCAAAATGCGCGCTCTCTCTCTCTCTCTCTCTCTCTCTCTCCCAATGCTGAATTGGTTATTTGTCGATGTTGCAAGGGGAGGAAGAAACAACGTTTCATATCATGGCCCCATGTACGGTTGAAAATCAACTGCCATTTGACTGTTTTTGGAGCGGAATTCAAGCAGTGGAGCCCAATGTCTTAGTCACATAATACAAGCAAACAATTGTCAAAATTGTCACCGCATCGCACCAAGTCCTCTACTGCACTAGACAGTTCATTATTTATCATCATATATAGAGTGCAAAATCGTCAATCTGCCGAGCTTCGGGCCTCACTGCCACTATAGAACTGTTTTTTTATTTTGGCGGGTCAGTGTCATTAAGACTACAGAGTACCCAATAATATTTTTGCTCTGTATATCATGACTCCAAGGGTGCGCTCAACGCTATTGCTTATTGGGTGGTTTAAGTGTTGTAGGTAGTGCAGGTTCAACTAGGGACGAACTTAGAATTTCAAAATGAGGTGCATTAAATTTACTTATCGGTTGAGCTATTAGATTTTGAGTTGGGTTAAACTTTAAAATCTATATATACTAGGACTATAAGGAAAATATAAAAAAAAACAAACTAGTCCATCCATCCGACGAAGACACTGATCCAAAAATGTGGGTCACAACAACGACCATGCAATGGTGCAATCGAACAAAATTGTATAAATGGTGTTGTGACAGAATTATATACACAAATGTAAGGAAATTAAGGAAGAATACATATAGGTTGAGCAATGTGTAATCAATGTGCACGCGCCCACTGGAGGAAAGAAAAATAAGAAATCTATCGAGTACAATTGGAGGGTCCTATTGGGTTCAGTGCAACTACAATACTAATAATAATAATAATAGAATACATGGGATTGGATGGGATGGGATGGGATGGGATGAGAGAAATTGAAGTGAAAACAATGGCGTCGATCATTGATTGTGATTGGTTTGAGTGGACGGCGAGTGAATAGCTAGCTAGGTAATATGATGGAAACAAACAGCTTCACATGCACATGGGACGGTGGTGGCCCTCCAAATTAGGTCTTCTGGTATTTGTCCACATCTCTCTCTCCAGAAATCAATTTCAGAAGAAGCTACATGCATGCCTGCCTGGCTTGGGCTAGTAGCTACGTATGTATGATATCTATATAAGAGCATTCATAATGAGCTTGCTAAATTACCTCCTTAGAGCAGCTCCAGCGCTGCTATCAAACTGGGCAAAAGGCCCCCCTGGCAAGCCCAATGCAACTCCAGCGCACCACTTGCAGCCCGGGCAAGCCCTAGGTCCCACTAGCCCGGGCAAGCCCAGTGGCAGATTTTGCCTAGGCTTCAGCCTGAGGGCGCTGACGTCAGCGCTAGTGTTATGCCGACGTCAGTGAGCAAAAAAAAAATCAAAAAAATTATAAAAAATTCAATTTTTTAAATAAATAAAAAACCAAAAAATTATGGATTTTTCCCTATAAATACATAACAATTTTATTCATTTTCCCTATAAATACATAACAATTTTATATTTTGTTGCATATATATATTTTTTTCTTGCCTTTAACTTGCCTTAGACTTTGCCCTCATGGGTGGAACTACAAATGCAAAGGCTGACACTATTCACGTGAATAGTTGCAGCCCTTGCTTGCCCTTACCTTAGACTTAGCTCTTGTGGGTGGAAGTGCTCTTAGAAAATTTTTAGGGAGGAATCGTAAAAATGCAACTCCAACCACGTTCCCTATTCACCTCCTAAAATAGGAATTCCTCTAGGAGCTCCTAAATCTGAGGAGAGAGAAAAGACTTTTAGTGGCTCCCTATAATTTAATGCTACTTTATTTAATGAATATTTCAAACCTTTATTTAATGCTAACTATTTTTTATTTTATTTTTTAATAGAGATGGATCAATAAAAAAAGAGTTATAACATTTATGACTCTCTAAATTAGAAAGTATGGTTGGAGTTGAAATTTTTAGAGAGCTCATAAAATAGCTTTCTTATATTCTTAGCCAAATTTTAGCTAAGAAATAGAGAGCATCATTGTGAATGCTCTAAGCAGTAGCGTAGCGTAGCCACGTCCTTGTTCGGGAGTGGAAGTGGAAGTAAATTAGGTTAAATTGGGGTCCTCCTCCCTTCTACATTTGGGCACCTTTCACAATCCCTAAGATTGGAAAAGATATGGTGTTTCATTGGCTCTTCTTTCTTTTTATTTTGTACCATTTTTATTTCAATGGTACTTGTCAATGTCCTCCTCCACTCTCTCTCTCTCTCTCTCTCTCTCTCTCTCTCTCTCTCTCTCTCTCTGCGCAATAAATTGACAATGCCACCAACTTTGGGCTCAGCTCCTTACAGGCCCAGTCGGTTGGAGGAGAGGCATCCTCTCTCGATTTCTGCCCCACATCATCTCCCCCCAACCTATCATATGCGCTGATTGGGGCCCAGCCCAGCCCATTTCCAAACCCAATAACCCATCACATACACTTTCTTTCTCAACCTTTATTTATACAAGCCCTTCCCCTGCTTCACTGCTTCCCTCCTCTTGTTTTTCCTTTTTAAGGAAATGTATCTCATCCAGAGTCCAGACTCCCAAGGCCAAGGCCGCTCATCTATACATAATTTTTTCACTCGTTTGGTGGTCCGGCTTGAATTGGATTGGAGATGAATTCAAGTCAATCTTTATAAATCTCACCCCTCTACGTAAGACTTATAAGACACAATATGTTGCACTGTTGTTCAATTTAATAAGTCCAATCTCAACACATCAAATAACGACCAAGACTCTTGTATATTTTAATTGAAATAGTCTATTTATTTCTAACCCACCAAAAGTGTTAATAGCGTGCCTGGCTCTTGTAGGGTTTTACAATTAAACTACTAATTAAAACTCTCCTAGCATTCCTTAAAACTGCCATTTCCAATGTGAGATATGCATCACTGATGTCTGGTGGCCGCTGTATCTCAACCCAATTGCATCCCTCCAATCGAAGTAAGGAGACAAAATAAGAATAATAATAATAATAATAATGCAGAAAAAAATCATATTGAATCATGTTCCCTACTCGAAGATTGTTGGTGGAAGAGGAAGTAATTGTTATTCACACACGAGCTAGCTAATGATGTTTAAGTCTGGATTATGGGTGTAAACAATGTATTAATAATATTTTACAAGTGAATATTCATATATCTAATCTGCTTGCTTCATCATTTTGCTTTTGATCCAGAATGTTTTCCTTGTGGCGTGTGGTTCTAGTAAGGAATTAGATACTATATAGATACATACATAGATTGTTCACCATCATTGGGGTCCGCCCAAACCCCAGCCAGCCTCTTGCTTTGTATTATTATTTTGCGTCTGAGAGAGAGCCACTTTGACAGGTCTCAACCTGCACTTTTGGATTCAATAACAATTTGGGCCCACCTTCTCTTGTTTTATCATAACATATTCACAATTTTCCTTTTCATAAATTGACTCTTACTAATCCGTAATTAGATTATGAGGAATTAAATTGAGACCATATGGATTGAGGGGAGCTAGATTCTAGATTCCTATTGAAGTTGTTTACTAAATCATATGGAACTGAAGTCGGAGTGGTACTAATTACTAAAATGTCTCATTGTTAGGTTAAAGTAGATAACAAATTTGGAATTTTAAAAATTGTGTGATGATATAATGGGTAAAAAAGATGAATTCCTAATGAGTTAATTATACAAAAATTAGAATATCACCTCCCCCAATAATTGAATTCATCCAAAATCAGGAATTCAATTTCTACTTTCTTGTGGGCTCCACTTACTTTTCAATTCCTTAATGTTAAGTAAACATATGAATCCTCCATAAGTAGAATTCAATTCATGATTAGTAAACACACCATCAGTTGTTTCATTCTTATTCTTCTTTTTAAAAAATAAAAATAAAAATAAAAATTCTAACCAATTTACCTCATTTCGATTGATTGATTTATATATATATATATATATGTATTGGTGTTAGAAAATGAAATCTTGAGGGGATGCGAATATGACTCAAATGAGAGGTCAGAGACAAATCCAGCGGTCGACATTTTGGTCCCCATATGTCCACATGACAACAACAAATGCAAGTGATTGTCTCTTCGTTTTTTTTCTCTCTTGTACACAAAGCCAATTTCGACGAACAATAATAATAAAAAGATCCCAACGTCACATCTCGAAGATATTAATATCATATAATTGAACACATACAAATACGTCCCACCAACCACTTTCCAACACACTTTCTTTTCATGTCGCTCTCATATAATAATCCCCAACTAAATCTAAGCTTAGCCATGCTTAATATTCATGTTCATGCCCAATTACGCATACAAACACGTCCCAACAAATTAACCTTGTGCTCTCGCAACTAGTCCATGCATCATTATTTTTAGAGTCTTAATGCTTCATCACGCTCAATCATGCAACTTGTAATTATTGTTTGATTCTCTGTAGATTACACCAAGAAACAAAAATATCAGCATGTGACATCTCTTATAGAAAATATCCAACAAAAGTATGTAGATTATACGATATGCATGTGGTATGATCAGACCCGTTGCATAAGAATGAATTTCCGTTCCCCAATTGGCCTTAAATTAGATTAATTTAGATTATCGTTTATAATTTTTTTTAAAAAATTCATTCCTTAATATTTGTTGGGCTGGCTGCCTATAAGCAATTTGTGAGGCCCAGATTTTGAAATCCAATGGCTGAGCCCAGATTCATTTCTTTCTAACTAGTTGTTTCTTCTTATTGAGTACTAACCAATAGGAACAAAATACTTGGGGCCCAAGCAGCGTTCCTACATAGAAAGACGCCCACCACCTCCCTCTCCTCCTCCTCCTCAATCTGCAAAGTCAGTCTAGTCTCCTCGACCAGGTCGTGGGCGGCATGTGTTCACAAGTCACAAGTAAAATGCCTCTCACAACTGCTGCCGGCGGTGGTGGAGGCGGAGGCGGAGGTGGTCCTACACATATGGATAACGAGGACGTGATTTTCAATAATTTTATCTAGTATTATCTCCGAATCCACCTCTAGTTGTATCTCCAAATCAAAATATAATCCCACTAATATTGTTCAAGCAAGCGGTATATTTGATGGGATAGTATTTTGTTTCCATTTTGAACTGAGATTTGTGATCCATCTTTTCTTCATGCACGGGGAATTCAATTTGAAAACAACACAACTTGTATTCCAAATAAAAATAGAGTAATGACCCAAAAGGAAATTAATTGCCTTTTTTCTCATACACCTTGATGCGCAAGTCAGGCACGCTTCGATCCTAAGAACTAGAATCAATAAAAAGGCCCACAATCTGTCAACCACCACTCTTATTAATATTTCTCCAACAAATTCGTTGAAAATTCCGTACGATTTATACAATTTGATGTCATGAAAGCAGTGCAGGTTAGAATCATCTCTGTCCTAAACGCATGCCGAAACCATGGCCTCACAAGAATGGCTCCTACAACTTCAACTTCAATTCTTGTTGGCCCTCCACGGTTCAAACCACACAGCCCCCCTCCGCCGCCTCCGCCGCCTCAATCCCAAGTACCCTTTCTACCCCGACCCTTTTTTACTCCCTCCCCTTACGGTAACTACTGCCTCGATCTTTTCATTCACGTGGAACCAGAAGAAGACAGTGGCACCCTTGCCTCCCACGAACGCCTGAACCAAATGCTTCACTTGGCCTGGTTCAAGAACCCCCTAACTACCGTTAAGCTCATCTGTAACCTACTGGACAGGCGTGGTTATGGTGGAAAAGACGATAGAGACAGCTTCTACACAGCGGCGTTTTGGCTCCACCGGCACCACCCCAAGACCCTAGCCTGCAACGTCGCTTCTATTGCCTCTTCGTTTGGGTCATTTGACGACCTTACCGAGATTCTGTACCGCCTTCTGCATGGCCAGGACGTGAGAAGGAGGAACCAATCTGAATCAATTGACGGATTTCGGGTCAGAAGAAAAGGCAGCAACAGTAAAGTGCTTAGCTGCCGTAGGCTTACTCCCAGAGAGGTACGGGTCATGAAGGCACTGGAGAGGTCAAAGTTGCAAGAGGAAAAAGCCAGAGCCGTGAGGAGAGACAAGGCCATGGCCATGGCCAACACGGCTATTGAGAGGTACCAAAACGACCCGGATTATCGATTCTTACACGATCGGATTTCGGATGTTTTCGCTGAATGCTTCAAGTCTGATATTCAAAACTTAAACAAGGAGAAGGATGCCAATTATGATCGTGATCAGGACTGCTTGGAGTTAAGCTTGGCGGCCGACTATTGTCCTAAAATCGGCTCCTCCATGGACTGCGCCACCCTGCTGTGTGAAAGCATTGCCAAAAAGGTTTTCCCGCGAGAATTGTACCCTGAATACCAAGGCATTGAGGAGGAGCATTACGCATACAGAGTCCGCGACAGGATGAGGAAGGAGGTTTTGGTGCCATTGAGGAAGGCCTTGGATGTAGCAGACTATCATGCAGGTTCCAACAAGTGGGGTTATAATCCGGATTTCAAGCGAGAGCCCTGTGCAATAAAGAAGTATTTGGAGGACGTGAAAGCGGGTGGCGAATCCAAGATTAGAGTCGATGCTCTGTTTCCTCATGAAATCATGCGCTATGCCAATCATCCTGATGTTGGGGAAAGTGCTGACCTTCAATGGAAGGCAATGGTGGAGGACATGAGGATGAACAAAGGCATGAATGTACTGAACAAGTGCATTGTTGTATGTGACGTCTCGCCAGCCATGACTGGGCGTCCCAAGGATGTGTCCACGGCTTTGACACTAATGATGTCTGAACTGAGTGAAGAGCCATGGAAAGGGAAGGTGATCACATTCAGCGAGTCGCCTCAGTTGATATCGATACAAGGCGGGGATCTCAAGTCCAAGCGGGAGTTTTTGAGGAACATGGGATGGGGCTATCACACTACATTTTCAAAGGTGTTTGATTTGATTCTGGAAGCGGCTGTGAATGAGAAATTGAAGCCAGAGCATATGGTAAAGAAGGTGTTTGTGTTAACCAGCTACAGTTTCTTGGAGCGGGGTTTCGATGATAATAGCTGCTGGGAGAGTGAGTATGAGGCAATACGAAGCAAGTTTAAGAAGGAAGGGTACGGGGATGTGGTGCCACAGCTTGTGTTTTGGAATCTGAACCTAGAAGGGTTGTATAAGGAAGTGCGTAGTGAAGGAGAATGTCAAAAACAAGAAGGGGTATCGATGCTTAGCTTCGTCAACGACAATTTGATCAAGTCGTTGTTGGAGAATGATGGGAATATTGGGTTGGAGCATGTCATGGAAGCAGTTATCTCTGGGCAAGGGTATCAGAGTCTGGTTGTGGTGGACTGATGACGACTGATATCATATATACAGTTAAAACTAATTAAATGGATTGTTTCCTAACCTTTGCTAGCTACCTAGCTACTGTGTGTATCAAAAACTAATGATTAATTGGAGCTGTGGTTTTACTTACTAGGTTTGTTGTTTTTGTTTCCTCTGTCAAGTGCCAAGGAAGGAGGTAGCTTTGTTAATTCTCTCACAAAACACAATAAGGATTGAAATTGAACTTAAAGGAGAAGAAAAATAAAAGAACAAGTAATGTTGGGTTTGTGAATCAGATGACAAACAAATGATAAAAACAGGGTTGCTGTTGCTGACAAGTGTTCTGGCTTTACTCATCTTTACTGGTCTCTGCCAGCCCTTAAGTTATGGCCTTGTGGAATGAATGTTAGTGATGGTAATCATCCTCTTCTTACATTACATCTGGTCTGAACTCTGCTGCTGCTGCTGCTGCTGCATCTGTGGATGTCTGTGTTTTTTACTTTTTTTTTTTTTTTTTTTTTTTTTTTTTTTTTTTCTTTTTTTCTTTCTTTCTTTAAAGTTGATAAATAAGTCTGCTGTCTCAACTCAAGGAGGGTAATCTAATCTAATCACAGTCGAATCCAAACAAATGACACCCGAACTGATCGTCATTCTCTGGGTTGGTCTCCCTTTAGGAATAGGAACTGGAAGTGAGTAGGATGTTGTCTTGTTAAGAAACATAGTTGAAATTGAATTCCACATCTTAACTTGAATCAAGTGCCAAAAATAAAGGGTGTTGGCTGGGATGCAATTAATGCAAATATCATAAAAATCCACAAGGAAATTAGTGTCCTGTTCTGTTCTGTATCGTGTTAACCTAGGTAACACAATCCTTGCGGCACAAGTTACTCCTTACTTGTTTTATATAGAGATGAAAAAGGCTCTCCTTTTCTCGTCATTAATCTGTGTCTTGTGTAGTCTGTAATTTCTTCAACAAATAACAAATTGAAATTGAAATTGATGGTGCAGCAAATCATCGTCTCAGTTCTGAAAGCATGCCGCGGAACACGAAACCAGGTCGGAGGAGGAGGCATTTATAATTTACAACTGAAAACTTTTGCAACTCTTGCTGGCGGAGGCGGAGGGGGCGATCCTCCTCGTCCACAACCCAAACCCAAACCAACAACGCCATCAAAAAAAACATCCAAGATAGATATGCTTAGAATGGCGAGCATGAGGGTCGTGGAGTCTCTGGACCAGTTAATGAGATTTGATAAGATTTATGTGGTGACGGGCAATGACACAACCAATGTCCAAATGATCAAGCGCAATCACTGCTGGCCAGGAACTCATGTCATCATGCATACCGATACCAACCCCGCCGAGATGTCCAAAATTAAGAAGGCTGCTCGCGAATGCGGCCTCGAACCCAAAACAGCCTCAAAATGGGAAGAAGAAGATGAAGAAGAAGTCTCTTCTCTTGTTTAGGTTAATCAGCTTGCCTCTTCCTCTAATTACTTTGTTTGTATACTCTGTTACTATTAACTGCCGCCTAATTTCTTGTTTATTTGACTCAAATTTATTATCTTACAATTTGCACCACCCCCAACATAACACATATCATGTTTACTTAATCAACACTCATGGATGAAGATGTAGTTTACTTTGTTTTTAATGGTAGCAGCAGATAATTTAAACCGATTAGGGGATGTGTCCTGGATTTTCTATTTAATTAGTCAACATTCCAATTGCTTGATAATTATATATGTACACAGTGACGGAGCCACTTCTAGCCCATATTTTGATCTCTCCTCTATTATATTATACATAACATATAGAATTTGTAATAAAACAACTTATAATTTAATTTAAAATTCCCTGTAAAACAAATTAGACATGACTAAATTATAAATATTTAGCTCTAAACACGTAACTAGTGAATACTTATGTACTTTATATATACTTGTATTTTCTACTTTAGCCCCCCAACTTTACGATTCTAGCTCCATACATACATAGAGTACCTTACACTTTATAATCTTGTGATGTTCTTGTTTAAGTAGTGAAAGGATTAGCAAATAAGTTGCCTGATTTGTGTTGAACAAGGCATGAAAATAAAATGGAAGTATGACATAAATACCTCACCAACTCCTTTACCTAAGACCTACTCTACTCAACAAACAGATTGACTCACCTCACATACACTGATTAATTAGCTGAAATAATTGTTAAGGGAACTATAATGGTAGCTAATGAATCAATGCGCTGCGATTCTTCTGAATAAATGCAAATGCCTCTAACGTCAATGAAGATGTTCATTATAAACAGGAGTATATTTTCTTCCCGGTATGGCAACTTCATGACCTAACAATTTATCTCCTCAACCACTAACCACACTTTCAGTCTAATAATTTAAAGTGTTCTTCTTCATTGAAGAAAAAAATAATGCCATGTATCTTTGTCAATGTTTCAAATGAATAATAAAGTACGTTTGGCATGAAAACTAAACTTCAGTATATATATATGGGATGCATCCCCATGTGCATGTTCATAATTGTAGAGAAACCTTATTATCAAGGATGAGGCATGAGTCATGACAATGGGAATAAAACTAGGAAGAAACTGAAAACCAATGTAACACGCTCATTCAACTCGCTCCTTGTGAAGGAGAAGGAGAAGGAGGAGGAGGAGGGGAAGGAGGGGAATTTAAACCCAGAACTTTTGGTTGGAATATTTAGATGATTTTTGGCAGTTGACTTGCTCCTTGTGAGCATAATACTTGGCGTGATGGCATGCAGAAAACTTTGCTGCTTGCTGCTGCTGATATATATATATATATATATATCTCTGGGCAATGTGCGCACCATGCCACCATCCATGATTCATAAATGGTGATTCAAGTCAACCACTGAAATTTCCAGAGATTAATAAATATATTTATTTCCAAAATGGTGGAAGACACTAGAAGGAATACCCAATAGCTAGCTTGAAAATCTAAGTGGTAACTATACCCAATATCATAATGTAATGGCTTTTACGAGAGGTAGCTTTCTAATACCCATATAGACAAGGAAATTTAACCACCACACTGAGCCACCCCCCATCCCATCTCATCCCACTTCTTTTATGCAACTTCTTCATCATTCATCCACTACACTTGGTCTAGATGCCTCTTGTATTCGAAAGTAATTTTATAGGGGTTGGTTATTCCAGTGTGAATGAAATCATTTATTTCTACACTCGAGGTCTTAACTCTTAATTATGTTCGATTTCTCTTATTTCAACGTCTGCTCATATAAAATAAAATAAAAAGTGAATGAGATCTTTTCAACCATTCCAACATTTACTAATAATAAATAAAATAATAACTTTTTTCTGAAATGATATGATTATATGTCCAATTTCATACCGACCCATTTGTGTACATATGCAATTCATTTAATTTAATGTTACATTTAAGAAGATCCTCCACCCACATTGACCAACTGGGTATTAAACAGTAGATTAATTATGCAACGACCTTGTAGTGAATGCTGAATGATCTGCAAATATAAGTATAAAATATTTAAACCAAAGTGAGTTATAACCTTCACAAATGAATAAAATTCAACCACAATGCTTAAAACATTCCTGTCTGTCACTGAAAAAATTAATTTGTTAATTTCATAACTATTTGATATGGGTAATTGGATAAAGATTAGGTGAAGGAAAAAACACCACTGTCTTTTTTTGGAAAAAAATATAATAAAAATAGTATTTTGCTTTCTAGGATGAAATGACTGAATTCACTTTGAATGAGTCGAGTGACTGTCTGTCTGAGTATGGAGAAATTGGGATCCACTGCTACATATCATCACAAAGGGCTCTATGTATCTCCCACCTCATCCACTACATCTCCAACCAACACGCTCCACCAACACCGAGACACGTGTCACACAACGCCGCTGAAGCCCGCGAAGGGCGCGTGCTACTTCTACATCCCTCTCCGCTGTATACTGACAATATACTTACAATGGGTCCCATTCAGAGCGACCATGGAGCCCACAGTCCGGAAGGAGTCTTGATCGCGACACGTGTCCCGACATGCGCATCTCAGGATATACGCACCATCGGACGGCTCTTCCAAAAGCGACGTCCTGCCGTGGCGTCGTTTACACGGCACAACCGACACTCAGACGGAGCTTTTACCCCTCGCTAGGCTACGGGGTGCCATCAGTCCAAAAGGAGCAAAGTAGTCGCTGTTATTGTCGCCAAAATACCGTCCCACTCTCAAACGAGAAGCTTTGGAATCTCAAACCGTTGTCAGCGATTGAGAACCAAAGAACATCGTGCTTAGAGCCCCTTAATCATACGTAATCATAGACTTAAATAGTTAAAGCCTTTATTATCAACTCCAGGTGGAGGGACCGGCGGAACGAGAAAGCCAAACTTATCGCGATATATTGTCGGCGTGTCGACACGAGAACAAACGGGCTGCGATCGAAACGGAGACAAGGAAACCACAATCTGATACGGACTTGGCTAGAACCCATGATCTCGTTCTCGACGTGTCAAAGATCGAGGGCCTGATGAGAGACACGTGTTGAAAACATAATTGGAGCGGGGCCGGCCGCATCGGCCATATAGCTGGCTATCATTTATTGGAGGCTTTGTGCACTTTAAAGTAACACCCACACACACGAAGCCCAAGCCCTGTCCTCCTCCTCCGAGTCCACTTTGAGCCCACGCAAACCGTCGGTGCACGTCACGCACGCCCCATCACGCGTTTTTTGTTTTTCTCTGCATCGCACCACATTACATATGATGACAACACCGCCCTCCTCTACCACTGCTCCCTCTCCTCCCTCTCTCTCTCTCATTTCTTAGCGATCTTCTTCTAATCGCCGGCCAACGCTCCGGCGACTCTTCTCGCCGGAGAATACGGCGGATCTGGGTGGGGATTCCACCTCGCATTTCGTGTTCAATTGCCCCGGCTCTGGAAGGGTGGTGTTGTAGCAAATATCAGAGCTTTCACTTTTTTGTTTCTTTTCTTCTTTTGAGCAGTGTTGTAGGAAATTAGGGTTGTTGATGCAATTGTTTGAGGGAATCTTCGAAAGCTAGAGTTTTGGAGGAAATCTTTGAGGACGGGTGGGGAATGTGGTGAGTATTGGCTCAGTTTTAGAAATCGGTTTCGGATCTTTGCTGGTTTCTATATATAGCAAGAGCTTAAAAAGGAATGCCATTTTTTTGGATCCGACATTGAGCAATACGCCCCGTTTCGTTGACGGCTTGATGTTGTAGAAGGAAGAGAGATACACAGATTGATGTGCAAGATAGAGAAGAAGGAGAGAAAGGGAGTGATGGGATTCAAGGTGTTAGGGGGAGGAGGAGACAAGTTCAAGAATTCGATGCTCGTCACGACGACGACGTCGTCGCCGCCGTCGAGGTCGAAAATGAAGCTGTGGATGATACGGGCAACGACGTCGGTTTTGTTGTGGACGTGTATTGTACAATTAACGGCTTTGGGGGATATGTGGGGGCCTAGGGTTTTGAAAGGCTGGCCTGCTTGTTTCTCTCAGGAGTCTGCTGCCGCCTCTTCTGTTTTGCAAGACAAGTTGCCTTCCGTCCCGGCCAGAGTTCTTCCGCCCAAGAGTGAGTTTTTATTTTCTAATTTGCCAGGAAATTAAGGGTATTTTTCAGTTATTTCGATGTTGGTTCTTGTAATTATTTTACTAATTACTCCTAGGGCAGTTGTGTTGCTTTTGGATGTTAATTTTATGGGTAGGTTCAACTGGAACTATGCTCGGCCTGTTTTTTCAGATTTTCTGAAACCAACCCATCACTTGAGTGTGTGTGGGTGTGGTGCGAACTTGTACTTAGTGTCCAAAGCTTCGCAGTTGCTCTGGCTCCAAGAAATGCACATGGAGGTAGAAACTTGTAATTCAGAAAGCAGCTGGTTTCAAGTTACTGTTTAATACAGGCGAACCGATGCTATCCCAAGTTATCACCATACATGGTGATATTGCTTAAATTACGATAGTAAATTTTCCCATTTTGTTTGCCGTTTTGTAATATATGTTCAAATCATGAAGTTTACTCTCTTTACATGCCAGACTCTAGAAAATTCAATTCCTATGAAGTAGTAATTACAATAGTCTGTACCCTTTTCATCTCTGTCCTGACTTTCTATTAGTTGGCCTTTTCTTTTGCTTTGGCTTTGTCATTTGAATGATTGTTTAATTGGCCTCCTCTAATCTGAATTTGTTTTGTTGCCATTAGGGGTTTATAAAAACAATGGCTACCTGATGGTTTCATGCAATGGGGGACTCAATCAAATGAGAGCAGCGGTGAGTGGCTAGCAATTGTTTGCTGTGCATATTAACAGGAGTTCGTCCTTGGTGATCAAATTACTTTACTTCTTAGTGCATGCAGCTGCTTACCAGTTTCAATTTTTCTTTCTTGGTCGTGATGTATACAGATATGTGACATGGTTGCTATTGCAAGATATTTGAACGTCACTCTCATTGTCCCTGAGCTTGATAAAACCTCCTTTTGGGCTGATCCCAGGTGTGCCAATATATATCTCCTACCATTTTCAAGTCATTGAGTGTTTTTTAAATTATAAAAGGATGGTTGTTTTTCTTCGACCCAGTATTACACCACTTCTTACCAAATAACGGTTATATGTTTCTTGATATTGCAGTGAGTTCCAAGACATATTCGATGTGGATCATTTCATCACATCCTTGAGAGATGAAGTTCGCATATTGAAAGAGTTGCCTCCGAGGGTTAAGAGGAGAGTGGCACTAGGAATGATTTATACCATGCCACCAATTAGTTGGTCTGACATGTCTTATTATCATAATCAGGTCAGTCCCTTTTGTCGTTCTTTATAACTTGACAAGAAGTTTTCTGTGTTGCAACTTGTAAACATTCTTAAACGTCATCATATTCCTTATTCTTTCTCTCAATAATATATGCTACTCTTATGTTTTGTACAGATTCTTCCTCTGATACAAAAGTACAAAGTGGTACATCTAAATAGAACTGATGCCCGACTTGCCAATAATGGACAACCTCTGGATATTCAGAGACTTCGATGCCGAGTAAATTTTAGTGCTCTGAGGTTTACTTCTCAGATAGAGGAGTTGGGTAAAAGGGTTATCAGGCTTCTAAGGCAAAATGGTCCTTTCCTAGTGCTTCATCTTAGATATGAAATGGACATGTTGGCATTTTCTGGCTGTACTCAAGGTTGTAACGCTGAGGAGGTGGAAGAATTGACAAGAATGAGGTAAGTTATACTTGACAATCAATGGATTCCATGCAATAAAAGAATGTATTTCACTGTCTTATACTTTCACTTGTTTGGCAGATATGCTTATCCCTGGTGGAAAGAGAAAATAATCAATTCTGACCTGAAAAGGAAAGATGGTTTGTGTCCTCTGACACCTGAAGAAACCGCTCTTACACTGAGCGCACTTGACATTGATCGTGATATTCAGATTTATATTGCAGCTGGTGAAATATATGGTGCAGAGAGGAGAATGGGAAGTCTTGCAAAGGCTTATCCCAAATTGGTGAGTAGATGGAAGCTGAAGCCACCTTCTGTATTTTGTATATGGTTACTTTTTGTGTTCTGTTTTTACAAGTTGCTGTTGGATTTGTTCAAACAGGTCAGAAAGGAGACACTGTTGGAACCGTCAGACCTTAGGTTCTTTCAAAACCACTCATCCCAAATGGCAGCACTGGATTATCTTGTCTCATTGGAGAGCGATATTTTTGTTCCCACATATGACGGAAACATGGCTAAAGTGGTTGAAGGCCATCGCAGGTAGTTTCTGCTGCTGACAGTAATTCTCTTTTGTTTATATAAAAACTTTATGGTACTTTTGTAATGCACCTAGTGGTTTTGGTTGGCTTCAAACGATTGGTTTTGGAAGTCAAACCCCAGCCAGTCATTTGGCATCCCAAATCTTGTTTCTTTGAGGAGACGATGATTTGTATACGCTGCTTTGTACCAGTCCGACATTTTTTACTGTGAAAGTGTTGCCAGTTTTGGAGCTTTAGTTTATCACAGGTTCATTTGTTTGTAATCCCTGATATTATTTAGGCAGAGATGTTTTTCTACATGATCTGTTCTGGGATTTGCTTCATTATTTTCCCCAGTTTACTGTTATAGGGTTTGTCTGCTTTTCTTTGTTATTAATGGTGAAAATTTTCATCTAAAGCGAGACATTGGGTGCTCATGTTTCTTCAGATTTCTTGGGTTCAAGAAGACAATTCTACTGGACAGAAAGCTTCTTGTTGATTTGATAGACCAGTACACAAGTGGATCATTGAATTGGGATGAATTTTCATCTGCAGTAAAGGACGCTCATGCAGGTCGAATGGGGAACCCAACTAATAGGTTGATGATCCAAGACCGACCAAAAGAGGAGGACTATTTCTATGCCAACCCAGAAGAGTGTTTGCAACCGTTAGATGAACAACTGAGTAGTACGTGATATATATAATGTTAGAAGATGGTGACACTCATCCGTGTTCTGCAGTGTTGGCTATTTTCCCACAGATGTATAAGAAAGTTGTCTACAGAGGGATAGCCATAATGAGATTTTGTTCTGAAGAGGCGACGAAGATTATTGTGGGGGGGAAGTAAGTAATCTTCAATAAAGCCCTGAGAGGATCTATGATACCAGCTGGAGGACATGTTTTATCTTTTATATAAGCCAAATAATCCATCCAAATCATGTATAGAAAGCTGCCTTGCCATTCAGGGCGGGAACGAATTAAAACTGCATTGTATGTGGGGGAAACATATAGGTTTGGTTTACTGGAACTGCAAAATCATCAAAGGTCAACCCTTATTCCTTAATTTTTTTGTATTTTTTTGTTTCTTTTTAGATCAACCTGTGGTATTGTGATTCTCTAGCATATACTACTACATCCTAAAAGGTTTTTCTGTTTGCACAGATGATTGCCTCATTCCCGTTTGTAATGTGGGTCTAGTTCTGAGAGAATGACCGAGAGGAAGCCAATGATTATGTATTTTTACACAATACTCCATTAATTTATATTTCTTAAGAGTGTTTCGTTTACTTGGAGTGTTTAGGGTTTTACTGGCCTTCAAGTTTCCCAAATAGATCATCAGTTGGGTTATTTATGGATTGGTTGGTAGTACATGTAAATATATAATGTTTGAGAAGGTGGTTTGTAAGTCTCATATGATAATGACAAGCCAAGTAAACAAACCAGTCAAACATGTTCCATTGGAATTTTGACATATATATATATATATATATCTGGATTTGGGGGATCTGCTTGCTAGTGCCTAGTGGTTGGGTAGCTGTCCTTTGGGGTTTGTATATCAATAATTCCCATCACAAAATGGTTGGTAGAACGATTTCAATTAGATTTGGAAATTTGAGCAAAATAGAAGAAGAAAAGAATTATACTTGGAATTTTATACACAAGGAGATTTGGTTCATGTGAATGGAAAGTGAATGGAATGATTGCATCATTAGCTGGCAATGGCAATGGCATACTGATATATTCTGTGTCTTTCTTCCCCGGGAAACATTTGGTAACATTCATTTCTGTGCACCGCTAATTCAGGGGTTTTTCTTTCCTTCTTTTTGCTGGTTGCCACTTGCCATAATAATAAAGTGAATTGTATATCACAATTATTGACGATAAAGTTTGGTTTTTGTAACAAGTTGGACTGAAATTCAATGGCCCCCAAACGAAAATGTTAGTCTTGTGGTGCTTTTCCTATGACACAAACCAAAACCAGCTGCTATATTTTTTATTGCTCTAATTTCTTGCAAGAGAGCCGAATATTTGCTTACCCACAAAAACCAAAAAATGTCTCATCATCATCTCTCTCTACCTTGTTAAACACAAAAGTGCCTTTTTATCTTCCTTGTTTTTGACACTAGCGTTTTGTCTTGTATCGAGAACATATATATTACACACTAACTTACTTGATGATGGAGAGAGATGGTGCGAGAGAGCAGAGGGAGACCACTGCCTTTTGTGTTTTTAATATTTGTCCAATTGTTGACCCAAAATCAATTTTAATTTTTTGGATGATCCAAGAAAAAGCGGCATCCACCCCGAAGAAAGAGCTCTCACAAGTCTTGAAAGCCATTAATATTCTAATAATTAAGGCAGTTCAAGTTGCTTTTGAACTACGTCGCAATCAGCAGAAAATATGTTCAATTAATGCAGCTTCCTAATTTTATAATTTTTTTGGTGGAAAATTGCAATAAAGAACATTTATTTACAACAATGACACTAGGATAGCAGAGATTTTGTGATAGACTGTTGCTGAACATAGCTTCGCTTTCAAACTTATAATCCATAAATTCAAGTTTTATTTTTCAATTTAAAAAATCGTTTTAAGATTACGATGCTTTTACTTAGTCAATTGAACTGAGAAAAAGTCTTCAGCAATTCACCCGATCCAATGTTTTAACACCTGATCCAACGATTTCTTTACTTATTAACTCTAACGACTTCGTCTTATCGGTTTGAGAGTTTGATGTAGTCTTTAAAGCATTAACATTATTATATGGTAACACTATCAGTAAAATCTGTACATGTTTTCCACAAATAATGCACATGGGGTTAAATCACACACAAAAAAGTATAAGTTAAGTTAGTTTCTTATTTGTGAATTTTAGATCCTTTTATGCAGTGGTTCAGAGCAATTGTTCCATTCAAGAAAGATCTTCAATTCGAATCATAATATCCGTGTAGTATATGTGAGTTGGTTTTCAAAACAAAAGCTAAAGAAGTTTGAGGTCCTTTTGTTTAAATTCAAAATAGAAAAGCTCCGATTGGATCAATATGATCAGATTGTAGATTTGGCCCAATTTCCCAGTCATAAGACTCCATCCATGTTTGGGCCATTGGTTATTCTGGCATTTCGAGCTTGGGCTGACCCAAATGAAGAAGAGAGTCATATCAGGCTTGGGTTGACCTGATCCATTTGGTACCAGGAGGAGATTCATAAGATAAAAACTCAACATTAATTGAAGTTCTATTGTAAGAGGGCAACCAGTATTTCATTAAGCAAAAATAATAAAATTACATCCAACAAAAGTCATGTTGCCAAAGAAAATGGGGCACAAGAAATAACACTGCAAGAATTACAAGATGAGGGAAGAAGCCTCAACTGAAAAAGCAGCTTCTCAACATTAGAATGGAAGCCTCAATAATAATTAACAAACAAAAAAAGACAACAAATATTTGGTTGGGAAATCAATCTATGGATCCCAAAAAACTCTACTGTAAAGACACTACATGTACAAATTACAATCAATCTCAGTCTCGACTGGGTAGATTATAAACCAGCAGAAGACATGAATAAACCCCCATGCATCAAAGGGGTTCCCAAAAAATGAATTAATTATAAATCATTAACAAATAATTATAGCAGTGATTAATATAATTGGCTTGTCATATTAGTTTCTGCCTGTCTTGAGCTTCTTCGGGGCATGTTCAGAGTCTTCACCACTTGCGACTCTAGAGTGTCTTTTTCCTTGATTGCTAGAGAGGATCTCGTTGTCCTGCAGTAGAATGGGCTAAATGTTTAATTCTATATGTTTCTTCAAAATGAAACAGGAGAATGACAATGGCATGACAAAACCTGCATCAACATGATACCTTAACAACAGATTTCGGGATAGGCGATCGACTATTTGCTCGCTTCCCAAGCTCGATTTGCACTGAGATGCTGGCCTGTGACAAATCCACACCAGAATTCTGCAGGGCTTGTGTCAGAGTATTCAACAACCTGTCCAATCCCGACATTCGATTATGTTATTGACTCGTTCATAAATCTACCAGCATATTCATTAGTACTAGACAGAGTACTGTCTTAATCTTCTCAAAGTTTATGGTTAGTACATTTGCAGCCAGGTCTGATGAATTAGATCACATAACCTTAACCAAAGACCCATTAAATATGTGACTTGAATCAAAAGGAAACTCACCCTTGAGAGTACGCACTTGAGATGTTAATTCGACCGTCTTCAATTGTCAGCTCCTGTTCTTTTAGCTTATCCCTAGCGGCAGCACCATCGGTAGCACGCGATACTGTATGGCATAACATAGATTGATGCTGAGATGTGTTCTCTGCATCAGATGGCAATCTAGGTGGAAGTTGAGGTACTGCAGCACCACCACTCCTGACAGGAGTGAAGAAGTTGGGCTGCATTGACAAAGGAAAGGGCATTGGCTTGCTTGTTATTCCAGGGTGGTGATCCATTGCTTTGAAGGTAGTTTCAGTACTTGTGTCAGATTCTACAGGGTTCTGAGCACAGCTTCCAGGAATTGACGGTGAAACAGAAGTAGTTTTCTCATCAAACTTCGCGGCAAATACTAATGCAGTACCAGACCCACCATTCATGCCTCGAGATTGATCGCAGTAACTTTCCCTAAGCTTGGGATTGTTTCTCTGCTTCAAGTAAAAAGTCGATACTCTACAATTAGGCAAATCCAATATATACCGACACAAATTTGTGTGTATAAATCTTGTAGTAAATATGAACAGAATACATGCCACAAAGGCTAAAGACCTGACTTCTATGCCACAAGTGTAAAGCCCCACGAGTGACATTAAGGTTTCCAAATTAAAGAGGAACATAATCAGTAAAGGGAATAAAAAGGATTTACCCAAGGCATCAATTTCGCTGGATCAGGGTTCCATCCTTGGTAAGATCCCTCATACTTGTCTACTTTTTCCTGTAAAAACTGTATGTATTCGATGACCTGGGAAGCAAAAAGATTTGAAATTTATTATAAATTTATAAAAAATAAAAAATTAAACCCCCAATTATTCAACAATTGAGATGAAAGATGAAAAAAGGAACAAATTACAACAATTAAAATTTGTATGTACCTCCAATAAAAATGACGCCTTATCTCTTTTTTGATCACTATGAGGAATGAGCTCTCTCAACATCTGGAATCTGCAATAATAAATTCAAGGGTCAATCTAATGTTCACAAAACCACCAAGGAGCAAAGCCATCTGATTATGCGATCAACTTTTTTATATCATATAAGAAACTATATATTACTTCATACATTTGAAACTTCCTCAAATTTGGGATTCATCTTTGGTTCTTGTAGTACTCGTTTCCAAAACATATGATTCACTATATTATATCAAATAGGAAATGTGTTGCAGCAGATTTAGCATGTGCAAACTATTAAAACTATAATTGCGAGGAACACTTGCCTATCATTTATTTTGCTCCTCCGCCGCTGCTCTGTGGCAGAGTGCTTGGACCGAGGTGTGTTAGCTTTCTGATCAGAGCTCTTACCATCAACTTTTACCCTCAAATCTCCTTTAAAGAAACACCCAAACTCTTCAGTTAAGTTGAAAAAACGAAGGAAAATATAAGCTGAAGAATTTTAAGTGAATCTTAGTGCTAAGAAGGAGACATACCCTTATAGGGGGTGGTGGCAGTGGTGGTAGTAGTAGAGGTCTCCTTTTTGAGAACAAACTCTTCTTCATCGTCAAGTTCGTCTTCCTGGGTACTACCCTTGGCGGCAGACTTCATCATCTCCATGAAGCTTATGTTCTTCTGACCAGATGACCTGTTGAAATTTCAATTGTATATCAAAAACTGTATCTATAATATTGAAATCAGTAACATGAAGAAATTAAAAATATAAAGAGTTCGAGATGGTTAGTTACTAACTGAGCACTGAAGCAGTTGCGACGGTTGTTGGAAGATGACTGCGCAGGCCGCTCTGAAGACGTCCATTGCCCTGTAATCCCCGTAGCCGATAACTATCAGTTTCATTTCAATTTTTCACCATTTTTTATTTCTTATCATTTCATTCAGAAGTAGAGGCTTATTCAAATAACCGTATTATACATGGAATATATGTGTTTGATGGTGAAGCATGAGCAATCAGAGTGAAAATATACACTACATCTATATATACCACATGCAAAAATACAAATATTTTATTTTTTGGGGTCAACTGCAAAAATACAAATGAGGTTTAATTATTTACCTCTCACAATACCCACTGGTCTTTCTCCCAAATTCTCCTTCCCTGTCTTTCCCTTATTCTTTAATGCAGATTCTTCCCACAAAGTGAATCCACTTCCAGTGTAAGAACTGCAGTTTGAGTGTTCCTCAACATTTCTGTCGGTGCTACTTGCTTGAGCTTGAGTGACTGTAAATACCGGCGATCCCTCTGGTTTTGGAACCCTTTGATTAAAATAAGAAATGTGGCTTATAGTGTAAGTCCCAATCCCACCAGGGAGAATGTGCTCCACAGAAGAAGTTGGCTGCGCCGCTGCTGATGCTGCTGCATGAGACGCTGGCTTTTCAGCAGTTGATATCTCAACGGATGTTTCTTCCTTAGCTATGCATTTCTTTCCCATTCGTTCCAGTGGTTGTAGGAAATCATGAGTTTCAAGGTAGCCTCCTGATCACATAATTAAACCAAAATTAGGTCTCTGAACCAGATAAACACTGCATATATCTAGCTCTACTATGATATCTTTAGGTCAAATTTTCACCAATTAGCTAGGCTAATATTTTTGTAGTTTCAAATTTGCAACATTTCCTTCTCCAAAAGCTTCTACTGCGTTAGCATTCAATATTTGACAAATTATGAAGCCATGAGAGAAAAAATTAATAATCATGTGGCATGGCAATGGATCAACAAACCAATAAATAAAATGTCATAATAATTATAAAAAGCTGATCTTTAAATTCTTATTTTATAGAAAGTGAAAAAAATCCTTCTAATCTAATTTTTTTTCAGCATCATTTCTCAGATCCAAGATTTGGAAAACAACATGTTTAAAAACTTAACCACAAATTTTAATGAATATGACAAACAAAAAAAAACAGAAAAGATTTAGCCATCACTTCACATCCCACGCTTCATCTGAATACCATGCACCTGCATAAGGCGTGATATGTGATATGTCAAATCATGTCTAACTTCCATGGGTGGGGCAAGTGGGTCCCATCAGGCCCCCACCCACATTTCCATCTCGTGCCAATCTAATGGTGTTGATTGGTAAAGGCTAACCCTTCCCTTTTTCGCATTGGCAGCCAATTCAAGGCTGGCCTACAATTTATGGCCCAGATGGATAACCAGATCCATGATTCAATTGTGGTCACGTGCATGCATAATAGCGACCCTTATTTGTTTAATTCAACAAACAAAATATATATTTTCCTCTCACATATATACATTAACGAAAAATATAAAAAGGAAAGAGAAAAGCAAATTGTTTTTGGGATTTTAAACAAAAATATTCTGAAATTGAAGGAAAAATACAAGGATACCTTGAGAAGGTGGCCTTGGATCTTGTTGGGCAGTTGGATGACTGTGGAGTGACAGAAAGTCATGCGTTGGTTTCCTTCCTGTAGAAAAACTTTGAAATCAAGGTTAAGAAATAAAACGCAATTCTATTGGTTCCCATTTCCTAAAATTCGGTTCCAAAAAATGAATCCGAAATAATAAATAAAACCAAAAAAAAGGAAAACGAATCCGTTTCCGAAAAATGAATACCTTCGGTTCCAAACGGACGGGGTTGAGGAAGCTCCATCCGTACAGGCGGGTTAAAAATTTATTTGAGCGGAAAATTCTTTTCGTAATTTTAACTGAAATTCAGCGGAAATTCAGTAAGCGCTGGCAGAGCCTTCAATTTTATTTTATTTGAATTTTCAAATTGTTGACGTTGGAGCTAATATTCTTTCTGGTGCTGCACAGATCCGCCGAGAGCCTAACGCCTCCGTCAGAAGATCGGAGGCACATTCGCTTTTGCTTTTGCTTTCGCTTTCAGAAGCGGCCAAGATAAAAATCCAAGCTTTGATTCCAATTCTCCGAATGCTTTTCGATACCAGTTGTTTTGGCCACGAAACCGTCAGTTGTTCCTCATAACTAATACAAGTTCATCAAACGGGACGTAAATTCACAGAATTCAACGAATCTACCATTGAATTATAACCGGAAAGGAATTTTTTAATATTTATTTTTTTTAAAGCTTACCATAAATTAAAATTTAACATATTTGTCAAGCAGATTCAAAACTAATTAATCATACACAATTCGAAGTTAAAAATAAATAAATAAAATCTCAGCAAGCGAATAAGATCCCAAGGGAGGAAGTTAAAAAATTTCAAACCTGCAAGCAATTCACCAGAAGATTGAGCTCCCAAGTCCTGTATATACACTGCAGAAAGTGCTTCGAATTCAGAGCTTGAAAATACCATACCGGTAATTAAAACGGTAATTAAAAAAAAAAAAGAAAACAGCTACGAAATTACGAGGAAAAATTTGACCTTTTTCAAAAATTCTGATCGGCGTCCCCTTTTTCAATTCCTCGTCCTGATAGCCGGACCCTCTCTCTCTCTCTCTCTGTCTATATGTGAGTCTGTGAGTCTGTGAGTTGTGTGTGTTCTTTGGCTCAGGATCTTTTATACAGTTTTAATTTGCCTGCTTGCTTTGCTTTCTGTATTGTTTTTATTTATTTATTTAAATATTTGCTTTGGTTGTTTTCCGTTAGATAAACCCGCCGTTGGGTTAACGACGTTGCGGCGGGGTTAACGGCGTTAAGGTTTTGAGCGGAGGGTAAGTGTAGCGTGGCCGTTTACTCTTAGCAGGGTAAAGGATGCTTTTCAGGGTTCACGGAACTCAATTATTTACTTTTGCTTGAATTCAATTTTTTAATGTTTTCGGCAATCCCGATTTTTATTTATTCTTTTTTTGATTTGGCAATCCCGAGTAATAGTCTTCTTTACTTGATCTGTGTTTCTGTCCGTTTGTCCACATACGAAGATAATCACTTCATTTTTTTTATTTTTTCATTCCAAAAAATAATATAAGGACAGGCTTAAATAATGTTTTTACAGTCATAACAAGTGTTTATTTATGGGTAAATCTAGTGCATTACACATGCTAATACTAATTTCATATACAACCTTTTTTTTATATTGTCGAAGATGATATCTTGTAGAGCTTTTTCCTCTCGAAGGAAGATTCTCTGAGGATTTCAATATTTATATTAGCGTGCGTAAACTTTAAAGGCTCGTTTGGTGCTCTTTCTGATACTCTATTTGAACACTTTATTGTCCTTGAAACAGGTAATTATCTTAATTTGCCATTATTGAGACAGATAATTATACTAATAGATAGTTAATTATCTTTTCATTAATGAGTTTCCAGTGTATAAAGAGTATGTGACTGTTGGAAGGAAGCAGTCCTTTTGGGGCCCCACTTCTGGGTACGCTTAAGCAATGCACGTGCAACCCTCTCTGCGTTTTGGGAGTTAGAGCTGAGCTCAGAAAGTACACAGATAATAAGAGAAAGGGAAGCCAAGATTACACTGTTTCACTGCACAATGAGAGGGAAAAAAGGTTTGACACAAAAACAAGTCACGTGACCGGGTAAACTGAGAGTTGACGTGGGAACAGTAGAATGAATGTTGACCCCGTTATCGTGACTTAACAACAACTAAATATACACTTAGTGATGATTAGAGGCACAGATCCCCATCAACTAATGTTAATAAATATTATTATTACTGCACTTGACTTTAGCTCACGAGCTGAGAAAAGCTCTCTCTCCTCTCTCTCCTCGGGCTGCGACTGACTTGTCACCTTGTGAAAGGATGTTGGTAGTAACGGAGCAAATGTCACGTGCCGCCCCACTCCTTCAGCTCACTCATTCATTTGGATTTTTCGTTTTATCTGGTCTGTACCGCTGAACGCGGGACTTCTGTCTATGTGGGCCGTGGCTTTATTTCCCCACGTATCCTTTCATTACGCAAGGGCTGTGTATTAGTGTAGAAAAGCTTTTGTTGTGTGGAAAAGAGATAACATTATTGCAATCCAGTTTATTATAAATTGTCATATAAAAAACTTATCACGTGTGACATGTCAATGATTCATCGAAAATAGCAAAATAGAGCTATTTCCGTATAAAATGAGTGTTTCTCATATAAGTGACTTCAAATCGTGAAATATTTAAAAACTCTTAAACTCAAACGATTAGCCAGTACTTGTACAAAAAGGCTAATTTGAAAAATGAAAATAAAAGATCAGTTATAAATTGATTTGGATCATCCATACGTAAATGAATCGTAACAAGAACAGTTTAACTAAGATCAATTCGTTAATTTTCTCCTTGTTTTCTAAAACAATAACAATTATTCGTCCACACTGTTTATAGAGAATCTTAATGTTAATTAATTAAGAATTATAATACTTTATATGATCTCTATTAATCTCCGACAATCATGCATGGCAATTGAGCATTCACATTGCGATCCAACAGCTTGGCGTGACAATCCACTTCCCTTCCTTTCCATTTATCACAATTCAAATAGTATTAAACTTGGGAGAACATGGCTCTCAATTCACAAGTCGTACAAACATTTAAATTAAAATGAATAAAGTCGTACATATGGCACCGCTACTTCTATTCCTCTAAAATATTTACAATAAATAATTTTGTTGGATACCTCGAACCCGGCTTTAATTAATTCAATTTAACAACTTTTTAACTTGTAGTTTGCCAAAATATATTGGATTTTGATGCATTTTTAGGGAACATGTTGTTCAATAATAAGCCAAATGTGCCGTGTCAAGCTAGAATTAGATAAATTTATGAAAGAAGAATATGATATGAATTGTCATGTGACGCCCACCCAATAAGATGCTTGTTTTCTCTGAATTAATTCCTATTTAAGTCACATGATCATAACTAATTAAATTATTAAGTGTACCACGTCTCCTGTTTCCTAAGAAGCTGCGGTTCACACCATGTCATCATGTCTTAATAATTAGTAATTGGTAAAAGGTGTAGTAATTTCTAAGATTGCTATACGGTAGATTTGTTTGCAGGAAATTGTACTTTGGTATATATATTGCACACGTGATCGTCCTGTATGAATAGAGAGGATAAAATTTGGAATGGAAAAAAATGAACCCCACATGCTAATGCATCTAATGCTGTCTGCCTTACATCAGGTGCAGGGTAAAGATTAATTAGCTAGTAAACTGGATTAGAGCAATTAGGTTTGGCAATAAGAAAAAATAAACACGAAAATAATTGAGCGTAAAATTGATTAAGTTGGTAATTAAACAGTTCGAGAAGCTAGGGCTAACTTTTAAGGAAAAAAGGTAGAGAGCCCTTTAGCTCGGAGTCGGAGGGTGGTGAGTAGTGAGTGGCTCAATCGCTCAAGAAGATGTGACCCTTGAAAAGTGATATGTGCGTAGCTAATTGAGCTAGGTCATTTTCATGCTTTGCCGTCACAAACGGCAATGCCCATGGGCCACTTGAGTTGACCCCCCACCTCACGTGCATATAAAAAAACATGGCAAAACCCACAGCCCTCCCTCACTCACTTTATTAAGTCATTAACATTAACAACACCAACACGGCCCCCTTTGTTGTTTCTGCCTCTGGAAATTCGATGAGCACACCGTCCCCTGTCACTTATCATATGACCGACTCATATACGTGGCAAGAAATATATAGAGAAAAGAGTATGAAACATATTGTATAGAAGATTTACTTTTGTTTTCTTGTGTCCAATAATTTCGTTCGAATTAAACAAATCCCAAACCTTTCTCATAAGAAATTTCGAGCCATAATATTCATGGTATGGGAGTAAAATGATTCATGTGAAGATATGCCGTGTTTTTTCACTAACAAAAAGATAAAATAACAGTTCAAACCAATTGAAACAATATTTATTTTGAGTGAAAGTTATGGATGAATTTGAATATTGAGATTAATTATAAAGAAATTTTTATAATCCGAGGTTCCAAACTGAATACGTGAGGCGTAATCCAAGACGTAAGCAAAGTGTACGAAAGTGCTGGAATATAAATAAATAATGTTTAGTTATGTTATCCATCAGGACCTTTACCCTATCATTGAACCTCTAAACAATATAAATAATGTTTAGATAAAATAGCAGTAATAATATAAAATTACTTGATTATTTAAAAACTGCCTATCCTCTAACTTGAAAGAATATGAATAACTTGTTGTCACCACTTCTTTCTAACCCTACCTACATTAAACAACGTGATAATAAAGTGATTATAAACAGCTTATAGTAAAAGTGATTAGAGATTCCAATACAAACAGGACAGCACACTGGGTTCATGCACCTTGTACACCTCCACTCATTCATTTATTTTTATTTTATTTTATATGGGGGAAAAGCGAAAACAGTAGTTCATGCATGGATTTCTCCAGAAACCAAAATTTAAATCTATCCAAATAGCGACAAATTATTGGTATTAATTTATCTAATTAAAGCTCAGTTTATTTACAGAGAACAAATAAGAAAGGGAAAGAAGGAAACGATTTTGGAAAAGTTTTTATTATTTTTTAAAAAGGGATGGGAATTGGAGGGTGAGGACTTTTGGTTTCAGAAACAGAGTGTTTCGGCGTAACATGGACATTCCCTTCCTAAGGAATCCGTTTAGGGATTAGTTAACAAATCATTTTTGCGTGTTTCTGCGTTTGGAGCTTAGGATAATGGATTTTCCATTCTCTCATCACATCTTATCTCACATATATGATTAATAAATCATAATTCACCGATTAATTTAATTAAATCTTCCGAGGAAACTAATTAGTTTTTCTCCACGACTTTTACGGGCACGGACGCGTGTCAGTTTGCCCGGGGAATCCGCACCGCATCACGTGATTGAAAATGTCTGCATACCACATCGTCAGCCTCCCAAATCACGTGGCCAACTCACCCTTGCGTTGTTGGTGGGTCCCCACGCCACTACAACTATTACGCGATCCCGTTCTCCATCTATTTTATTTTCCTTTTCTTCCCGAAAATAAATAATTAAATCAATTTGAGAAGACGGTTTTGGGTTCGTCGAAAGTGGTTTCCTAACCCTCCTACTATTCCACGACGGCGTCAGCACAGTACGTTAAATTACATCTCATATCTTGATAAATCCCATCTAAATAAATAAATAAAATCCTTACTTTAGCTCCGCTTACGATAAATACATACGTGAATTAAGCTAGTTGGCTAAATCTGTCTACTTGCATTCAAGTTCAAGTCTACGGGTAAGCATGAATGGTAGGGCTGGGTCAGCACGAGACGGAGATATTTGAGCACGAGACGGACGAAAAGTGGTTTTTGGTTGGTGGTGGAGAATACCAGTGTACTAGCCTAAAGCCATGTGATAGGCATACGTATGTTTTTATAATGACGTGACTGGACCCTCCCCACTCAGACAGAGAGAACGAAAGGCTACGCAGCCCGCACGTGAGCAGGCAGCTCCTCACGTGCGCCCATCCCCTGCCGTTCATCCATCTCATCTCTGCCGCCTCCTCGCGTGCGGTGGGGACCCCCCCAACTATCACCACTTCACCACGCCTTCGCCTCTCTCCCTTTAACGCTGTCAAATGCTGCTGCTAGCGACCTTTTTGACGACGTTTGAGTTGATGAAATACCTCAACCACCCTTTGGAGTGTTGCGAAATGGGCGAGGTGACGTAGGGGTAGTTTAGGAAAGAAAGTGATGGGCATGGGCACGGCCGCATCACGCATGGCTTGGGATTTTATAGGTTGGCTAAGCTAGCTAGGAGTAGGACATAGGGGCATAGCCTTGCTGGGCTAAATAGTGTTGGTACGTGAAGCACGTGCTAAGCGGTGCGGGGTCTATCTCTCTCTCTCTTTCTCGTGACGGTGTCACGTGGGGTTGGGAGTGGGACCCACGAATTACCCATCCGAAAAAGAGAAAGGCAAAACTTGAGTGTGGGGGCATGTGCTTGCCTTTCCCAAGTGACCTGTCGTTTATGGGTCATTGAAATGTGAAAGTGAGATGTGGGGCCGTTCCAGGGATGACGTGGCGCACTCACGTGCAGTTTCGCGTACGGTTTTGCCTGGTCCTTATACGCCAGACGTGGCCCTAGGGGAGGTGGGACATGTGTCTCCATCGATCGTGGCAGCCCTAGATTCTAAACATAATAAGTTTGCCCATTCCCATGATTTAAGCTTCCAATCCAAAGGGTTTTTCAGATGTTGTAGATTTTAGGGTTGCACTTGTTGTTTTTAGCACATTTATATGGTTATGGCTTATGGGTTTAGGACCACCTGCTCCATTTTGATATCCCATGCTAGCTATAACATAAAGTTTGAATGCCCCACTTTTGAGGTTAGATGAGCAGTATTTGGATTTGGGTCGGGCATTTTTAATTTTAGATTATAATGCATACTTTTGGGCCATCGCGACCAAAGGCTCTTGTCGAGATAATATGTAGTAGTGGATGATAAAGCCCACATTGACAAAAAGGAAAAGCCCACACCAAATTAGGATGAGAATTTGGCCCCTTAAGATTATTTTCTCATCCCCAAACAAACAAAATAATAATAATCAGGGAGCTTTCATAACTAGGGGGCTACATTGAGAGAGCGTGTTGAGCGGTTTAATCTAACCGTCCAATAATTACTATGACATTGATCGGATGGCTGTTAAGAACCCCTCCTTACAACCTCCCTTCAAGATCTTTAAGAATATTCCAGAAAATGGGTTAATGAATTCAATGACGGTTCTATTTTTTTTTTTTAAAGGATAAGAATTCAAGGACGGCCCACTTTTTCTTACAGCCCACATTTGGAGCCCATACCCGGGTAGCATGGCGCTCATTTTTAATCAAAGCCTGGTTACTTTTTGTTTTTTAGGAAATATGCGGTCTTGAGTCTTGCCCCCTCCTGATGCTGCAGGCCGGTAAACAAGCGGCAAATGTAATGTAATGAATTATTTATTTATTTATTTATTTATGGGAGCCGACAAGACAGTGTCACTTAATTGTCCCCACCAAAACTTTTTCCACGTCTTGAACGCGCGATTCTCCGTACAGTACAGATTCAGTACCTACTGAATCAACGGTCCTGATCACACATCCTCCCATGATCCTACGGTCGTCCTTTACGAACTTGAGAGTCAAAGAAGGTCAAGATGATATCAGGTGTTTGTTGTAAAATCACAAAGCAAGAGAAGGCTTCTTCTTCGTACAACGAACACATTACGTTCATTGTAAGGATCCACGCAGCAGAGACAAAGCCAAGGAGAGAATAGGGAAAGAGTGAGAGAGGTTGTGGGGCTTTTGGGGAAGACAGTTCTCTCTGTGGAACTGGAAGACCCCTGATTGCTTCATCATATGTAGCCATTGGATCTTCTCCACCCCTGATCATCATCAACTCTTCTCTCTCTCTCTCTCTCTCTCGCTGATCTTGGCCTCCAAGATTAAGTTCTGACGAGGCGACTCAGACGCCGGTGAGTTTTCAATCTTGAACTCGTACGAACATGAACCTTTTCTTTCTTTAACGCAGTATTCGTATGTTGACTGATATCTTTTGTTTCTGATTTTCAACTTCATTTCGGTTTCTTGCAAGTTTTCATTTCTCTTACCTATTTTGCCCCGTTTGGTTAACGAGAAACAGAAGCCAAACAGAAATGGAAATTTTTCTACTTTTTCTCGGCAACCAAACAGGCTAGTTAAGACAAAATCGGTGTTATTAAAAGTAGTCAATTTTGTGAGTGTTTAACTGGTTTCCCTCTCTATTTTATTGTCCTACTAGATGGTCCAAGCAAAATTAAAGGAATGATGAAGGATTGCGTAAGTTTTGTTTACTGATCATCATTTTGATTGCTTGGTCCTTAATTGTTGTTGTCTTAATTTTCTTAGGCAGTCTGCTTTAATGAATTAATCAATTGAAAATATAGGGTTACGATTAATATTGTTTGAATACTAGTAGTTGTATGATCTTGTGTTACTTCTTATGTATGCTGCATGTAATGAGACATATTTACACCTATTCTTGGCAGGTTTTAATTATTCTGAATCATCAAGTAGGGCCAGGCCATCAGAAAGATTTCCTGATGTAGTCCCTGCCTGACTGCATAGGTTGCCTGTTTATGTTGTAAATGGTTTTCTAGAGTAAAGTTAGCTTAGTTTATGATCGATTGGCAGCCCTTTGTCTCCCTCATTCAATTGGGTCAGCCATTGGCCACCTGCTGCGAGAGTGGGAAGGATTTGCACCTTGGTATCACCTCTATTGCCAGATTGGAAGTAACAATTTCCTCCTTTATTTCATGACTACAAAGTTGGAGAGTCCTGTTAAGACCCAGATGGTTGTGACACTCATCGGTGGGCTGCTCAATCGGGATTGCCATGAGAGCACAAGACAAAACCTTGCTCGGAGGAGACGTGTCTTTGTGCAGACTGAGACTGGCTGCGTCTTGGGAATGGAGTTGGAAAGGGGTGACAATGCTCACACAGTCAAAAGGAGGTTGCAGCTTGCCCTCAGTGTACCTACCGACCAGAGCTCTTTGACATTTGGGGATCGTATATTAAACAATGATCTTAGTGCCATCCGCAATCATTCCCCACTGCTACTTGCAAGAAATGCCATGCATAGAAGCTCATCGACTCCTTGTCTCTCACCTACTGGAAAGAATCTTCTCCAGAAGGATCAGAGTGATCCTATTGAGATTTTAGGGTGTCCAAATAACTTTGCTAGAATTGATGAACTGGTTAAGGACATTGTGGCTGCCATCAAGAAGGGGGTTGATCCAATCCCTGTTCATAGTGGGTTAGGTGGTGCTTACTACTTCAGGAACATCAGTGGAGAGAGTGTTGCCATCGTGAAGCCAACAGATGAGGAGCCATTTGCACCAAACAACCCTAAAGGCTTTGTAGGCAAAGCTCTTGGGCAGCCTGGCCTGAAGAGTTCAGTGCGAGTTGGGGAAACAGGGTTTCGAGAAGTTGCTGCCTACCTTCTGGATTATGATCACTTTGCTAATGTGCCTCCAACTGTTCTTGTGAAGGTTGCACATCAAATCTTCAATGTTAATTATGGTGTCAATGGGGACAAGATTCAGAAGAAGAAAAGGGTTAGCAAAATTGCGTCACTGCAGCAGTTCATCCCTCATGACTATGATGCCGGTGACTGTGGAACCTCAAGTTTTCCAGTAGCAGCTGTTCATAGAATAGGCATTTTAGATATTAGGATCTTTAACACTGACAGGCATGCAGGGAACCTGCTGGTTAAAAAGCTTGATGGGGAGTTTGGTCAGGTGGAGCTCATTCCAATTGATCATGGCCTTTGTTTGCCAGAGCAATTGGAAGATCCATATTTTGAGTGGATTCATTGGCCTCAGGCATCAATTCCTTTCTCTGAGGATGAGCTTGAGTATATAAGGAATCTCAATCCAATTTGTGATTCTGAGATGCTAAAGATGGAGCTGCCTATGATTCGGGAGGCATGCCTTAGAGTTCTGGTCCTGTGCACAATATTCCTCAAGGAAGCAACGGCTTTTGGACTGTGTCTTGCTGAGATTGGTGAGATGATGAGTAGGGAGTTCGGAGGCCGAGAAGAGAAGCCAAGCGAACTTGAGGCTGTTTGCCTTGAGGCCAGGAGGATTATAGAAGATTTAAACATGTCAAACGTTGAGGCTGAAGAAGGAAACGAAGAGTTTCTCTTCGATATAGATTGTGAGAATGCAATGATTGTAGACCCTTCACTTGTGATCTCAAGTGACTTCTTTGACCAGGTTTCATTTCCTACCCCAACAAGCATTGTGAAGGTTGCTGATATAAGGCCAGTCAGGCCAGAGGGAAATTGGTATAAAACTGCTTCAAAATTGTCCGTGTCTCTGAAAAATATTGATGTGGGTGAGAGAAGCCAGCAACAGATAATTGGTACTGTATCTGCAATCAGAAGAAGTGCAAATGATCAGTTACCTACCTCAATAAGCTTTGTGAAGGTTGCTGATATGAGTGAGGAGCAATGGATTCTGTTTCTTGAAAAGGTCAGGGAGCTTCTGTACCCTGCCTTTGGCAACCGAAGGCGTGCAACCATTGGGCAGAGACAGAGGCTGGGATCATCTTGCAAGTTTTGATATAATTTGACTGGCAGTCGATGTAGAAGAATGGAACAGACGACAAACTGCTCTTGTTTTTGTAGATATTTTTGGGGAGTCTGAGCTCGGTAGTAGCGAAGAACATTGTCATCGCTGGATGCAGTCCTGTGGCCTATTCTAAACGTTTTGAGACTTAGCAAGAAATCACTTGTAGAAAATTAGGGAAAAAAAAGGTACAGACAGAAATGAGGAAAAAGCAAAATCCATAGGGTGTTATATATATTGAGTTTGTGAACTAATTCTGCAATTATATTTTAGTCATTTCTTTTATTTGTTTCTTCTGCTGTGTGCTCCCATTAAATCTATCTAGCTGAGATTTACATGTTCAAAAGGGCAGATAAATCATCCATTGTGTATTTTAAGTGAGGCCAACCGCAACCACCCTCCTCCCCCACCTTGATTTTAAATGAAGCATATAGCACCCAATGTTTAAATGTTAGCTTTGTAAAATAAATACAATAAAACGCAAGGTGGGGTTATGAATGAATAAGATCCCTAGGGTGAATGAATGAGATCCCTAGGGTTATGAATGAATGAATGAGATCCCTAGGGTTATGAATGAATGAATGAGTGAGAATCAATGGAATTAGACACAATACACAATTGGAACCCTAGGGATCTTATTCATGCTTATGACAACTAATGAATAAATCAGTTACATACTCCTCAGTCAGTCACTCATTAACTCCACATTCCTGCTCCTACGGGATAGAAGAACCAAAACAAATTACATTTTTAGGGGGGAGGGTGCAAACTATTTCGGTGGCTGGAATGCGGCGGTCAGGACAGATTATGATAAACCTTGACTTAATTTTGCAGAACCTGCCATAATGGAACTGACTACATCTTTCACAAAACCATAAAAACAATCTCGGCAGGACTTGGGCATCAAATTGGATTTATGTTGCAGACGAAACTGCTCGGTGTGGCAGCATACTAAGCTTGGAAAGGAAGGCATGCCAGACTTTGGATGCTCTAAACCACATGCAGCCAAGATGGTATGCGTGGAACGCCATGCAATTTCCTTGAATGCATCCACTTCTGCAGAAGCAACAAATTTTGAGTAAAAGTAATTAACTTCTGTTCATGTTACAAATTTCTTTCATCTAAATCCATACAAAAAAACATTACACACAGACTGCAAAGGAGACTAAATATTTCTGTATGAATAACAATGCAATGAAATATAAATAGTTCCAAACAAGTTTCAAGGTACTATCGCTTTCCTGTTTTCTCCACACCATGCAAATGGTAAAATGGTAAATTAATTTTTTGTTCTTTTTCTTTCTCAAGTAATAGTGCACTCTTCATCAAAATAATGCTTAGCTGCTATGAGAATAGATACGGGTTAAATTTGTACTACCTACCCTTATAACTTGCAAATTATAGCATTGACCAAAATAAGTATATGTATATAGATCAAGTATTAAATTAAACCATGAAAATCATACCTAACCGTTTGTCTTTGCTTAAAAGCTTCAAGTTGATCTTGACAAGAGATTTGATTTCGCTTTTGGCATCATCATATTTTCTGACTATGCTTTCCACAAAATTATCTGCCCCTCCAATATTTCTCTTCTGCACATCTAGTTTACTGGAAGAAGAAGCAATGAGCTCTGGTTTGGCATAAAAAGAAGAACAAGCAGGCCCACTTTGCTCATCAATGACATTTTTTGAAGCCTGATTTGCATGTCTCTGTAACAATGTTGACCTATTTAAGTTCCCAGAAAACTGAGATTCAAATAATCCTGGTGAATTACTAGTTGAAAGGCCTTCGCTAGACTCTACTCCCTCCTGAGCTGTACCCCTGAACTGCGTTCCCTTTTCCAACTTTAAAGATTGATGTCTTATTGTTTCTTTCTCACGAGAATTACATTTGTAGGCTTCCATTTCAGTTCTTCTCCGATCCCAGTCTCCAAGTTGTTGAATTTTTAAAATATCAACACTTGAGTTTACATTCATTGCTTCTTTTGAGGCACTCGTTTCCCTAGAAAGAAGTTTTGGGTGGTGAACAGCACTGCTGGTCTTTGTATGAACATTTTTCCATGCCTTCTCAATATCATCTGAGCCACAACCAACTTGATTTGTTGGTCTCTGACAACCAGTGGAAGATGAGGATTGCACTTGACCTGATATACCAAAACATGAATGATGAGTTCGTTTAATTGAATCACTGTTTCTGCCAGCAGGAAGTTTTGAGAACCGAACTGCGCTGCTGCACTTTTCATGAGCATGCTGTACTGACCTTGCAATATCCATCATTTTCCATGCCTTGTCAATATCATTATCATGTGAACCACACCTCTCTCGATTTTCCAGTTGCTGGCAACTTGTAGACGATGAGGTTTGTGTTTCGCCTGATCTTTCATGGAATACAACGCCATTATTATGCTTTTGACTACAACTGCAGCCAGATGTAGATGAATTAGAAGGGAAGCTCAACAAACCACTTTGGAAGGAATTCCAATTTTCACGAAGTGCTTGTACACGAGTGTGCACATTGCGATGGCGATCCAATGTTCTCGCAATTGATTCAGTTGGTCTATTGGCAACAGTTGGTCGTGTTCTTGCAACCGATTCAGTTGGTCTACCGGCAACACTTGGTAGTGTATTTGCAACTGGTTCAGTTGGTCTATCGGCAACACTTGGTAGCGTACTTGCAACTGAATCATTTGGTCTACTGGAAACATTTGGTAGTGTACTTGGAACTGAGTCAGTTGGTCTATTGGAAACACTTGGTAGTGTTCTTTCTGGCGTAGTTACTTCAACAGTAATACTGGTACACCCGTCAGGGACAACAGGTATGACTATTTGAGGGATTCTCATCATATATCTATTAACCACTGTGTTATGACTATTTGATCCTCGTTCACTGGGCAAGCCAGATGGCACAGCTGTTGGTATGAATTCTTCATCATCAGAATCCGAACTGACATGATTTTCAATCGTAGAAATGCAGTCTTGGCAGAACCAATCATCGTCTGGTAAAGTATGACCAAGTCCAACACAGTATGTATGAGCGGCTGAGTCACACATCTCACAAAGCAACAGAAGACTTTCATCTGTAGCAAGGTGGCACACATCACACACAACATGTTCATGAGAATGGTAAACCTGCAAATTACAAAACAACCAATGTGAGGGAAATATAAATTTGGAAAACCTTCAACTTTAGCAAGTAGCAAACTTTTTTTGTTAAATTACAAAACAACCAATGAATGTTAGGGAAATATAGATTTGAAAGAATTTGAAGTTCAGCAAGTAGCGAACTTTTTTTGTTAAGTCACAAAACAACCAATGTTAGGGAAACATAGATTTGAAAGACATTGAACTTTAGCAAGCAGCAAATTTTTTTGTTAAATTAGAACACAACCAATGTGACGGAAACATAAATTTGAACGACACTGCTTTAACAAGGTGTAAAATTTAATCATAAATTTGTTGAATTAGAGCCGTTAATGAAAAATAAAAAACCCAAATCAGCAATACAAGTGAAAACAAACAAATATTGTCACCTGATCGCGAAGGGGAACCTTGAAGGTTCGCTGGCGGGCAAAGACACCGGCTTTCCGGGGTCTACGAATGGTGGTGAACCTGCTTCGACAAAGTGGGCAGCGTGATTCCGTCTTAGACCACTCCATAATGCAGTAGAAGCAGAAGTAGTGATCACAGCAATCGATTTCGCCTCTGACCGCTTTCTCATCGTTGGAGTAGCAAATTGCGCAGCTCTGAGAAGAAGAAGAACTTTCAATTTCTTGGATTGGGTCCTTTCCTAATTGGATTTCGGGTTTAAGGGTTTTCAGGCGTTTGTTTGGGGAAGAAAAAGACGACATGTCTGTGTCACCCGCCATTGGCAGCTTATTAGTGTTACTATGCTATTTCTGCGCCAAGACTTGGAAGCTTTTGTTTTGCTACGGAAATCCGAACAGAATCGGGATTATCGGAGTTTTTTTTTTCCTTGTTAAAATTTATGCGCCAAAATATCTTTCCTTTTTAGAGGGCCTTTATTTTGGTGGAGAAATCAAAACAGAATCAGGATTCTAGCAAATGGGTTGGGCTGGCTTAGTTCTTAAATTTCAGGGCCCAAGTTTCCAACGTCTCATTAATTTTTTCTTTTCGATCAGCCCATGAAAATTTATTGTTTATTTTGGTGTAGGTAGGTATGTCTCCACAAATACTTGGTAAATTGAAGTTTTTGTTTGATATGCAACTTGTTAGTTGAGGCCAAGACCCCATTGAACATAAAAACAATAACAAATGCAGACTCTAATTTGAGATTTGTTAACTAAAATGGTTAGTTTTCTGATTAATTTGTATTTAAATCAATGTGTTGGTTGTATGTGGTTAAATTGACAGGATACCAAATACAACACCTACATTACGCGCAAAATATAAAAAACAATTACCACCACCATGTCGCATTGTTGAATGACTTTAATTTTCCGGATCATATAGCATAATGCTACATTTACCATATTTTTATCCCACATTTTCATCTTAATGACAATTAAAGTAATGAGATATATAAACAAAAGCAGAAAGTGATGCTAAAGCAAAAATGTTCTCACGAGTCACGGCAATCAATGATGACCTAACCCCACTCCCAAAGCTTACTTTCCAGTTTCCTTCCACCATTGATGTACCACAACTCTCAAACACAGTCCACTGCCACAGAACTTTGAAAAAACGTCCTAACTGCTCTCGATCACCATGACCAGTTCAAGCACCACCACCCCAAACCATGCAACCCATGTCTTGGTGTTCCCATACCCAGCACAGGGTCACATGATCCCTCTCCTCGACCTCACCCACCAACTCGCCAACCGCGGCCTCACCATCACCATTCTCGTCACCCCCAAAAACCTCCCTTTTCTCCAACCTCTCCTCTCCACCCACAACCACCCTAATAATTCCATCCAAACCCTCGTCCTCCCTCTCCCCTCCCACCCCTCCCTCCCCGCCGGCTTCGAGAACGTCAAGGACCTCCCCGTCCACTCCTTCCTCGCCATGATGTGCGCCTTGGGCCAACTCCACCACCCTCTCCTCCGTTGGTTCACCTCCCACCCCAACCCTCCCGTCGCCATCATCTCCGACATGTTCTTGGGCTGGGCCCACCGCCTCGCTACCCAGCTCGGCATTCAGAGGCTCGTCTTCTCCCCCTCCGGCGCCTTGGCCCTCTCCGTCATCGACTCGCTCTGGCACCGCCTCCTCAAACGAGACGACCCCAACGACCAAAACCAGGTCTTCTCGTTCCCCGAAATTCCGAATTCCCCGAAATACCCCTGGTGGCAGCTCTCCACCGTCTACCGCTCCTACGTCGAGGGAGACCCAGATTCGGAATTCATCAAGGACGGCTTCGACGCCAACAGGGCCAGCTGGGGACTCGTCGTCAACTCGTTCACCGAGTTGGAGCGAGTTTATCTCGAGCATCTCAAGAATGAGCTGGGCCACGATCGCGTGTGGGCCGTTGGACCGCTGCTCCCACCGGATGATAATGACCTATCTGGGCCCGCACAGAGGGGCGGGTCCAGCTCGGTTTCCGTAGACCGCATCAAGTCGTGGCTGGACGCGTGCGTAGAGGATCACAAGGTGGTGTACGTGTGCTTCGGGACTCAAGCCGTGTTGACCAATCGCCAGATGGAGGCGCTGGCGTCGGGATTGGAGAAGAGCGGAGTCCGCTTCGTGTGGTCGGTGAAGGGCCCCACGAAGGGACACGCGGAGGGAGATTACGGCGCTGTCCCTCCCGGGTTCGACGATCGAGTGGCGGGGAGGGGCCTGGTGATAAGAGGGTGGGCACCGCAGGTCTTTATCTTGAGGCACCGAGCGGTGGGGTCGTTCTTGACTCACTGCGGGTGGAACTCGGTGCTTGAGGCGGTGGTGGCGGGTGTGCCGATGCTGGCGTGGCCCATGGGGGCTGACCAATTCAGCAACGCCACGTTGCTGGTGGACCAGCTGAAGGTGGGGGTCAGGGTGTGCGAGGGGGCGGGAAGCGTGCCTGACTCGGACGAGTTGGCCCGAGTGGTGGCGGAATCGGTGAGTGAGAAGCGGGTCGAGAGGGAGCGAGCCGTGGAGTTGCGTGAAGCGGCACTCGAGGCCATCAAAGAAGGCGGGAGCTCGGTGAAGGAGTTGGATAGTTTGGTGGATCGTCTTTCTGCGTTGGAAATACCGGCAGGCAGTAAAAATTTGCAATCGATGCGAAATGGAAATTAAAGTGAAAATAGGAATGAATATAATAAAATTAAAATTAAATATTTACTACCAATACCAATTTGGTGGTTTTTCCTTTTAATGGGCGGGCCTTTCTCTTTTCTTTTCTTTTGGGCCTTAGAATGAATTGTAATTTTTGAACATTGAATATCTTTTAGAAAATTAGGTACAACTCCAAAATCAAAAACAGAAGTTGGATGTAATCTTTGTATTTGTCGTTGTTGATACAAGTTCTTAGACTTTTGAGTTGTTGATACAAGTTCTTAGACTTTTGAGCCATGTATGATTACATTTTTTTTTTCATTTTTAAATTACTTTGTTATTCCCATCATGTCCCTAAAAATTAAAGGGAGTTTCACTAAAACACCCAAAATGGAGGTTGAAATTATAAAAAAACTCAACACCCAAAACCCATCATTACACACACTCAAAACCCATTTATAAACACACCCAAAAAGTTGACTTTTTGGTTGATTTTGGGTGTGTTTCTATGTTTAAATAGTGCTTGGGTTTTTTTATAAATACATGTCTAAGATTGGGTTTATTTATAAATTTGTAAAAATTAAATAAGGTAATAAATTTATTTGTGTCATAATAATTAGCTATTATATTTTTTAAATAATTAAATAAGGCAACAAATCACATCTCCTATAATTTTTGAAATAGTTATTATATTTCAGTCATGATCCTATATGAACATTGGCTCTTTCTGTTGTGGCTTTGTATTCTTGCACTTTTGCAACCTATACACAAGGTACAGAAATATTCTTTTACTCTTTGCCACAACTTTTGTTATTCACTGATTTTGTTTGTTTGTTTTCTTCTTTGATAATACAATTCCTCACTAAAATACTCTCATTGTTTTACATTTTATTTTGTTTAGCTCACTTGTTTTCTTCATGTTTTTATTGCTATAAAGTTCATTCCCACCTAATATATTTAATTAATATGCAATTAACCATTAACACATGTGGATTTTGTGTCCCCCCCCCCATCATTTTCGATACCTTTGTTTCTTGATAATTAATTATCTTCTATTTTTCCCCTTTTTTCCCATGTTTTTGTTGTGGCATTTTACGATTATTGGTTGTATCACTCAAATCCACACATTTTATCTAAAATCTACATGTTTATCATGTATAATAGAATATATTATTTAGGTGTTAGGTACATTATGTTATATTTACCTAGTAATTAGGTACATTATTTTATGGGTAGTTGTGTTCTATAAAAATAGGATTCATTATCTAATTTTTCTTTTAATTTTAATTTTTTTAATATAAAAAGTGTGAATTTACCATATTATCCTCATTTAATTAATAATTTCAATTCTTAATGTTCGAATTAATCAATGACATTTTTTTGTATTTTGAATATTTTACAATTCTTTACCTCTTGCTTTATATATATAGATTTACTTAGTAATTAGGTATATTATATCATATTTACCTAGTAGTCAGGTAAACATTTGTTGGGAAGATATCATCAATAATACTCCTACTTTCATTGTTTTATATTAACTTCTTTTATGTCATGGCGGCAATAGAAGGATTCCAAATTTAAAATTTGAAATCTATTTAGAAGGAAAGAATCGATAGATTAATTTGGATTTTCAATTACTGTTCTTTTCTTATGTACCTCAAATGATAAAATTGACATGTGAAAAAATTAATAAAAGTCAATGGACCCAAATCTACAGCAAAAAAAGTGTGGACTAAACCCAATAACAGCTACAAATTTTGGCCTTAGATTGAAGAACGCCAATATCTTTTCCATACATACAAGTACGACACTCCAAATTTGTCGCACCCTCAAAATGCTTACATAACCACAAATGATAACCCAAAGAAAATATAGAAAAACAAAAGCGTTTACAAAAATCACAAAACGCTACCTATATATATATAAGAAAAACCTAGCTAAATGAGGAAATGAAGAGTATAACAAAACTTTGTGTCCTAAAACTAAAGCCGCCGCCTTCACTGCTACCACTAGTGCTCTTGCTCTTCCCTAGTTATTCTTAGGTGGATGAGGTTTCGGGACATGATAATCGGCATTGAGAGGTATAAAACCTTCGATTTTGAACTTCATTCGACGACGACGATTACTTGTGCTTCTGATGAACCTACGTTCTCTACCAATATTATTGAACCCTTCCTCATTTATCATTCCCGAAATCCTTTCAGGCATGCTCATTTTCCTGCCCCCAATAATTCTTGTACCTTCAACTTCATCCATGGCGGCAGGAACGCCATCATAAATTTCCTGATTTTATTAGAGAATAAGATATATCAAATTTCTAGAACATGTATGTATATTTCAGAGTATTCTGTAATATATGTACTAGTACCTTTTCAACATTTACGGGGCTTCTTCTTGGTATCGGTCGCCCAATTTCATCAGAAGCCAGTACTTTGCTCAAAGCTACAAGAACATCAAACTAAGAATCAAAGCTATACATGTATATATACTTTCATCATTTAAGAAATTTAAGGAAAAAAACAAATACGTAAGTTGAAATGTATGTACCTCCGTGTGTTACATGTAGCAAAATGAAGAAAGTTACAAGGGTAATGATGAACCTTAGAAACACCATATCTTTCTGTTCCTTTTCTTCTTTGGGTAGCTGGCGAAAGAGAGGAACCCTATGAAATGGAACGGGGGTGTTTATAGAGTCCGGAGCTAGGTCAAGGCAGCAAATTAAGCTACGTACGGCTAGTCAACACTACATGTGTCGTATTTAAAATATGATTAGGGGGTTCTCTGGGGAAAAGGATCAAAACAAATAACAGAAAACAAAGCAGTGTTCAAATTAAGCTTTGGTTAATGGAAAAGCATTGAAAATGGTTTTTCTATATATATATATATAGTTGAAATTGTTTGGAAAAAGTGTTGTGAATGTGATCGCGTGGAATGGAAGATACGGTGTTCAGCGCCTGTCTGCCGCCGTGCATGCAACGAGGAGGTTTGTTTTTCAGGCCAAGGCAGGCCAAGGTTGGCCGCATACAAGTTAGCCATAGGGTTTTGGACTTTATATTAAATTATTAATATTAATTAGTTGCAGACTCTGCTCCCCATATAAACATGCATATATTTACTCATTCTCAGTCTTTATATATATGTGTGTGTGTGTAAATGAAACAGCTAAACGTGAGTTTGATAAGCACATGCTTAGCTTAGCTTGTCATTTGACCAAGTTACCTGGGCACACCTTCATATATAGTAGGCCTCCTTATAGACTTAGTAATTTTTTAAGTGTGAATAGGAAGCTTTGGTCATACTTAATTACGTTATTTGTTAGATTTATTATTATTTTTTACCATAAGGCTGCCCGAGCATGTCGATATTTGACTGATGTTAGTCGTGAACTATGAAAAAGTGGGTTCAAACTTCAAATACCACGGTATGCACGGATGAAAGTAAAAAACGTTTTATATTCACATGAATTTTGAAATATGAGATATGTAATTTGCAGTCGGTGATTCAATCTTTGTCTTCAGAAAACCTAATTTGCAAATTTCAATCATCATGTTACTTACTAAGATCCTATTAATCAAAGCGCATCATTCATACAAAACAATATACAAACCCTAAAGAAAAGTTAATTACTTTTTATTAGTAAGTTTTATTCTCCGTGGCTTTGCTTGAAGAATTTGTACGCTGATGGACGGAAAAAGATCTTAGCTTTAAGAGTTTAGGGATTCTAAATGCATGTGGATATGTAAGTTCGGAGAACAAATTTCAATTAAAGACAACTTTTGGTTTGCAAGTTCGGCAAACAAACCATAGGGGTTCAATGTTCAAATAAAAAAGGAAAGTTGTTTTGCCTTTACAAAACATGGTCACATGGAACCAACCTTCGGTCTACACCACATATGTATATTTTGCATCCACCCGACATTGAATCCACTAATAGAAAGCAATTTCAGATTTGGGTACGAAGGAAAGAAAAATGAATAAAAAGGAAGGGGAATGAAAAAAATTATTTTTTGTTTCTCTAATTTTTGACAATACTACTCTAGTGTATGGAGACGGCTGGAGTTCGAACTTTGCTTACCCCACATATGTGGAAAAGAATTCTATATTTCCTTAAAATTTTTTTTCACACATTAGCATCAAAGTGGGTACTACACTTGCCACATCATCAATTTAAAAGAAAATCTAATGGTGAAATTGACGGAGGACGTAATTTGGTCAAATTTGAAAACATTAGATATCAAATTGATGAAGTTAAAACTTGCATTTGGGTTGTGGGCCTATCACCCTTAGCATGATCCAATCACTTTTCCTGATAATTTGAGAAAGGAAAAGTGAGGCCCATATTAATCTCTACAAAGTTCCAAAGCCCAGTAGAAGCCCACAACACCAGCAAAATATTCAATCTTACCCGCCAAATCCAGACCCCCATTTCCCGCCAAAAGCCGCACTGATTTTCTCTCTCAATTAGTTGACAATATAAACAAGAAAAAAATCTAAACAAAAAACAAAAAATTTAAACAACAAACAAACCCGGAAAGCCATAAAAACCAAATCCAAGTTTCCTTGGAGCCGCCGAGCCATGAAGGTCCGATCGCTGAAGCTCCGAGAGGCCCACAAGGCCACGAGTAGCAACGGCCGCCCGTCGTTCTGCTCGGTATTGTGGGACCAGCAAGCCTACCACGTCGTGACGGCCTCCTCCGCCGACCCCACAATCGCCATCCACGACTCTCTTCTCCCCTCCAGTCCTCCGAAGCTCCTCCAGCACCACCGCGACGGCGTTACTGCCCTAGCTCTCAGCCCCAACTCCACCTGCCTCGCCTCTGGGTCCGAAGACCACTCCGTCAAGCTCTACAAGTTTCCTGGTCACTATCTTCCCCCCATTTCTCATGATTTTCGTTTTTTTTTGGATTTTGTAGAAATTGGGGTTTCTTGCATCAGTTTGATTCTTTGGGTTTGAAATTGAGTAATATTAGATTTTGTCAATGTGATGTGTGAAATGCAGGAATTGGAAGGAATTATTGAATTTTAAAACTCACTAGTGTTTGGATCTCTGAAAAAGAAACTGAATGCTTGCATATGTTTAGAGAATTAGAGGTTTTATAATTGCAAAATCATATTATGGTTATGAATTTGTCAGTGTAAACTCCTGGATGTAAATGTCTATTCATTACCTGGTTACGCATGTCATTTCAAATTCAATTATTGATTGGGCCTTGCGAATTGTTGCCATGTCTAATAATCTTTTGAATTATGCTTGTTTGAACTTCCAGTCTGATTTCGGGGAAAAAATAACTTATGGTTTGATTAATTTTGTAATTCAACTTTGCTAGGTGGAGAGTTTCAGACTAATATTACCAGATTCACGCTGCCAATACGTGCCCTTGCGTTTAACAAATCAGGGACTTTGTTGGCTGCTGCTGGTGATGATGAGGGCATTAAGCTTATTAACACAGTTGATGGTTCAATTTCAAGAGTTCTCAAAGGACACAAAGGATCTGTGACTGGCTTAGCTTTTGATCCCCACAGTGAATACTTGGCTTCTATTGATTCAACTGGGACTGTAATATACTGGGAACTTCAATCTGGAACCACATTGCATACCCTTAAAGGGATAGCTCCTAACTCTGGTTTCGACCGTTCCATCATGAACGTACTCAGCTGGAGTCCTGATGGAAACAAATTAGCTGTGCCTGGGTTGAGAAACGATGTGGTGGTGTACGATAGAGACACAGCTGAGAAGCTCTTTTCATTGAGAGGTGACCACACACAGCCTATTTGTTTCTTGGCTTGGTCACCTAATGGAAAATACATGGCCACTTCTGGTTTGGATATGCAGGTTCTCATCTGGGATGTCGATCAGAAACAGGACATTGACAGGCATAAGTTTGATGAGAGAATCTGCTGCTTGGCGTGGAAGCCAATTGGCAACGCACTGGCTGTTATTGATTGTACGGGCAAGTATGGTGTGTGGGAATCGGTGACTCCTTCATCAATGAAGTCTCCCACTGAAGATGTTCCCAATCAAAAATTGAATAACAGCAATGGTCTGCTTTTGTTTGACGAAGAGGAGGGTGAGGAGCTTAGCACTTCTGGTAGTTTAAGTGATCTTGGTGAAGATAGCCATGGGGAATCTGAACCACCTAGCAGGAAGAGACTACACAAGCACTCTGCATATGACAATGATTTAGAAGAGGACGGTTTTGATGACTTGAGCTTGCTCCCAAAAGTTGAGTCCCATAAAAAAGCACGCCGTAAACATAGTGAAAGCGCTGATAACGGGAAAGAGGGAGTAAGCAGCAAATTGACTTCTGTTAGACCAAAAATGCAGGGGGCCTTCCAGCCAGGCGCCACTCCTTTGCAGCCTGGGAAAAGGCGCTTTTTGTGCTATAACATGCTTGGAGCTATAACTACAATTGAACATGACGGCTTCTCCCATATTGAGGTAAACTATGCCTTAAGTTGACCAAACCCTCTCCCTCTCCCTTATCCTCTTCCTCTTCCTCTCTCCACCCTCCACACACAGACTTCAAGATAGAATTGTTTTTGTTAGCCAGGAGTGCCTTTATATCATACTGACATTTTAGTGTGTCTTGGATACAGATTGATTTTCATGATACAAGCCAAGGTCCAAGAGTTCCATCAATGAATGACCATTTCGGTTTTACCATGGCTTCACTAAATGAGAATGGAAGTGTTTTTGCAAATCCCTCCAAGGGTGAAAAAAACATGAGTACTCTCATGTATCGGCCATTTAGGAGCTGGGCAAATAATAGTGAGGTTAAATCGTTGCCTTTTAAAATTTATGCATTCATGCTATATGGTGTGGTGATTTATACATGCACACTCTAAATATCGTAACTTCCTATGCATGATGAATACGAGAACTTTAGTATATGCTGACTTTGATGTGTGATGCAAACCCAGTGGTCTATGCGATTGGAAGGGGAAGAAGTGAAGGTTGTGGCACTTGGTACAGCTTGGGTAGCAGCAATTACGAGTCTTAACTTCCTCCGCATTTTCACTGATGGTGGTTTGCAGGTATGTTGACTTCAGTTATTTTTAGTTGTGGAGCAATCGGATTTTAATGGATATGATTCTTGCCTTCCTGAATACATTCTTAAATGTAAATTAGTTCATCAATCACTTTTGATTTTAAGTTACTCTAAATGGTTGATGATATTGAGGTTAGTTTCTGGAGATGTCTGTTTTTCTGAAAGCATTTCATTGCAGAGACATGTTCTCTCCCTTGATGGACCTGTGGTGACTGCATCAGGCTTCATGGATGAGCTTGCTATTGTCACTCATGCTTCTGAATGTCTTCCCTCAGATGAGCAGGTCTGACTTTCAAGTGATTGCCCATATTATATTCGGGTGCTGATATGTCCTATTCATCTTTTTTTAACTTAAGAAATGTGGATTTATAAAATTCGAACACTATAAGTCCAGAAGTGCGTGTTGATACCATTGACATAAGTTCTAATAAAATCGATCAATTTTCCTCTTGTTAAAGAGCTGTCACCCACTCACTCCAGTAGGAAGATACATACGTGCTGGCTGATGGTTTGCACTTGTTATCTCATGCTATTTTATGTGCTGAAATGAATTACTTTTTCTTCT